GCTCATCTGCCGAAAATGTGACAGGTTCTTTTTGAGGCGTATCATGCAGTCAACAGGCGGCCAACCCCCATCGGATCTTCCCCGGACTCTCCCAGTACCTGTTCAATGGCTTTGAACAGTCGGCATGAATTCGCAAGGTCACTGGCTCACACGGCCACACCGAACCGGTCGGTGAACCGCTAACAAAGCACGCCGTATTCCCCTCAACGGTGTGGCTTTGCGCCCCGGCGCATCGCAGCGAAAGCTTCTCGCATGCTGAGCTTGCCTGCATCTCTACCGGTAGCACATATTAAGCACACGAGAATACGGAAGACAGAGAGAGGAACAAACCAGGGGAGCGAACAAGCCCGGTACAGCGGTGAACGCACACGATGCCGTCACTGTGCCTGACGCCGGAAAATAGTTTAATCCCGGCCGCTTTCTCACACCGAGGAGGGGGCAAACCCCAACCATACTGATCCTTCACATGTGCGCACCCTGAAAGCCGGCGCTTCCGTCAACCAGTTGCTACTATCCATTGTGGGGGCCTTGGAAACGCATGCAGATGCCGGTAGGAATATTGACAGCACGACATACCAACAAGAGTTGGCCCGTTGTCCCCGCGGCCAGGACCCGTCTCCCGTGTTTATCAGGTATGGTCTGATATGATGGGCAACAGCAACGTATTCTGCCCAATTAGAACCTTCTCATGCAACATACGCCTGCGTCAGGCAGCAGTTTAAATCATAGGTATGCTAGGTAGGTATGTCACCGCTGATGGGTATCCATCATGGCGAAAGCAGGAATAGGTAAGTGGAGGTAGTTTCTAGAAAAGTTTGCCTTAAAAATCTTAACTGGATACAGAACTGCTGGCACCTCAGCTAACAAGTAATGAGTTGGGGGCTATGTTGTTGTTGGCCCTACTAAATACATCTACCCCCGTCAAATTTCAAGCATAGACCCAGTCTGATCATTCATGCTAACACGAATCAATCCCACATGGCCCTAACTGTATCCCTCACAATATGTACACGTGCACCACACTAGGGGCGCTATGATATACTAGGGGTCCTGGTGTATACTCAGTGAGTATCTATCTGCTCACCATGTCCCTGTGTGTATCAGAAGTAGCATGAGTACACTATAACAGCTCGGTGGCGAGTTATTGATGCATGCATATATACCGTACTTAACAGAATACCTATGTAACGTGGTGGCTAGACAGGCGAAATGTAATGTAGCAGTCATCCGCTTGTGAATACGATACAGGGATAAGTTATAATTAGTAATTTTACCAAGTGACGTCTCCGGCTAGGCAAACGCTATGAGGATGTTTTCGGGACGCTAGCTTATTACCCACGTGGATGTGGTCGGCGGCGCAGTTATATTACTATTCAAAATCTAGTTTCTCGTTGGCCCTGTGGTTCAATCAAGATACCTATTATGTACTCTTGCGCAAATGGTCGTCATGCGATTCTGACGCCTTTTCGGGTCCGTGGTTAGTCTCCCCGTGTTCGACGACGTGTATCAACACGAGTTGCATATATCATGGTATACTTACTATGGAATACGGAAATATGCAGTTATTACATATCTGTAACGTACTGTATATACCGTTAATCCCGTACGGTGATTAACGGCGTGGTTTTTCCTCCGTCACAATATCAGTAATAGACGCCCTGGCTACGCATGATGGATCTTCATTGCAAACGCCTAGAGATTGTGGTAGAGCTTTTTTGCTAATGTTTTCTAATTCAGTATAGCGTATTAGGTTAATATGACAAGATGGGAGGGGCGAGCGGTACAAATCTACGGGTGAATTATCTGCTATCGCGCATAATTGACTGTGCTATGTCTCTTTTGCGCTCTCACTCATGTCGAAAATTTAGTATAGTCAGGGAGTACACCATTTATCACGGGAAGACTCTCTAAATTCGTTAACAGTCAATTCTCTCCTTGAGTCATGATGTTGCTATTGGTTAAGGGGTTTGATAGTCAAGTTTCTATATGTAGTATGCAAGCTACTTCTTCGTTCGTAATCCTCAGTTCAGATACAGTAGATTTATTGTCTCCCATTTGCCATCATCGAACGAGCCTAAATTATAGGCGATTGGCTCAAACTGAAACTTAGATGCAACGTACTCTTCCTTGCCTCATCTTGTCCCTTATCCGTTATCTTCCTAGTATGAGAAAGTATCTGATTTTCTCCTTTACCTATCGACAGGTTTTCTCCCATATTGAACACGAACTACTCTGACGGCGCGAAGTAAGCCGATCGAGCGTCCATTGTTATGAAACAGAAGCGCAGCACTATGGTGGATGAGTATAAAACGCCGAGCTTGAAAATTTTGCACGCATGAGATAGATATTTCAACACTCCCAGAAGCAGTTGTTTGAATTCTAGTACTGGGGGAGGCGACGATCGCATAAGAATCTTGTAGAATACAGTGCGATAGCTGAGGGAAAAGCCACACGTGCCAATTTTCATACCTATAAGAGGCCATCGCGAGATTTTGCTGGAATATAGACCCCGAACTTGTTGCGGCCTTGTCCACTCCTATCGCCCAAATTACACTGATTCGTTACCCAAGACTCTGGCAAAATATAGAACGTTCCCAATGGGGAACCTGGATGCCACGCCCTCTTACATATGATGCTATGACAGCCGTTAACGTATCGTCACATTCGCAACGTCGCCAAATACATGAACAGCTAGTAACATGTTTTGTCATGGGTCTGGGCATCACATACCTCGAGTCGCCGATCTTTTCTCTCGGAAGTTTCGATTTATAGCGGGGGTGTTTATGATTAAACTATGCAACATTGAACACTCGGTACCAAAGCGTCTTATTGTGGCGGTGCGGCGAGCTCGCCCCTCTTTCGTAGCCTCCGGTTTCCCATCCGCGTATTTGCTCCAGTCGGGCGCCTCATTCAGGGGAATGGAATGGCTGCTTCTTCTTGGTTTACCTATGGAGTCCTGGGAGGCTGACTGTTCAAGAATCGATGTTTAGTGCCTAGGTACACCCTGATGTCTGATACAGGCTGGCCTGATAGGTTTAACTTTACAGGTTTCCAGTATGATGGTGGTTATCTCAATGCTATGACTTGTACTCTCAAGGGTTTGAAGAGAATGTTTCTATAAATATATGGTCAACGGGACTTGAAAAAAGACTTTTGGAGTAGGTACTTCAGCTACAGCGTGCAGGGGAGCAACTTGTCAGGGGATATAGTAGCACTGGGGTAGAAGTTATCCCAAAGGAGCGTAGACAACTTGGAGATTGGGATACATAAAGGGTAAAGACCACCCCAGAGTACTTGAGAGAGTCAGGAATCAATACAATTGAACCCTTACCCCTATATTTGTACGATCCGCTACCTAAGTGTTACCTACTTGCGACCTAGCTTCACACTGGGGACACATCCATATGACATAACTGCAGCTCAATACACCGTATTTAATTATCTATCAGCTTCTCTCGAGAGTTCCCCCGATTGTGCCGTAAGCTACCATCATTTCCCTCGCTTTCCAGAGCCGCATATCTAGGAGTATGGTAATTTGCTATTGAAAAGGGTATGGACATAACCAGTAGATAAACTTTGAGTGCCAAGGGCATATAATGTTTATACTCTGCGAAGTCTGTTTACTCTGAGCATTCTCGAGCAGAGCTATCCGACAATATGAATCAGCTCCGCGATTATACCAAGTAGTCAGTTAAAACCCTATGAATGGGTGGCATTAGGAGACATGAGCCAACTACGTGACCATTGCAAAGGATCCTACAGAAAAAGCTGGTTGGGGAGAGGATTAGGAACAGCGCCGAAGTAAGACAACCCCCAATCATATAAATATTCAAGGGCCAGAGAACGAAGGCTCGACCAAAAATGCACCGTACTGTCGTGATAGCGGCGTGCGTTGCTGAGACTTTTCTTACTTCAGTGGCTGACATGCCTACTTACTGAGTTAGGTTCTTGTAAATGGCTAGCAGCACTGCTGTTCAACTTTGAGGTATAGCCACGAAATAATATTGCGTTGGGAAAAGAGAATGTATTGAGGTGTCGCAGACAGCGTTTTAAGCGGCTTTCTTCTTGCGCATCAGAGATCCCTTAGAAGAATCATAGTAAAGTTTACTGTTGGATAACTACTTCGCAGCAGCCCTTGGACTTTTAAGTCCGCAAACCAGGCTTGTTGTCTCATGCGACGTTATTCGCTTTCAAGCTGCCATACCGGGTCTTTCAATCCCTTCTACCCCATCCTACGACACCGTACCGAAGTTGAGACGTTATTCTATAATTCACCAAATCACACTACATATGTTGAACTCATTCCGTTGCTGATTGTGTCCCCGTTTAATGTCATTCAGATAGCTACGCGAGTAATCTTTTAACGCACATTTGCAACAGCATTAGGTAGCGTGATTAGAGGAACGTCACCAAGGCGGCCTAGAACCCTCCTGCGTCAATAATGATACACAGCTACCCTTTCAACTCATCGAGTTGCTCATACGAAAACATATCCTCAATGCTAATAGTCACCTTGAGATGTTGGAATGTCATCTTACAGCTTCAGGTGATGCCGTGGTAGTGTCAACTAGGGATAATTAATCCTTATACTGATATGTGAGGATTCGACACTGCTTTAGGACCGGTACCCTGAAAACCTGTCTCCGAAATGAATGTTTATAACCATATATCGCCTTTGGAGACGGGATTCTAAGGTGGCCAAATGGAAGACGCGCAACTGAGGAGGTCTTGGAGCGGCTAAATAACAACGTGCCATCACCCCCATAGGGTGTAGCTCTATTAGTCTGGGGCTAAAAGCGAATACAACATCGTATATTGCGAAGTAGCTGCAACTCAAGGTTATATTAGAAAAGTCTGGAGAACCTGACGTTTTATCAGGAAACGGGAACGGAACATACGACAGTTCGGCCGACGAAGCCTACAAAAGGACTCTGCTTCATGTTGAGCTACACATCTCGAGGACTTCAATTTCCAAACGCCACGAGTAATCGACGTGCACGATGCTGCGACACATCAGACCATGCGAGGGCATTTTTGCCCTTTTATCTCTCGTATCGTCACATCTTGTTGCTGCTACCAACCTTACCACCGCAGACATTCATGCAAATGACCCACCACCACCTCTCGTTGATGGCTGTATCAGCAATTCTTTTCTGGCACCTGTCTGGGCTGTTGATGCGTTCCAATATGAAGAGAATGACAATGGTGACTCGACAGCCAACTTCATTCTCAGCAGCAAAGTGATTACCAACAAGTTAAAGTGTTTCGGTCGAGCCGAGGGTCGACGCCAAAGTGTTCAAGGCGAATGTACTAATGAAAACGAAAGACACAAGCCATCATCTCAGTTCTTATTTGTACCTTCATCACGCAGTCTTTCTATTGAACCCTCGTGGTCTTGTAATGGGAACGATGTCAGAGAGCCGTGAGTGCAATGCGCATTTTCAAAATATGCCTACCCTAATGTCTTGAGCACTAAATAACTAAATCTTGTTCAAGTACAAACTTCGTCGGTAATGGCACTACAAAGCTAGATATAGACTGCGAATGGATCGAATGCACATTAGTAAATTCGACTCGCATACTAGTCAAGCTGCATGAGCCTTTGGAGATTTCACCGTATATTCCGCCTCCGCCCCCAGGGCATAGTGCTCCCGGATGCAGTTCCCGCTCAAAATCACCATCGGTATGTAGCTCCTCATTTGCTGCACTTTCTGGCAGACCTTAGGGAGATGAAATACCTCAGTCAGCATCTCTACTGCAGAGACATCTGCACATTATCGAGCCCGAAGCAATTGCTCTTCTCTACATAACAATTACTAATTCTAGTGGCTGAAGTGGAGTATATCGGAGTTTACATGGTATAGGGGTGTTACCCAGTACACAACCCCGAATCCGATCGGATTTCCGCCTGTAACGCAATATCTGGGCTATGAGGCGGGCGGGAGTAAGTAGGCCACGGTATGTCTTCCTTGGGCTATTTTTACGACCCAACGGAAGATGATCGGGCAATGCCGACTCTAGAATACCGGAAAGGACACATAATGCTGACCTTGAGTGCCGTAGTGAAAGTAAAAAACCAAGCAATCCAGCAGACGTTTGTGTGTGGATGGCAAACGTGGGATGAAGGAACATCAGTTGAGCCTAGAGAGAATTGGTGGTGCAATAACTACAGCGAAGAAGAGGTGAAAACTGCCAGACACACCTACGAGGCTGAGATAACGTTCCGGCATATCAGTTCAGAGAACAAGCTTCTTGTGAATCAGACATGGTATTGCGATGATGAAGGCCGGGGATCTCCGTAAGTTGAACACGGTTAATCGAGGTTCGAGAGGCCGCTTCAAGTGCTGACATATAATTCATTTCAATATTGAAGCGAGAAGTTCCATGCTACAGGCTCCATCAATGTCACGGGTTCATCTGGTGGACTTTTCCCAGGCCAACCTCCTACTACTGTTTCGAACTATACCATCGAAGGAAAGCTGGAGTCCCATTATGAAATGGAACCCTATGCTCTCGAGCTGCCCAATGCGCAGGCAGCAAGGTGCACGGTTACCTCCTTGGACGCGCAACGTTTCTTCCTAGTCGACCCAACGTCACGATACCCGACTTATTGGACGTATGAGAATAGGTCTTATGGAGTCAGTGGTGAATTTAGCCTCTATTTGCGTTTCCCCTTTGAGGATGATGACCAAGTTCTGTGCCGGGTGAAAGGTCCTGAGCTACATCCTACTAAATTTGACCCGGAACGTTGGTGGCATTGCGAAATGCTCTCATATGGTGGGGACCCTATGAATGTTAAAGCCCTCGATTTCAACTATAATCGTAATACTACCATCCTTTCGATCAATGCGACAGTACGTATGCCCTAGCGCTATTCCCCCTTCTAGCCACTTTCAGGGACACAAGCTACCCTAATGGGTGCTCAAATTTCCAAGAAACCGGCAAACTCCCGAACAAACAGCGAATTTCTGGCTGTGGATGGCAACATACTAACCTTAGTGCTTGCAGTGGACTTGTGACGATGCAAATAGGGAAAAGCCGTAAGCCGCTATACACAACATTGCCGTTTGAGCTACCATTGACCCTTCAATAGGATATATATCCATGCTTTTGCAAGTGGCAGTATTGGTGATCCAGTGTGCCATTACGACGACTATTGGACGTGGCAACATTGCGATTTTCCAGCCCTGAACATAACGTCACCTCCATTCAGTTTGCCATTCACGAACTTCACGTTTGATGTATCAGGATGAGCGTAATAGGACTCCCTCACAAGAAGCCCTTGTCAAGAGTTTCCAGGAGGAGTAGAAGAGTTGGCTGATTGGCGTAATTCTAGAATGAGGTTCGTTCTGTTGATACTCATATATCGGCTCAGTTATGCAAGATGTCCACGAGCAGTCTTGATAATTTGTGCAATATAGAACACCCAGTTTGCCCTTACAGACTCAACACAAATCGGTGATTGGCGAGATTCTGAATAGTAGAGCAGACTGAAAGTCCCATGTTTAATGGGGAAGGCCGCTATAAAAAGTACAAAACGTACAACACCAGGGATTCGCTGATCGTCACCGACCCAACTACTGATCTGGCGCTCTCTGGTTTATCTAAGGGAGAGCAGACGGGATCCCGAGTTCTCCAGAGGCTATGGCCGTACGTGATGGTTCGTCATTCTATTGCAAATCAAATCGAGATGGTCTAGTCTAACGAATTCCCAACGTTACATAGCTGGGTATTACGTTCGTATTCAGAAGCACGTAAATTCAGTTCTCCCTTCAATGAGTGATATTAGCCGGCCTTAGAGGCCAAGAAGATCGTTTAGTTATAGTAAAGCCATATTCTGCTACCAAGGTCAGAAGAAAGGAGTAATACGACAAACGAATATTAGACCCCCCCCCCCCCCCCCCGGAACTACGCGTGAAGACCTTCAAGTCAGACCTTCGACCTTAATCTATACGCGAGGGCTGAATTAAAGCGCTAGGTTGTATTGCCAGCCAATTTAGCCTTTACGTATAGGTCAAAGTCGAAGGCCAAGGTCGAAGGTTAAGGTCGGTATAGCATATTTTGGTCTAGTATATTTTAATACATACTATAATAAATAAATATTTCTATAGTATAAAGTACTCCCTCCGATAACCGAAATTCCCTTCTTCTCTACCTACTCATCAATACCCCATGCACATAAATAATCTTTGAAATATGGTCAAAACTTCTTGGTCTTTTTATGAGCTATTCATCACCTAAATGGATCAATCGAATCGAACTCCAAATTGCGTTAAGTCCCGCGACACAGCCACTTCGCTTCTTCGAGATATATTTTTTTTCACCTATATCAGTATATCAACCCGAGCAAGGCCCTGCAACTGTTTTAAGTCTCATACGTCACGAGCAAGTACGATCAGTCAATGTATGGCGCCAGCTACTCAGCTGGTGCAACGCAGAATGGCGCAGCCGAAAACCGCTGGATTGATCAAAATGATTCACAATCAAAGCAATTTTATTTCGCCTCGCTGATAATGAGGCGCATAAAGATAACAACTGCACATTAGACTCGGCACGCAAAATACCATTAAGAAGTTTTTTTATGAACTGGAATACATCTCTTCAGCTAACTACCCGAGGAATCAGTAGGGCTTTGTCCACAGAGGTCCAAGCAAGTAATCAGTGGAGCAGTCTAGATGACATAGTGGATTTCAGGGGTCACCTACGACATGGGTTATCTACTATCCGAAGATACTCTAGTAACAAGCATCAATCCATTCATTATTAGTTCAGATTGTGAAGTCGGTGACCATATTGTTGTTGTAGAGTATTCCTTACCGATAGATATCCCGGCGCTGGTAATTGAGTCCGGGTGTTCACATGATTACATAATCACATGTAACCGACCTTTGTCTGCCTAGTAGACTCAGTCTCAACCCTAACAGCTGGCCGGGTGACTCACGGCTTCCAGCTGGCCATGACCCGATAAGTGACGCCAGCAAACATCTTAAGATCCAATACCAGGAACGCCAACCTCTTTCCCCAGCATTTCAGCATATTCAACTACTTGAATATACTCTCGAATCCTAGTATACAGTTGTCCTTCGAATACCGTAATCCATTTGCGTTCCAACGACGTCAAATCATGAAGCCCGCCAAACCAATTCTGATAGATGGCAGTGCCGGTGAAGGCGGAGGGCAGCTCGTAAGAATTGCCTGCGGCCTTGCAGCTGTGACCACTCAGCCTATACGCATTGTCAACATCAGAGAAAACAGAGACCGAGGCAAAGGTATGAATGCAGTCATAGGGGCACAAGAAACACTGCTGAACATATCATCGCCCAAGGTTTGAAATCACAGCACGTTTCAGCAATCCAGTGGCTTGCCACGGTAACCGATGCCGAGGTAGACGGGCTGGAACTAGGCAGTCGCAAGCTCGAGTTTCGACCGCGGACGCCTCCGACAGCGCTGAAAGAGCGGAAGGTTGTCTTCATGCCGGATAGCCCTGGTGCTAGCGCGCTCCTCATCTTGCAGGCCGTCTTCCCATTCCTGCTGTTCGCTGGGAATGGAAACGGCGACCCTATTGAGATCGAGATTCATGGGAGCACAAACCCCTCTTTCTCACCGTCGTACGAGTATCTCGACCAGGTTTTCTTACCCACGCTAGAGCGGAGATTCGGCATCATGGTTGAGCGACGACTGGAGAAACGGGCTTGGACTATTGGGCCGGCGACCCAGGGCACAATTTGGCTCAAGTTTCAGCCTATACCTCCTGGACAGACATTAAAAGTGGTAGAGCCATGGAATACCAAACGTCAAAAGGGGGAACTGGATATTAAGCGTATTGACATCAGCATCTTAGTCCCAGCTGGCGTGCGGGAGCCCCTGGAGGAAAAGATGGCTGAAAGGCTCTATCACCAACTTCAAGCAACAGATATCAATTTCATCCTTAATGAAGATAGCGGTCATGACGCGCGAATGTACGCGCTCGCCGTCGCCCATTCGGAAACGGGCCTACGATGGGGTTGGGATTTTCTCTACGATCGACGATGGAAAAAGAAGCACGCAACGACACTCGCCGAGGAAATAGCCCAGGTGGTCTCGAGTCGACTGTGGGAACAGCTCGTCGTGCATCCTGCTGCCGTTGATGAATACCTGCAGGATCAGCTGGTGGTATTCCAGGCGCTGGCCGAGGCGAGAACGACGTATTGGAGCCGAGCAACCGAGGCGTTCGATTCCGATAAGCTACCGGAGCGCGCCAACGATATCGACGATGTAGACCAAGCCCTTGAGGACGTACATATCGGCGAAAGAATGCGACGGGATAAAACGCATGAACCATTTGGATTCGGTTCGACACATGCGACAACGGCTAGATGGGTTACGAGCGAGCTTCTGCCTAAGGTCCGGTGGTTCAACAACGGGACCATTTGCGAAGGAGCTGGCGTTTCTATACAACTACCTCAACTATCTACCTCGACAGAAAGCAAGGCCCATGGTAATGATTAACCTAGCTCCCCCTCGAGCCCCAGGCTAGAAATCCCTATGCGATCCGATATGCACTATCTCAAATCAATACCCTACCTGTATACACATTGTAACGCGATAGACGAACTTACTCATATACAACTTGAGCACCCTTGCGCATTCCACTTCCAATCCACATGCCCTGGTTCACGATGGGAGCATATCTCGCGTCGCCAGTTTCCATCGCCACCGAAAGCCGGAATGAATACGTCGAGGGATCAACTGAATCTGCTCTAACAGGATCTTGTAGCGCTTGTAGCACCTCTTTCGGACCTGTCCTAAACCCACGCGTGCGTATCTCGATGCTTGACCCAACCAATCATCTTAGCCACTCTCGCTCACCCTCAAAGAAGCTTTACAAACACTCGAACCGCTATCAGCCGCAAGGTCTCGACTTACTAAGCAGGGTCCGCATCATTCGTCTTAAGAAGGTACATAGTTTCCATCTTAACCACGTACGATTCTGAATCTACGAGCTGGGAATCTTGTCCGCCGGGCTTTTCCCAGTTAATCAGCAAACAGCCCAGTCCATCAATCGCATCTTCTCAGTAAGGCCGGTGTTACTTCTATGCCATGTCGCTAGGATTTTGGGATACTTACGAGGACTGTCCCCGAGCCCCATGTCGCTGCCCAGGAGCCTCCAGAGAAAGATATCCAGTTCCGGATGCCCCCTGATGGCACGCGTCCAACTGCGATCTTTGGGTTTAACTCCACCGACATCCGGTAGTCAAAGGTTAAGGTCGGGATGGGAAGAGTCAAGTCTGGATGAGGGAGTTGAGGGCGAGCAGCTACTGCCCTATCGGCCTCATTCATTTGAGGTTCAGACGCCATTAGCTTCTTGTCAGCGTGAGCGCTGCTCTTCGTGTAGCGTATGTAGCTGTCGTGCACTCGGCGATTACTTCACATTCGCAGCTATGGTCTCTTGATCACGCCAAGTATACTTTCTCTCATCTGTACCCCATCGTGAAGCGGGGTATTCCCCATGGCGTAGCTAGTTGTGTGCGCATGTAAGTTACCGGACTGAGGCTCACCCGATGTGTCAAAAGTTGGGGGAGAGAGGGGTATGGTTGAAAATAATGGAGCTTCTCCGAAAAGCACTTGTCTATTGATCTTCCCCGCTGCCGATGGCATAGCACCGTAGAACCTAGTCCCAGTATCACCCTTATTTGGCGTCTTAATTGCTTTGTTTCAAGACTTCCGAGATGTCCCAAAATATCCTAGTCTACCTGTATCAGTTTGACAATGGATCCTACGCACGTGCGCAAACGCGCGTCCGAAGCCAGGCCGAGGCACACGGCTGATCGACGCGATGTTTCCTGTGATCACTTTCCGTGGTGCACGGATTTTCCCACTTGTTTCGCAGTGCGACTCTGACAAATAGGGACCGTTTCGTTTCGACACCAGTCTTGGTAGTCGCGGGCGGTACATTACATCCAGCTAACCTCAGTAAGTGAGCAGAAACAAACATATTGACAATTCTGGTGGGGTATGAAAGCGATGTTAGACAGCAAGGCGTATGCGTACTGCCTAGACTGGATTCGTCAACTAAGACGCGGTTGGTGCCCAGAATACGCTGCTGATGCTAAGCAAGGGACAAACAGGTGAGGGTATAACCGATATCATATATTGAATGACATTGACGTGTTACCACCAATCATGATGGGGATTTTCCTAAGAATTTTCGAGAGCAGTCAGCTGATAGGAAGACGCAGCTAGTAATATGCAGGGGAAGTTAGGTATGTAGGAGAGAAACATGATCGAAGGCCATCGGAGCGGTACCATCAAGAACCCTCGTGGTGAACTCTGTCTAGGCCATCCGCCTAACATTGTAGGTGACTGGGGTTTTCTGTGCATTGTCAACGCTTTGGACACGCCTGGTACTCATTATGCACTGGCGGGTCTTTGGAGTTCAACGACGGACAACTTCTCTTGCATCTTGGCGTTGCATTACGTGAGGGTTGAAACAATCACAATGATCAATTACTAGAACGAGCTGTGAGTGACTGGGCAAACTCAGTTTCGTGAGTATGGCATACTTTGATTCCTTAGTGCTTTCTGAACTCTAGATCAGAAAGTATTCCCATCACTGCTTCTTTATTCGTTGGGATGGAGGGCTCGTGCGGTCCTTTCCGAATCTTTCAGTTGTAACCTTCCTCTATAGGGTCGATTGTGTTTAACCTATGAGGATATCGCTAGAAAGCTGAAAACGGAGCCTTTCATGACGAGGCCAGTAAGCAAAGCCACATACAAGGATCCTTGGGTTTTAGGAAGCTGAAAGCTCGTGAGCTGTAGACTGCCATGGCATGTGTGTGTGTATTATGCAGATGGAAAGGAACCTCAATTGCATTCATTAGTTGTAAGGTTGGCAGTCGTAACACCCAGGTAAACATAGACTTTTGTGTGCTAATGCTCATTTCCAAGTTGAATTTCATTCTAAGCTACACTGCACTTGTCTACGACGCCTGGAAACTGACAACAAGACTGGTGATATAACATCTCATATATTATCTCACCTGCGCCGATCCACTACGTCGAGAAACCAATAGAACGGGATCGATATTGCATGTGAAAAATTTGACACAGTGCATTGGTCGGAGATGTAACCTTCCTTCGTCTTCTTCTTCAACGATAATAGGTTTCCCCTTTCCACAAACCAGATGTCGTGCTTAGTATGCTCTGGTATGTGCGCAGCGCCACGTAACAACAGGAAGAGAGCGTGGTGGCTTGTTTCATATTAGCTGTCCGGCTCTTTGTTTCCACAGCCCTCGTCCAGCCCTTCTCTCGAAGTCAGAAGTCACCCGAGATTATCACAGCCAGGAAGTGAATCCATACCAAGTATGAATCAGCATAGCGTTACAGTGATGTACTGATTGGCTGATATATTATATACCTTGTGTAATGGCGGTGACCTGGGCAGTACTCGACAGAAACCCCAGCAAGATTTAGTCATCAAATGGCATTATAAGACGCTCGGTGTTGCCTGAACTTACCGATGGTGATATCACCGGTGTAAAGTGATATTATATGCATCCCTGGACAATGACCACGCGGATATGTGTATTTCCCAACAACCACAAACATGAAGAAGGGACTGTGGGCATTACTGCCCAGCCCAGCTTCAGGAGTGATACCTAACCTATGTTAGTAGATCTAAAGTACGTATGCTGTGATAGCATAGAGCCCCCGCTCACTTGAGGAATGGGGACTAGACTCTATGAGTTGTTTTCATGGTAAGTCAACTTATTGTTTAGCTGCTGAAGACAAATGCTTACACACAGGTGGAATGTAAGCGAAAGAACAGCAGGGAATAAGCCGAAAGCCTGGGTAAATGGCTGAAAATCTGACATCCATTTGACCAAGTAACCAATCGCAAGCGGGACAACTGACGCCGAGCTCAGTGGGGGTGACGATATTTGAGTCACTGCTGACGATTATTGGGGTTATTCCTCGTCCTGACTGCCGGGTGAGATGATGGACCCTGCTGTATTAGGCCGTGTGGACGGGTTGAAGGTCCGTTGCTCAAGGCGAGACGAGAAGGAGCATGTCACCATGATGATTAGCATTGTAACCCTCCTACAGAACCAGCTGACGAGCCAACTCCAGTGTCGCATTTGACGTCCTTGAAAGCGTTGGTCAGCCTTGCCAGACCCCCTTCCTCCAAGGTTCCGGGCAAGGCTATAGACGTCTCAAAAGAGTCCAAATACAGGTATAGATTGCGGACGCCACTGACATCAGCAGCTGTAAAAATTCTGTTTTTGGAACCCGTTAAAGCACGTAATGCATCAGTAAAGGGGCCGGCCCGCGGAACAGATCCGAAAACGGAAGTGGAAGATCACGGGTAAGAGCAAACGGAAATGCCCAATGATTCCATTGATTCCGGGAGATATGCTGCTCACTAAGTGGATGTGCATTGCCACATTGAAGTTCACCGGCAACGCATGTGCTGGCCATGTGTTCCTGCAGGTCTCGACACCCACAAAAAGCACTCGGCATACCCCGGCACAACCCGGGAATAAAATCAAGTAAAATGTTTCAAGACTTGCGATGGGAAGGAAAACAGTGAAATGAGAAACAATTACGTCCCAAATTGCGAAGTGTCATTCAGACACGTCAAGTAGAGAGTGCTATGATGGTCAAGTAATGACACTCGCTCATAAGATCATAGCGTCTGTAGTAATGCGCCATATACCTTGTTTATGTGGCACATAGCAAAGGTTTGGTCAACAGAGTTGCTTCAAAAATGATTGGCGCTAATGCCTCAGTGAGCGCAACGCATATATGGTAGTACAGTGTTGTGTAAGAAGCTAAGAAGCCAACATAGGTAGTCACATTTGCTGGTTATTGAACGAAGCGGCGGTAAATTGTAGTTTCTTCAACTAGTGTGCAATGAAGTCTCGTGACAACCACACAGAGTTAGGTAGAGAGGTCGTGATAGAACGCGCTGAGTCTACTTTGTCTCTTTTTGCAATCCGGACACGGTTTCCCACCATATCTAGTTATGAGTGTAGCCAATAAGTAGGAGTCGCATCGGAATGAAAACTATCATGTCCAAGAGGTCACAAGACTTGAAGTGCCCCGCAATGGATAGATAGACCGAAATCTAAATGAGGGAAAAGCGTTAACGCAAGCGGATGAGTATGCGAAAAGCGTCAGAATCCTTAATTCATAAGAGTAGACCTGGAATCGCTGCTTGGCCGAAATCGTGGGGTTCGGAGTATAGAGTATCACCACTCTGTTCTTGATGTAGGTACTTTACGTCGCGAATAAATGGTTGGTAAGGGATGACGGTGTTGGAAACCGTGCATTGGTCGTCAGGGGGTAGGTTTGAGTTGAATGGCGGTGTACAGGAAAGAGGAGCCGAAGCTGAACCTGATGCCCGTGCATACTTACTCACAGATGCTCTTCTTTTGGCCCACTAGGGCTGTCTTGAGGAGCTGGACTGACGGCAACTATAGGTAGTAAGGGAAGCCAGCAAAAGCGCATGCGCGGCCTCTTTGCGAAACCCGAGAGAGAGGAATGAGCGTCCGGGTTGTGACCGAGGTATCGTACAACGCAAGGATCAAGTGACGCTGGACGGCCTTACAGACGGGGACCAGGATGAGAGCCATGTGACTACCACATTCTTCCGTACAAGTGAAACAGCATATAGCCGCATCACGTACTTGTCTCTCGATCCGGCGGCTGGGATGGGAGCCCAGAAGAGGGGAACAGGCCCAAACGGTAGCTAGCAAACGGCACGAACAATTCTAGAACGTTTTAACCCCAGCACAGGATCCGCTGAAAAAACGTGGGGAATAAACAACGATTCGACGCAACAGGATGCCTGCACACCGGTCTTCCTGCTCGCATCGGTGGTATCCCAATTGCTACGGCAGAAATGCCTAGAGGAGGTCACACGTGGGCAGCTGACGGCCGTGGTAGATAGCGGACTGACTGCCGACGGCGCTGTGTGCCATGCTAGGCAGGTAGATGATAAGACGACCAACCCTAGGATTTGGCGAGGTGGGTGGACAGTGATCACGATGAACCTTGCGTTATCTCGTCCGAAACATGGCCTACTAGTTTTTGTTACCTGCAGAACCGCTCGGCTTGGACAATGCACTATGGGGATGTTGTTGGGTAGATGAAGTGTACAGTAGATGGTTCGTACGCCAAGACGCAGGCCGAGACGTGTGAGACGAACAGGCTCTGAGTTTTGTCGAAGTCATCAACAGTCGAACGCGCATACGTGTCGCATGTTAGAAGCTGACCAGGCGGCGCTGGCGTAGGAAAGTAACGTAATGTCACGTAGGCACACACAAAAAGAACAAGGAGAAGAAGATCCTACCCGAGAGGCAGCCGAGGCGAAGGAAATACAGAGAGATGGTAGCAGAGCGAAGCCAGAGGAACCAACCAGACGTCAGAGACGATGAGCTGAGTTGTTCCCGCATATCTAAAGCACAGCGGTGAATCCCTTCCTGCTCAAGATTGCCCAGACGGTCTTGTCGGGTCTGTATGCGATGAGAGGAGAGAACGGCGAGGACCAGGGGATTATATAAGATGGTGAATAAGGTTGGCCGCCTTGGGGGGGGAGACGCTGCCTACCTACCTAAAGAGAGATTGAAGACATCATGATGATCAATCAGTCACACCGAGGCGAAGTAGCAGGGATGTAGACTTGGTCCCACCCAAGCTGAGAGCCAGCTAGACAGCACCAAGACCGGTACCTGTAGGCTACCTAAGCAATTTACCTACTTAAGTCCCTAGGTAGGCACTGACCTACCGAACCCCCTACAGTAACTACAGTACCTACAAAGCTGCCCTAAAAGCCCATGCCAACGGGCCTGGCGGTACCTAGCGAGGAAGCGGCCTCTGGGTTTAGTGTACCTGCTAGACAGGCCCATTTCGGGTACTAGGTAGGTGCAAAAACAGTTACCAGGTATTCTGACCCAATACCTACCGACCTGCCTACCTACCTAATGTACCCATATTCGGGAGTCCATTCTGCGCGTTGTTTCCACTTGCTATGCCGACCTGCAGCAAGGACCTGGCGAGGCCTAGCCAAGGGTAACGTTATCGTTCAGTTGTTCAGTGGCATGTAGGTGGTGACATGCACCAAGAAACCCCCCCTTAGGTGCCTAGCTAGTGGCTAGTCCAGGGAATGCGAGCAACCTGCTCACGCTACTCGCGGTAGCGCACTCGGTAGTGTAGCGCTGCCCACCGCATGGAAATTTTCACAACGGCATTGGCCGTGAGACGGTAAGACCATGACAGATACGGTGACAGAATCGACTTGTTGATCTTGGTTGGGTCTTGTCGTAAGTCGCTGGCTGATTACGTTGCTGGGGGATTTGACTTCACAGTGGCTTGCGTGCGCACCTCTGCGTGCGTGTCGCTTCGCCTCAATTTCTACTTACCTTACACATACTTAGGTAGGTACTTACCTATAGTTACCTACCTAACAGTTAGTCGCCTACAGTTACCTACAGTTACCTACCACTACCTTGTACTTATAGGTAGGTAGTGACTGCTACCTCCTAGACAACCTCCTACCTATGTAGGTAGGTATTGTACCTGCTCGCCCCTGGGCATGTACTTACCGACTTACATCCATCCATCCATCCATGATACCTCCTACCTACCTACATAGCTTCCTACATAACCTACACTCTTACATACCGTATATACCTTATGTACCCATTCTACCTATCTATATGTAGGTACTTACTAGGTAGGTACCTCCTACCTGCTGTCTCCTGCTTGCTGGTTTACAAAATCAGTCCTAAAGCCAATATCTATTGCTCCTACTCCTCGTAACTACTCCTACCTAGTACTAGAACTCTACTACTACTACAACTATAACAACAACAACAACTACTACTACTACTACTATTACTACTACTATTATTGGCACCTCCCTTCTCGATCTTTGCTCCCTTTCCTTCGATCACAAACGAGCATTGGCTCCTAATCACTTCTGTGGCTCTGCGGTCCCTCCTCACCTTGCCCCCTTTCCCATTCTCTCTCTCTCCTCCCTCTTCGCTTTCCAGGCATGTCTGCTGCGGGCTTCGTGTGCTTATACATACCTTCTACCTCGTCATATCATACCTAACTATATTACCGCCTAGTATCCGCCTCTGTCTAACGGCGTCTAGGCAGTACGCGCACCGCCTTTGACACCCTGTCTTGTCTTATCTTGTGTCTTGTCTTGCATTTGATACCACTGTTCACCCGCCTACCTGCCTTTATTTGTAACTCTAATCTGTATTATTTGTTGAGCACCGTCACTCTTCACGATTTCAGTTGTCAGACCGTCCACTTACAAGCGATTGCTCGTCTAGCCGGACTTTTGGAGTTAAATCGGCTTGTTTCCCGGCATCCTTCTTCCGGCTACCGTAACTTACAAGACCATCTACCTCGGCGCATTACGTTCGGCGCAACCCAATCCTCCGTTGACCTTTTTTTTTTTAACCTTTACGGCAATAAATTAGCCTTGGCTTGTGGGATTAATCGTTGCCAAGTGCTCATAACCTTTAATCATCACATCGAAAACAACCTGTTCAAAAAGGGTTTCCACACCGTTTTCTCTAAGGGGCTTATATATCAATTTACGGACTTCAGCCTTTTGTCAGTGCTCCGAGCCCACCTTCCAGGTCTCAAGTTGGCACGACTTGCTTCATTGGAGAAAATTCGGCTTGACTGGAACTCGAACCAGCCGCGTACGCGAGTGCCATTCCCCTTCGCCTCCTGGAAACTCACCAGGTCTTTCTTTTTCTTCTTATTCCCTTATTCCTTACGGCCTTCGCCCACAAGCTATGAATCAGAGACAAACTTCTATTGGGCCCAAGGTATTCGTGAAAAACGGGAATTTTTGGAAAGTAGAACGCAAAGCAACTTTTGAAAAGTTAAAACTTGGTCGCGCTGAGCATCGCACAAGATGGCACAGGAACAGACAGTGTTACCCAAGGGGATTGTGCTCAATAACGAAACTATCTACGCAGAAATAGCGAAATACGACATCATACCAGTGGATATGATTTTAAAGTCTTGTCGTGGTAACACAAACCCTATCCCACCCTAAGCAATCCAGACAATCTGATTTCGCGTCCTAGTTTACTCTACAACTTCTCGGAAGTTATATGATCCCACAGCCAGACGCTTGGAGAACTTCTGGACGCGTTTGCTCGGCGGTGATCGTCGCTACCTATCCGGTAGGCTCATCTCACAGCTGTTCAGGGATATTTCCGAGGAGACGGCCTTCGTTAAGCTGCGTGGCCCAGATAACAGATATGAGCCAGTAAGTTCAAATAAAGCTATGATTGGGTGAGTGCTAATGTTCTCTTAGCCTTCTCCAAGTTCAAGACCACACGATGCTCAAGCAACTTCTTCGGCATCTGCGTCCAAGCTAAAACTCAAATCTACAACGCCTTCTAGCAAGACTCCTCGTCCCATACTAAAGAGACCTAGGGGAACTTCAGCTTCAGGACCGCGGCCAACCGCCCGATTTGTGTCACCGCCTGAACCCGGCATTACTGGCGAGCTTACGACTGTTAAAGCAACGAAGGATTCGGGCAGCTCGGCATCTAAGGAAGAGAAGGTAAAGGGACGGCCTATCAAGCCGAAGAAGAAAGCGACGGCGTTTGTGGCATCAACGTCTAGAAGACGACCCGGAATGCCTCGAAGAACAAGCTCACAATCTTCCGCCGGGGCTTCTGACCTCGGGCCCAAAGAAGGAGACTCGTCGCTAGGATCCAAATACGATGGCTCACAGAGCTCGATCCCAACAATACTAGAGAAGCCAGAACAGCAACTGGCTAATACGAATAAGGGGAAGGGGACTGTAGGTGTGAGTGCAAAGGCTGCTGGAAAACGCCCTATGACTCAACCACAGGTAGACAAAACAGAATTGGAACCCGAAAAGGTGGGAAGTAGCCAGTCCCAAAATGCGACCCTTTCAGCAGAGCAAAGCTCAGATCGGCCAGGTCGGGCAGGCAACGCTGCCGGAAGCTTTGGGAGCCGCTCCAAGACCTCTTCGCCTGCTGCTGTTCTGAAAACCAATACACCACAGGAAACTTCGCCATTGATGATCCGGTCTTCTTCCGATGCTGGCCCTATTCGTCCGACTTCACGGGATACAAGCCGAGCAACAGTCCCGCCAACTAGCTTAATGTCCTCAACCCCGGCTAAGCTTGACACCTCGGTTATTGGCCAGGGAACAATATCTGGTTTCAGGGAGGACCTTCGCGCTCAAAGCGCCTTGTTAGACCGACCCGGAGACAGTAGTGTTCACGGAACTCCCGACCTAACTTCAGAAATACCTAGCGGCTCTGGCCTTAGCCGACCTACTCAACCTAGTACCACAGCCGCAATACCCTTGGCCCGTTCCAAAAGTCAATTGTCACTACTACTTGACCGAAACGGCGAGAAACCAAAATCTAAGCGATGATCAACGCCCCTTCCTTCTAATTGTGTCAGTCCAAAATTATTACAGGTTAATGGGAGGGAAAATGTAGAAAAAAAACAAAAGGGTGTCCTCTTTCAATGCCCGAGTTCCATGGGCGACCCCAGCGGCTATATAAAAAGGTGTTACTGCATTAATGGCTTTCAGACATAGCATCGGCGTTAAACGATTTCATGGGTAGTAGTACTCCAACCTTGGTCATAATATTTTGAAGACAGATGTGATCACAGCAATTTACAGCTCTCCATGATGATGAAGCCTGACATATATACTTACTAGGCGCGGGTGATAGAACGGTCTCGAGACTAATCAGCTAGCGAACTATTCACTAGAATTATGTATTGGACTTGCGGACCAGCAGTATCCTTACTTTGCTACACAGTAGCGTTGCGTTGCTCTTTTGTCATCCTGTTGGTCTATATAATCAATGTTCACATCCTAGCTAGGCATCGACAACGAAGGCTCGTTTTCTGAGCTTAGCTGAAACAGAGAGTACCAGATACGCTACGCTTTAAGAAACTTAATTAAAGTATCATATCAACAGAACTACGATTGCACCCAAGACCATTCCCCGAAAAGGAGGCAGGGGTAGTTTGTACAAAAGTTTGACATGTAGTTTACTGCGATTTGGCCGCCCTGCTTTCGCTGAATAAAAACCCTCTTGATCCCAATGCCTGCCCTTCACGTATCACGCGTATAGATGCGTGATTCGGGCGGAAACGGAGAGGGTAACAGAGCTCAGGTACCTATACCCCTGGGATAAGCAGGACAGCCCACGGTCACACGGCACCATCTTGCTGTAGGGCGAGATACCATTTTGTCTAGATGCCGCGCTGTACACGCAAAAGTCGGCCGGACCCATTGTTACCCGGGTTTGTTTAGAGATCCACGATATTTTACTCTCGGGGTGATCCTAGTTGTATCCCGCCCTTCGAAAAAAAAAATTGAGCTCGCCTTGCCGCCACCACCGCGTCACCGACAAACAGTAGCTGACGATGCCATCCACCTAGTCTGTGCGCCGGCCGTGGGTTGGCCTGTTCATATCTCAGCTTAGCGTAGAGAGATTTACAGCGCTAGCGTTGCTGCTATGCAGGACAGTGCCGCCAAGATGCTTGTATGCTGCGCACGCACTTCGGTTTTCCGTATCCCCCTTCTTTCCATGCAGACTGGAGATGTCCGGTGACCATGCCGTCGTAGCAGACACAGAGCTCATTACCCAGGGCTTGAACTCACAGATACGATCTGCTTCAAGCGGGTGTTGTTCATGGCATGCGGACCCCCACGGCCCCGGGAGGCTTGTCGAAGCTTTGCATCAACAGCCAAATTTTGGTCAGCATCGGCATACACGGCAGTCTGAAGAATGCGCGTGATGACGATGCTCGAAACAGTCGTCGTGCGGTCAGTTCCACCTTCGAAATTCTCTATGACGCTACCCAGGTTTGGTTATCTATCTACCTCATACTGTTGACGCGTAGTAGATGGCGTCAATTGTTTCGACCCCTAAATAGGTACATTGTCATCGACGCAAGGTACCCCTTGCTTCGATTTGCCGGCGTAGGTGAAGCTGCCTCCATCTTGCATTGCGTTAGCAGGCAGGGCGAGTTTTCATGACATACCTAAACGTCGATTCACCGCTCCAAACCTACCTACGCGTACAGCACTCTCCATTAATAGCCGCCCTATTATTGCTCTGTCTTTCGCCACAAATTCATGTCCAAACAGGTTAATACCACCAGGATTATTAGACCGCTTCCCACAGCTTCCTGGAAGGGGACCCCGAGCTGTCCCCGGGCCTAGGCCAGGAGAATGTGGGGACCTTCAAAGACTAAGCTAACTTTCTCATACCGAGAATTGAAATAAGAAAACTTTCTCGTCTTCTTTACGTGTATAGTTTTTGCCCTATTGTAGCTATAGGGAGGGCGTTAAGGGGTTGGTGGTGATATGTCCGGTTCCAACAAGTCCATCTAGACGTTTTCGTACTGCTTCACTCCATAGTAGGTAAATACCGGCATGGAATAGCGTAGCTGGTCCAGCTAACCTCGGCCAAGCTTTTAACTTATTACGCGTTTATTCCTCCTGATGTGACGTAGTTTGCATTTTGTCCTGAGACAGAATGATAACTAATCAAGAACAACAAAAGATGGATAACTAACACAACGAGAAGTTGGATGTGAGTCGTGTCGTTACTTGGATGCATCATGGCTACATGCGGCGTAACGTGACAGGTCAATCTTTTCTTCTCCTCACCCCCCTCACCCCCCTCCCCCTTCCCTACCCCTGTTCGTCTTCCACAAAGGCGCCTCCCAAGACTAAATCTAGACAGGAAGTGCGTGGGACCATAAACCCGGTTAATCGTTCTTTGGCCGTTTTTAGTAACCCTTAGTCCTCCCCAACCCCCGCTCTCCTTAGCATTGTATTCCAGTGCGAAGACCCTCGTTGTCCCCCTCCTCTGTCTGCCCTCGCTATCCCTTACAGCTGACAATCACCGCCTTCGAGGGAGCTTGCCCATGTCGTGAAGATCACTGGAGCTACTTTGGAGGGGTTAATTCAAAGACGTCATAGTATACAGTCCAGAAGGGGCTGCGAAACTAACTTATGTACCTATTTGATTTAAGCTTATCAGATACCCCAAATTTTTGTCCACTCGACCACGCTGATGATCATGTTACACGGAGAACCAACTATCTGCTTTGCAACAATCAGTAATAAGGAAACACTATGGCCTAGATGCAGGTTGAGAAGGGTTCGAAGGACAAGTGTGATTGCCTAGACCGCTACCTCTTTAGTGATCACGTAAATTTATTATTATCATTATTTTTTAATTTTTTTATTCCCCTCCAAACCCCCCATGGCAAAGAGGATAGATGAACGACAGAAGCTCTGGTGTGGGATTTCGAGCACGTTATCAAATACCTCTTTATAATTGGCAGTGGGGGGATGATGTACATATACTTATGGCTATATATATATAATATATATAATATGTGAAGGGCCAAGCTCCCCAGGATGCTCACTACTAACTTACTTGGCTAAGAAGAAAGTGAGGCAAAGTGCGTGTCTGTTACTCCTGCCAAGCCCGCAAGGTGTCATACGGTCCTATTAGCCAGGGGCAAAGATATCTCGACATGTCGATCGGAGATCGCGATTTTTTGGTACGGTATGCGCGTGGGGGTGTGAGATTTTTCCCATCGGTGCGGTGCGCGGGATGAGCCGTGCCCTCGCTTGGCTCATGTGACCTCTCCGCCGTTTTATACCTGGCCCATGATCAGCAGTTCTCCTATCCATCTTCGTAGATGTGGCCCTGCTATTGGATAATTATATGCTTCTGCAGTAACTGCGTAATCGAGACGCCACTGCCTGAGTAAGGCGCGAAACTGACTTCTGCTGTTCTGTATGACATCGCATGTGATGACATGCATATTCACCCCATATTTGCTATGTGCATTTTGTCGGGATGAAGATTCGCAACACACTACACTCTGTTTCGTCTGAAAAATATTAATTACGTCAGAAATAGCCGCTCTAGTAGCAGCAGAGATTCTGAGGAATGATGCCATCTACGATTCCTCCTATATACTGAGTTCGGTGCCATGCGCCATATGTGGGATGCAAATACCGTCGTTAATATTTCGTGGCACTTCAAATACTATCTATGATGAACTTACTTGAACAGACTCTCAAGACTATTTCTTTCCTGTGGGTTGTTGCCACTAGTTTACTCAGCTGGATCCTCAAGGGTACTACCGATCCTGCCGTCGTTACTGCGCCATATATACTGAAAGCAAAATCGAAAAGAAACTTTAAGAGCTCCATATTTCTAGGCTAATAATTCGTCAAGTCAGTGTTGATATATGAGCTGAGAAGGCGACCAAAGTATACCAAGTATATTTGCCGTAGCTGAACGTTGGCCCAATGAGGCATGGATACTGGCTGTATATGAAAAGGAGGCGGCGAATAAGACGAGAATGGCAAATAAACCAGTTTTCATTCGCCATCGTCAGGTGCCAGTAGCGAATTCGTTGAAAGCTCTGATCTTCATCAGAAAGACCATCTATCTAATCAACCAATGTCAATCGGAAAGGGAACTTTCACCAATTTTGCAAAGGATACTGTCATAAATCACTCGCTAGATCATACCCTCGAATCTGATCGATGTTATCTCCTTAACGTCAACGTCACGATGTCAAAGATAGTATTGTTAGGTAGAAAGTGGGCTACCAGTCAGCACATGAATCACGGGACCACGTGTCATCCATACACGACGCAGAACTTTCCCCCAACGAGACAACTCAGGCAGCCCGGTAAGCTACGAGCAGAAGTAAGCTATATCACGGCAAGACCCAGCGAGTCCAATCCAAACATCTTCAAAACAGGTAGACCCCAAGCAGGCCAGGCGCTTCCAGCTCAGACGACCTCATCAGCCCGCCGCCTTATTTTCCTCAAAGCAGTAACAGGATGAAGATCACTCGGGGGTCTCTCTTTCCTCATTCTACAATACGTTCTCTACCTGTCAGCATCCCAGTAAAGCGTCAAATGAAACCAGATACAACCTGGTTATCCCTTCACTAGTTTCCTTTCCCGGGACAACCGTCATCTACCAACTTACACATTCATCCATACACCCCTATCTCGACCACTCAGCCGTAAGAAAACCAGGCAACTAATACACCGGCCGGCATACATGTAAACACCCCTCTGTGGTCCTCCAAGTATACACAAAGTATATCATGCAAGTAAGTACTTTGCCTGGACTTACTATCGGTGGCTGTATCTCTATTTCATCCATCCATCAACATGACCTCTCATCAGCTGCCAAGTGGCAATAAACGCACATTCTTGTTCAGCAGAATCAATAAGGCAACCAAATGCGCGCAGGGTCCTACCTACCGACTTACGCTACGGTACCTATCACCAGCCAGCCCATATATCCAACATCGATATCACACCAACAAACCGGATATGTGCCGAAGGCATTCATTCCCCCAACGGATTCTAGAACGCGAGCTTGGGGGTTGGTTCCATCCATCAGCTCACATGGGCATGTGATCGAAACCGGAGATAGGGATGGAGGAAAACGAGATGGCCTCCTTCTCCGTTCCCCCTTCCTTTCCACCTGCTAGCGAGCGAGCGAGCGTGGTTCTGGTTGGTTGGGAGCCGGGCAGAAATGAGCCGAGCGAATCAACTCTTCTCATGGGCGCTTGCCACGGGATCTAACTAAAATCCGAAGTTGCGTTTTCTTTGGAACCCCAGCTCAGCGATGGTCGGCAACCGCGATAGGTGAGTAAGCGGGGTTGTAGGTTCTCGAAGCAAAGAACGATAGATGAAGCTCTCTCTTGCGTATCAAATTTTGCGTCACGTTGTGATGGCGTTGACAGTGCTCGTTGTTCTATCAGGTACCAACATAGACAATTCTTTGGGCGCGTAAGGGCTTGGGCAGAGGTTCATGCAGAAAATTTAATAATCTTGAGTGAAAATGGCAGAAAGAGGCAAGGGGAAATAAAGTTGCAGATAAGGGTGTCACTCCAATATAGCCATTGATTTATTTCATTTGGTCATTCCAATATTATTAACACACTACCAATATATAAACGCCTATTAAGCATCGAATCCGCTATATGCTATGCTGATAGACCAACAACCCCTAGGACAAGTATGATTTACATTCTAAATATGCCAAATTTGGTACCGCCGGGCTTAATCTCGTTCTTACCGCCCATGGCAGCGCGAAGTCCTAAGCCGAGATATCGCCGTGTATGTTGTGGTGGGATTACACCGTCATCCTATATGCGCATACAGAGTTAGAGCTGGGAGGCCAATGCGGAAGAGAAGTGTGATATATGCTGACGATGCACATCCATATATGAAATAGCAAGGGAATACCGTGATGAAAAGAGAAAGTGCACTTACCCATAACCTCGCAGAAGAAAATACAGCATCGCTCTCGCGCTCGATCCGATCCCGGAGCTCGGGGTCAGCCTTCTGCCCGACAGTCTGCATGACATTGGCAAGCTGCTCGCTGCCCATAACACCAATGCGCGCATTGGGCCACATCCATAGGAAGCGAGGCGAGTATGCGCGTCCGCACATACCATAGTTGCCGGCGCCATACGAACCGCCCACCACAACCGTGAATTTGGGCACGTCGGCGCAGGCAACAGCGGTGACAAGCTTAGCGCCATGCTTCGCAATGCCCTCTCGTTCGGCCTGGGCACCGACCATGAAGCCACTAATGTTTTGTAGAAAGACTAAGGGGATACCACGCTGCGCGCAAAGCTCGATGAAGTGTGCTCCTTTCTGCGCTGACGAGCCAAATAGTATGCCATTATTTGCGACGATGCCCACCTTGTGTCCATAGATCTGCGCAAACCCTGTGACAAGAGTGGTGCCAAAGTCTCGTTTGAACTCTGAGAAATGGGAACCGTCGACAATGCGCGCGATGACCTCGTGAATCGGCAAAGGCTTCCGCAGGTTCGTCGAAGCGATGCCTAAAAGCTCAGACTCCGGATACAAGGGTGAGGCGTAGCTATCTGCAGGCGGTGATGCCTTGTGTGGCCAGTTCAGGTTGCTGATGCAGCGCCGCGCGAGCACGATGGCGTGTGCATCGTTGACCGCAAGATAGTCTGATACACCCGATACCGAGGTGTGCAATGTACCGCCACCCAGCTCCTCAGCTGACACCTCCTCTCCCGTGGCTGCTTTGACTAAGGGGGGTCCTGCTAGGAAAATGTGGCCTTGCTTTTCCACAATGATATTCTCGTCACTCATGGCCGGTACGTAGGCGCCACCAGCTGTACACAGCCCCATGACGACCGAGACCTGCGGAATACCCTGCGAGCTCATCCTCGCCTGGTTGTAGAATATGCGACCGAAGTGTTCGCGGTCAGGGAATACGTCCGACTGATGCGGGAGGTTGGCGCCCCCGGAATCTACCAAGTATATGCATCTGCAGGCAACCAAATCATTAGTTAGTCTGAGTCATGCACAGGCGAAGCGAGGTTGTATATATCAATCAACATACGGGAGTTTGTTCTCTTTAGCTACTTCCTGCGCTCTTAGGTGCTTTTTGACCGTAATTGGGTAGTAGGTGCCACCCTTGACCGTGCTGTCGTTCGCAACGATAACGCAAGTCACGCCCTCAACGACGCCCACACCTGTGATAATGGCGCCGGCAGGGACGTCGGCTTCGGGATACAGCTCGTGACCAGCGAGAGGTGAAAGCTCCATGAAGGTGGTGCCTGGATCTATCAATGCGGTGACACGGTCTCGAGGCAGCATCTTCTTCCTTGCAATGTGCTTCTCCCTGGCTTTGACTGAGCCGCCCGCTTGGGCCGCTCGCGTCAGCTTCTCCAGCCGGGCCATGGCCTCGCCCATGAGTCGCTCATTCTCGCGAAACTCGTCCGAGCTTGTGTCTACATTGCTTTGCAATACAGATACTGCATCCGCCTGATAAGGGGCTGTATAGGAGGCAATGGTTCGAGTGGATGCTGTCGGCGAATGTGAAGGGGCTCGGCGAGGGGCAGCTGTTCGTCGGGGACACTGCCTACTAAGCTGGCGAGAGAGGCCCAAGAGGTCCCGCGAGGACCGTGACACCGACATTGGAGATTATTGTGTAGGTGACTTCCAGAATCAATTGGCTACCTTTAGAAAAGAACTTCACAGGAAGATTGAGCAGGAATTGAGGAGATGGAGGGGAATTGGGTAGATTAGTCTGTAGAGGCTGTCTCTGGATCGTGCATTCCCCGTGGGGATGACGGATGATCGCTTGCTCGGCCCGCTCGTAGCCGCTGACAGCCGCATCTAACAGCGCGTTTCCCGAGGCACAACTTGTACTTAGCCACCAGCAACTAAACCTTCCACACCTCTACATTCCTTCTTCCTTTGGTCTTGATATTCTCATTGATTTTCATTTCTAATCTATCAGGGAGTTAGAATGGCAAGTTTCAAGACAGTCCGAGCATTAGGGCGCTTGCGACCTGTGGCAGCAGCCTCCTCTCGAGCTGCCACATTCGCACCCCCGTCATTCCCCCTCCCTGTCATCCAGCACGCCTCGCATCGACGCTCGTACGCCTCAAAGAAGCACCCCAAGGGTTTTGAGGCTCCTTCAGCCGCCGACCTCGCCGAGCTACGCGAACGTGTGCAGGAGTTTGTCCGCCGTGAGATCACGGAGGAGGTCGCAGCGCATACAGACAAGAGCAACGCGTTCCCAAACGACATGTGGCCGAAGCTAGGTGAGGCGGGCTTCCTGGGCATGACGGCAGACGAAGAGGTCGGTGGTCTAGCGATGGGATACCAGGCGCATTGCGTTGTCATGGAGGAGCTGTCGCGAGCCAGTGGCAGCATAGCGCTAAGCTACGCAGCCCACTCCCAGCTGTGCGTCAACCAGTTGCAGCTCAACGGGTCAGCCGCACAGAAGGAGAAGTTCCTCCCTGGTCTGATTGCAGGCACGAAGATCGGCGCGCTCGCCATGTCTGAGTCTTCGGCCGGAAGTGATGTTGTTAGCATGCGCACGAGCGCCAAGAAGGTCGACGGTGGCTATGTGCTCAATGGTACCAAGATGTGGATTACAAATGGTCCTGACGCCGACGTTGTCGTTGTCTACGCTAAGACGCGACCTGATGCCGGGTCTAAGGGCATCACAGCCTTCATCGTCGACACGAAGACTGAGGGCTTCAGCTGCGCTCGTAAGCTCGACAAGATGGGCATGCGCGGCAGCAATACTGGTGAACTAGTTCTCGAGTCCGTCTTCGTGCCCGATGAACACGTTCTTGGCTCTGTCGACGGCGGTGTTCGCGTATTGATGGAAGGGCTGGACCTAGAGCGTCTCGTCCTTAGCGCGGGGCCCCTCGGTCTAATGCAAGCCTCCCTAGACGTCGCGTTGCCGTTTACTCATCAGCGAAAGCAGTTCGGCAGCCCTATTGCCCACAACCAACTTGTGCAGGGCAAGCTAGCCGACATGTACACCAAGTTGCAGGCAGCGCGGGCGTACACTTACGCCACGGCCAAGGCCGTTGATGAAGAGGGCATTATCCGTACACAGGACTGCGCGGGCGCAATCCTATACGCTGCAGAGCGGGCAACGGAATGCGCCCTCGATTGCATCCAACTTCTAGGTGGTATGGGCTACATGGAAGAGATGCCCGCTTCTAGGATATTACGAGAGTGAGTAGCCCCTTTCCGTTACAACCATAGTTGCTGAGAAACAGCCGATAACTAACCCTGAGTAGTGCCAAGCTATACGAGATCGGTGCAGGAACCTCGGAAGTCCGCCGCATGGTAATCGGACGGGCGTTTAACAAAGAGTATGCACACTTAGGGGCATAGATGTCTGAGAGAAAAAACTCGGGCACCCACGAGCGATGTTACTGCATTCAGCCGGCGTTTTGGGTTTAGTTACAGTTACATGCATGAATTTGATTGTGGAAGTACCTTCTCTTTTCGTTGCTCTCATCCCATACCCGATATCTCCCCGTGATGTATGTCAAGTGTAATGCTTCCAACTACGCCGAGGCAGTTGGGTCGAGGGTTGGAATTTACTGCAATGAGAACCATACGTTGCGGTGTTAGCGAAGTAGCCCCACCTCGTTTTCCCAGGGCATTGTCATACTCAACGGTTTCGTTCCGGAGTGGTCTTCCAGCAAGCCGGCCCCTGCGTAAGACATGGTGGCAACAGACAGTGTGTTACCGATCTGTAAGACCACGATCATACGATTTCCGCGGACAATTCAATCATGTTCGAGAGTACGCTACCGATAAATAGACGGGGCCGATATTGGCGGTTCATCAGGACGTACCGGTAGTTGCCAGAATAGATGGCAATGACTGATAAACTACTAGGAAATGGCGCCTCTAAGCCGTAGGAACGGATACCTAATGATACTCTATAACAAGCAGGCCTCAACTATCTATGTCCGGCTTCAATGGGCCAACCTCGCGCCCCTGTAATACAGATACAAGTCCTGCATCCAACATCCTGTCAGTTGCATTGCTTGGGTCGACCGGTGAGGCTGTTGAAAATCTTTCTAGCCAGTTCCAAGACCGGTTTAGGTAGCTGATTTGTCAAAGCAAGCGAGAAGTGGCCATTGAGACTGCGAGCATTATGTAGGACGTACTTGTTCTGGAACCAACGTCCGTGAGTGGTCTCTTTGGCCACAACATCTTCAAGGTTTATCAAAATCGTTCTTGAGTACCCTCAAAAGCGGAAAAATCTACAAACACGACAGATCCATATAGGAATAAGAGATCGACGTTTACGCAATGGGAAACCATCATGTACTCTCCACGTTGCTTGATTCGCACTTCGGAGACTTCAGATACCTCTATAATAGGGCATCTGACTGGCGAACAGGGCGATCTTGGACGAAAACGAAATGATTCAGAGAATAGGTAGTTCAACACATCCACATGTGCAACAATTCCGATTCCGTCCTTCAGCAGGGATACACTCTGGGCAACATGTGGCCAAATCTGACCAACCGGCGCGAGGATAAGACGTGAAACCGCCGGAATAAGAAGAGTGACCCTGATATGTCTTTCCACGTGTATCTTCATGAAGTGTCTACAGCACCAAGGCGCTCAAACTAATCCAATTATGCCGACTTTCGATAGTTGGGTATAGCAGTCTCTGCACGTTTTCAGTGATATTGAATGGCAAGCCTTAGCAAAAGGCATTTAGTGACAGATAAGCAAACACAACTACTCGCCGCGATCAGCATGGGTATGTTCTAGAGAGATCATTGCTTCTAGGGGATCTCTTAGCGAGGGCTTCTCTACGATGTTCGATCCAGATGGTATATAGTTTTCCGACTACAGCCTCACATATCTACTGCGTGGTTTTCCGCCGATTCGTAAGTTATTTAGACCTAAAAAGATATTCGATCACACTCAGGTGGAGCCCTTTGGGCGGGGACAACGGCAAAAGTACCGTTTTGTCCCCATTGTCTTGCTAGGAGGTTCCTTGATATCTCGAGGACAGCCACGCTCCGAATATACTATGCCCGGACAGCAACAGAGATGCTCACTGATAACAAGGAGTAAGCCGCTTAAGCGAGTTGAGTAGCATTCACTTTCGACGCATTCGGTATGTCGGCTTGATACTGCTAGAGTTCACCGCGAAAACCAACATGCACTAGGCAAGGGAACAAAGATCATTGCCGGGATTGTCGATCACACGCCCGATCCGAAGTTTCCACAATTGGGCTTCGAGACATGTGACTATACCGGCATCCGGTCAATATGTTTCGAGGTTCGAGGCTAGAGAGTGGGCTTCGGGAACAGTTCTATGAAAGCCGGATGGACGGATAGAGGTTTAGAGCTGTCTTTTCTCAAGTAGGACGAGCCACTTGATAGACCGCGTGACATGGCTTTGAGAACGGTGCGACGCGCTTCACTCTTCGCCTAGTGGTTCGGGCTAGGCGACATCGGTGGTCAGCTAAACCGTCAGCATTACGCAGGCAGTTAATTGCGTGGTGCATTGACGTTGTTGCTAGATTATGGTTTGTTTCAGCATTATCCACCAAATTGACCCATAGCAGTTGCTGTACAACTACCCGTACCCTGATTGTGGGAATGACAGGTGAAGGTTTATAGGATTGCATGTTTGAGAGTGACCGGTAAGCAGGGTTCGTGCAAGGGGTATCCCGGTCACTTGAGCCGCTCAGCCAACCCCTGCGACTGAAGGGATGAGGAAGTCCAGAAGAATCCTTATATTGATTAAGAGGAAAGATGGCAATAGCGTCCAGTACCTGGTTGTGATTCGATATTCCATGGGTCCAGCTTACGGCCGTCTTTCACCGGCGCAATTATCTGGCTGTAACGTGACCGGTGAGCGAGCCACTTTCACAAAGTCGGTCAAAGATATCAGTCGAGGATGACAATGATATAAAGGTGCCCTTCCCCTCGATATCGAGGTAATCATATACCCTCTAAGCTTGTTTCGCATCACATATATGGCCCGTAAATTAACCGAAAGAAGCCCTATGGCGGTAGGGAAGATTAGAGTGCGCCCCAAGACGGCTGAGAACTGCAAAGGGCTAAGGAAAAGAGACATTTGGGTTCGGAACAACGCCGTCAACTGGAAGGACGAGAAGGTATGGGAAAAAATTAGGAACCAAGGGTGCTATCACAAATCAGACGAGATAATCGTCAGTTGTGGTACCGTTACGATCAACAAAGCAGAGGGTGCTAACCCCGAGGTCCTGGTTGTATACAACAACAGGATCGGCATATATCAGCTACCCAAAGGTCGCAAAGACATTGGGGAAGGGTACCTTGATGCGGCGATTCGCGAAACAACTGAAGAAACGGGGATTGCTGTTCGTCCTCTACGACTAAAGTTCGCATCTAGATCAACACCACCCAGAGTAACTGCTGCAACAGGGGCGATAGTATGTGGCACCGAAGACCCGAGTACCGGGGTCACAAGCAGTTTGAGCAATGAAATGATTGGAGTGAGTGAGTGGTACGTAAAGTAGACCCTGCAACTTATACACCTCGGGCAGCTGGCGGCTTCTAGCTACCATCTCGCCCGGGTGACCGTCATCTTTATTTCGCTCACTGACAGCCTTCCAGTAAGTCAGACGGACATGCATTCCTGGCAATTTCGAAACCGATAGTGTTTGGATGACTAATATATGCCTACGGCAGACCCGGACCCTGCCACAGGAGCGTGGCGTAATATTCACTGGTATGCGGCAAAGCCGTGTGACGGTATTGAGCGGGATGAGGCCTACATGCCTATAGCAGATGATCGAGACAAGTTTTCAACATTCTGGTTTAGCGAGGTAGACGCTCTTGCGCTGCTCAAGCTAGATGACGAGAAGTATAGTGAGTCATGGCCCAATACAGTCTTTATCAGGAGCCGGCGAAGCTCGAAGTCACATCGGTTGAGGGTTTTTGTACTGCGTACAGCACACGATATCATGAGGCGGCACCATTCGAATGCTTACCATCCACGCCCTCAATGCAGTTCTGCCTGCTAATCCCACGGTCGATGTAGTGGTCCGGGTCGCCTTCCAGCACGTCCGCAACATGTCGACGGACGATTGGTCAAGCAACGAGGAGCTTGAGGGGAAGCAGGAGCTACTGTAGTGTGAGCATGCCAGGATAATGATGATCACACTGCTGAGAAATGGACATAGCGGCATCGTGGGAGAATATTAAAAGCAATCTCGGTGGCAGCATACGGACAGACCGGCCGAAGGCAGAGGGTAGAGCACAGACGGGAAAGGCTGTTTACAACCTCATTGGTAAGAGCTGAAAGCGTGGGAATTTTTGAATGTAACGTCGGTGGCAAGGTGCCTCATTCAGGCACGCCTATCTCTCGCATCAAGGCTGTCGTCATCCGCAGAACCGCGTGAGGGGACCAAATGCCAGTGATGGGGGCTTTCTTGTCAAGATAAGCGACATACTCAAGCAGATAGTAACGAGGATGTTATGCTTTGATTGGATGAATGGACTGGCAACGGGATAGCACTGGCACACAGAGTAAGACATGCATCCAGTTCCGTGTGGTGATTGAGAAGCAGCGGACAGCAATAAGGACGGCGATGTGAAGGGAATGTGGAGGGAGGACCACTCGGTTACTACGTTGTCGACGCCAGGACGATGAAGTTGCAAGCTGAGCTTCACGATTGTAGAGTAGAAAGGCCGGTTGTCTCCTGGAACAGGACCGCTTGGCCTGCCTCCAGCCCGTGGTGCCGATAGCCACACACCAAGCCACATGCACACGAGCAGCAAGCCACAATGCAAGCATCTCCAATTCTGGGGGAAGGTGTGGTGTTGGTGTAGGTTAGGGTGGGCCACTACCACAAAGTGCGAAAATAAAAAAATCAGGCTAAGTGCGGGGTAAAACTTATTTTCCAACTGTACCTAAGGGATCTAAAAGTTTTAAAAATATAAATAATCTATAGCTTATATTAAGCATTATAATTATTTAAGTTATAGCTTTTAGCTATATAGGTTTATATTGTAAGTCAGTACTGTAGGTCTGTATTGAAGGTCTGTATTGTAGGTCAGTATTGCAGTCTGTATTGCAGTCAGTACTGTAGGTCTGTATTGAAGGTCTGTATTGCAGTTAGTACTGTAGGTCAGTACTGAAGGTCTGTACTGAAGGTCTGTATTGAAGGTCTGTATTGTAGGTCAGTACTGAAGGTCTGTACTGAAGGTCTGTATTGTAAGTCTGTATTGAAGGTCTGTATTGCAGTCAGTACTGTAGGTCTGTATTGTAGGTTAGTACTGAAGGTCTGTACTGAAGGTTTGTATTGCGGTCTGTATTGCAGTTAGTATTGTAGGTTTCTATTATAATCTATATTGCGACTAAGCTATATAGATTATATATAGGAAGGTTAACTATATATAAGCGTATATATAATAAGCTATTAATTAAGCTATAACTTAACCGTTAAATAGGACTATTATATAGATTGTAATATAGACCTTTAATACAGACCTTCAGTACTAACTGCAATACAGACTGCAATACAGACCGCAATACAGACCTTCAGTACTAACCTACAGTACTGACTGCAATACAGACCTTCAATACAGACCTACAGTACTGACTGTAATACAGACTACAATACTGACCTACAATACAGACCTTCAATACAGACCTACAGTACTAACTGCAATATAGACTGCAATACTGACCTACAATATAGACCTACAATACAGACCTACAATACAGACCTACAATACAGACCTACAGTACTGACTGCAATACAGACCTTCAATACAGACCTACAGTACTGACTGCAATACAGACCTTCAATACAGACCTACAGTACTGACTGCAATACTGACTGCAATACTGACCTACAATATAGACCTACAATACAGACCTACAATACAGACCTTCAATACAGACCTACAGTACTGACCTATAGTACTGACCTACAGTACTAACTACAATATAGACCTATATAGCCAGAAGCCATAACTTAAATAGTTATAAAGCCTAATACAAACTATAGATTATTTATATAACCTTTAAAATAGGTATTTAAGTAATTATTTATATTTTTAAAACTTTACTTTATACCCTTTATTATATTTGGTCCCCTTAGGTAAAGTTGGAAAATAGGTTTTACCCCGCACTTGACCTGATTTTTTTATTTTCGCACTTTGTGGTAGTGGCCCACCGTAGTAGGTACTGCTGGGCGTGGAGGAGGAAACCCCTTTGGGGCAGTTACGACAGGGTGATGTCATGCCCGTCTCGCTAGGCGCAAGCTTCCCCTCAGGGCAGAATAATCGAGGTGTCAAGCAGCGCATTGGAAGAGCACACGCGCATCTCACGATGACCAGCATACGCCCAGTATTGCCGTAGTCTGCCCAGGTAGTAAATAGTCATAGACCATAAGAATCGAAGAATAGCACCTACTTGCACTGTAAAAGACCTCATGCCAAATCCACCCTTCCCCATATCTGCATCGATATCTGCGTCGCTGTCGAGGCACCTGCCGAAATCGCGAACTGCCGCTACAACTGTTGCAGCGTCATATAGACCACCACAGCTTCCCCTCCCCACTTGTCCATGCAACATCACCACCTCTCTTCTTCCATCTTTGAGCTCCCAGAGCATCAGCACACAGACCAACAGTAATCTCGGTATACAATCTACAGCCAGAAACACCGCCAGAATGTCGACTATGCCGGCTCAACACGGCCACAGCGAGGCCTGCTGCAACATCCCACCAATTGTCTCGAGCGGCTATGACCCGAAAGGCAGTTATGAAGAGCTAGGCGGATACAAGTCATGTGCGTGCAATCGGCCCCTGCCTATTTATTAAGATATCCATCCCCCTTATATTCTGCATCCAATGTGCAAACACTACCTACACTCAAACAAAAACCTCGGATACTGACTATGCGCTCTCACAGACGTTACTGGACCCTCAGACGCAGCCAAGGGCGTTGTCACCATCTACGATATCTTCGGATACTACCCACAGACGCTGCAAGGCGCCGACATCATGGCTCTATCCGGCACAACAAAGTACAAGGTCTTCATTCCGGACTGGTTCAAGGGCGACCCAGCCGACCTGTCCTGGTTCCCACCGGACAATGAAGAAAAGCAACAGAAACTCGGGGCTTTCTTCCAGAAGCACCCGCCCCCAAGCGTCGCGTCACGGGTGCCAGGATACGTCAAGGCCTTGTCAGAGAAGTACCCCGAGATCAAGGAGTGGGCAATTCTAGGCGTGAGTAGCACAGATGATTTCTCGTACCCCCATCTCGATCAAACACCGCTAATTGCTCCTATCTTTTAGTTCTGCTGGGGCGGCAAGGTGGTCTCTCTCGTGACTGCCTCTCCCGAAAATCCCTTCAAGGCCGGCGTTGAGGCGCATCCGGCAATGGTCGACCCCAAGGACGCAGAGGGCATCAAGATTCCCTTAGCACTCCTCGCGTCAAAGGATGAGAACCCTGAGGACGTGAAGAAGTTCGAGGCCAACTTGACTGGCCCCAAGCACGTCGAGACGTTCCCAGATCAAATCCACGGCTGGATGGCTGCGCGCTCAGACCTTGACGACGAGCGGGTGAAGAGCGAATATAAGCGTGGCTACCAAGTTGTCCTTAACTTCCTTTCCCAGCACCTGTAAATAATTTCTTATACCGCACACTAAGCATTTATGTCTAAGGCTCAGAGGCTGAGATCATAGTAATACCTATTCGAGTTGTGGTTTGGTGGGAGTTTTTGTTCTCTTGGAATCTACGTACATAATCCATTGAACAGACTGATAAAATGTACAATGCCTTTCAATCACGAGCTGGTAACGAACACGAAGTGATTTTAGGGTAGATGAGCACAAGCATCTGGGGAATAAGCTAATACAGTTGTTTCCGCTTGATAGTATTTTTATTTCGAGAACAGTAGCGCTTCACAGCCTCGTGAATAGCCACCGGTCTTGAACGCTAATGTTAATCTCAACTCCTCAGAAGACCTCCTGTAATGTTCACATACCCGAAAATAATACCCAATATAAGTTTCTTGAATAACCATACCATCAAAAGTCTGCGGCGTCATGACTTGGACCACTCTCTGTATCCGTGCTCGATCTTTCCTCAATGGTTTCGGCATCCCGTCTATCTTTATTCCGTCTTTCGACCCAATATCCGCCATCAACTCATTCCACGCTCGTTATTTTCGTCACTTCGAACTCGGACAACCTCTCGATCTGTGGGCGAGGCGGCACATCCTTCCTCAGAAGACCTCGAAGCGGACTGCGGCCCATTCCCTGGCTAGATATTCTCTATGAGCCGAGAGATCAAAAGCCTTTGGCTGCTTCCTGTGGCTGTATTTGCGCTCCCATGTATACTTCAGCATGCTCACAAGCTCGGCGGAATGCGGCGCCAGGATGTTGACGCGCGAGACCTTGAACCAGCCTTTGAATAAGTACATGGGCTTCTCCCCCCGTTTGGAAGCCTGCTTCCTTGATGCATGGCTCCGTCGCAGAAGTCGGCTTTCAAAGACGGCAATTGGGAGGGCGTTGGCGGGCACGTAGTCGATTGGTGCGATGGTGGGGAAGTTAAACTGAGACTCTGAGGATGAAGATTCGGAGTAAACCCGGGTATCCGTGTACTCCGCGCGGCTGTCTTCTTCAGACTTGGGAGGTTGGTGAGGTGCTGAAGTGAACTGTATCACTTCTGTGCCGGAATCTGTGTGTTTCAAATGGCTTGTTGTCTTGGTATTTGGAGGAGTAGAATTAGGGGTGGCTCGTATCAAGGTATCCTTATTGTCCTCGGTTAATCCGTCTTGTACCGGTTTCACAGCTGCGCCATCATTCATCTGTATTTTTTCTTCTGTGAACCATTCTCCTCTCTCGGCTTTCTTCTCTACATATTCCGGGAGCAGGTTCAGTCTGAGGGAGTCAAAGACAACGCAATCAGGAACCCAATGCACATGGTGGTTCGCTGAAAGCACCATATGAGAAAGATGTCCGGGACGGTCCTTTGAATCACGGAATGTAGTGCTTTGCAAATTTTTAGCATCGCCTCCACTGCCCCAGAAACACTCGCGGATGCTGTCTTCACTCTATGGTTTCCAGGTCCAGTCGAGCTGGGACCTCTGTTTCGTGGATTCCCTCTCGGACTGCTGTCGGCCTTGTTGACCTCGGCCCCCTTTACTCGGTTCATGATGCTCGCCTCGGTCATTTTGAAGGGTGCTCTGTTGCGACTCGTTAGTGGCGTCTTCGGCTGGAGGCGCATCACGAAGCGCGCGACGTCCATGAGGCGGGATGTACAACATTAGATAAATGTGGCAGGTGTTACTTAAATTTGTCTACTTCAGAGAAGAATATTACATGGCCTAGGCTGATGTTATGTGAATGAGGGGGGATTGATTTAGGTGAGATGCTGTGATGATTCTGCGAGCTGGTCTCCTCGTCTGCTCTTTCTCTCCCACGCGATGGCAGGTGGCGTCTGCTTAAGTAGCCCTGATCCCGCAGGCAACCACGATAGACTGACCGAGCCAATTCGAAACAACCCTCAGGTCACGGTGCAAAAAATCTGCAACTGTGAACGTGGTATGACTAAAAGATGCGAGATATCTCACCCACTTAGGTGGGTGCTGGGGGATGTTGTGTTCGGGAGCTTGGCTGGGTTTGGGTTAAAACGTTCATGTTTTTGTTTCCATCCTTTTCCACTGCATCAGCTTAAAGCTGGTATAATAAGTTGCGGCTAGGAGCAGCCGAACCTCTCTTATCACTGTCCAGGAATCCTCGTCTTCTCAGATATCAAGGTACGTTGCAGTAAACCACATACATATGTCACAACTAGATACCTAGCATGAAACAAACACAAATCAGAAGAACCCCCGACGCAACTAGACATCGTGACGCCCATATGTTAGTAATCCCATGTTCGTAACTCAGCTTTCATACTTAATATGAGCTGGCCTATCTTAAAAGGATATAATTCCATTTTAAAAACCATACCTATGATACATGTAACCAGGGCCACTTCTATCCAGTAGTTTCATGTCCATTTACAGTACTCATACATCAGCTATTATCCCATAATCATCAGACATATACATTCATTGCTTTCCAGTGCCACTAACAAGTAGCACCACGCTCCCAAGTTGTCGTCGTAGATCTTCTTTTTCGACATCGTGTGTATCTTCCACCTCTCCCCAGTTCCCGATCTGCCAATCCACCTCAATGCTCGCCATCTTGGCCGCCTCCTCCACGCCATATGGTCTCTTCGCCCCCCTCGCCCCCTTAACACCAACGAAGCCCTCGCTCCACTCAGCCAGCAACCGCGCCGCGCCTAATAACCCCTTACCAGCAAGCACGGCTCGTTCCAAACCGGCCAGTTCCCAAGCATCAAGCCCCATGATCCAGCCCTCGATGATCTGGCGCGTCTCGGGTTTCTGGCCGCGTGGCATGATGCTCTCCTCATCGAGCACAGGCTCGATCTCGATGCCCGGCCAGACGTTCGTCGTCAAGTACGCCACGACCTCCTCAGCGGCCTGTCTCTGGAGTTCTCGGAGCGTATTCCCCGCAGCGTCCGGAGCGTCGTGGCCATGGCGCGGCGGCGGCGCCCAGCAGAGGAGCGAATCTGTGTCAAGGTAGCGCATGAGCATGCGCGCGATGCCGCTACGTAGACTCTCGTTCGTAGATCCCGCCTCCCCCTCTCCTTTCTCCACACCTATGTCCTTGCCCGCATCGTCATCGGCGATATCGAGTGCGCGATTCACGAGGCTCGTCAGCGGTATGAGATGCTGCTTCGTAGCCTGCTGTGCCGAAACGAGCTGGTCCCATTCCAGCGCCACCGCAGCTGCGAGCAGCGGCTTTGACGCTGGCAAGCGCACGATTTCTTTATTTGTCGGCCGGCGCAGCGGGCGCGTGTCGAGATGAACCTCCAACGCCCCGTCGACCTCGCGCACATGTACGTGTTTCCAGAACCGCCGGCGTGCGAGCGGGTTGGCTTGTGTGTTTCCGGATGGCCGGTTTGACCCCCGTATCTCTTCTGCTCGCTCTAGGAGCGCAGCATGCTTCTTCCGACGGTCGAGGCGTGTGCTCGCGCTGTCGGCTGCTGGGCGCGGGGGCTGGGGCGGCGGTCCTGTGCCATGGATGGGGGATACCGTGGCAGGTGAAACAGGCGTGGAGTGAATGAGGCGGGGGGCAAGCAGCAGGGAGCAGTGTCCGGATACAGAGCTCGATTGGCGAGCTGCAAGCCGCAGCACGACTCGTGTCGGCGGCTTCATAGTTGTGGTATATGTGAATTGTGCTGGTGATAAGGTAGCTACGTAAGTTAGAATAGTTCAGAGAAGCCTTCGAGTTGAATTTCCGCTTAAATGTCTTATCGATAATACATTAAGAGGTTGATTGAAAGCACATGCTCGCAATTCAAACGTCAGCAGTGCTGGCTGCGGTATCCCAATCTAAAACTGATAGAATTGATAGATTATTACCTTATCATCAAAAATCAGCAAAGCAATAAAAAATCGGTTCAGGTTAATCATTGAAGCCCACATAGCCTTAACTGCCTCTGTATTTTTTTCTACACTAAATACTACATATAGTATACGCTAAATCAAAATAATTATACTATGTAGCCATAATAAAATTGTGTTGAAACCCCGTCCTGCGACTTCTATGTACTTGCTTTCTAAAAGTTTGTGTGATTTTGTGTGACATAATGTCCACCAAGGCGCTGGAACCCGCCCAGCAAATGTATATATGACTAGTAAGGGGGCCTGCTAAGGTTACCAATTGTGTTCTGTCGAGACTTGCTATCAATGCCCCTAAGCAGTGACTGAAGGTCTAAGGCATTGCTAACACTGGTATCGGCGAATGCGTTTGAGTTGGCATTCTCGCCCTCTCGACTCTTGATGTTTCGTTTCTGAGTCTTGACCCCATGGTCCTGGAGTGAAATTCGTAACGACTGGTCCAGCCCCGTCTCTCGTTCTGGAGACTTTCCAACATACGAGGCAGGGAGAGGTGGTACCGGAGGCACTTCATCATCGTCGTGGTCACTAACATCCATGGGATGAGATGTTAAAGGGCCACCTGAGTCACCAAGTGCTTTGTTCTCACGAGATTTTGGTCGTGTTCGAGACTGGTTTCCATCATTTGTCTCATTACCATCGAGCGCTTGAGGGCTATAGGAGGCTTCCGAAGGCGAAAACTCGTAGCTAACCATACTGTCGCTACTATTATCGTCTTCTCGGACTGTGTGGACTGTATGAATTGTTTGTGGCCTGGTTGGATCCCCAGTCAGTGCTGATTTGAGCTGCTCAACTGATGCCACAACGCCTCGAACGGAGCCGCTCTTTCCGGAACTACGACTCTGTACGCTTGATTTGCGAGCAGCTTCATGCGTGCCAGCGTTTGAAGACGGTCGCAGATTATTACGCCCAGCATAGGCTGAACCAGGTCGACTAGTGCCATGGCCATTAGTTATAGGCCCGTTAACAGCAAGCCGATTCTTCCTTGTTGCCGTCGTCCCAGTTTTAGAGCCACTAAGCGACGCGGATTTACTGCCTTCTTGGATAGTGGTAAGAGCAGATTCTCGACTCCATTCCATCAACATCTCTTCTCTAAATTTGGCTGGAAGCTCATCATGACCGTCAACTGGGGGAATTGTGCTAAGCGTTGAGGTCAGGATAGGGCTCGCGAACGATCGACCGGGTGACCCAGTAGGGCTCACAGGTGGAGAGACAGGGCCATCTCGATAATTGGTAGAGATACAGTCGATCATTGTTAGGCGATCATCAAATGGGAGTAACGCCTCCGACTCGATTTCGTGAATAGATATCTTGCGCTCTCGGCTTTGTATCCCTGGCATCCCAATAGATTGGAGTGACGGAGGTGGAACGTGTACTCCCTCAACCCAAAAGCTCTTACTCCGCCGTCGCGCAATTTCGTTCTGGATAGTCCTGCCAATAGCAGAAGTTTCAAAGTCATATTGCTCACTCACAGCCCAAAAATAGCCATGACATAAGCAGCCTAAGCGCACTTTTGACAAGGGTGTCTCGACTTCTTGTATATCTTCTTGGAGTCTGAAAACCATAGGAAGACCGAATCTAGTAGCATTCACCCCCAATCGAGTAACGAGCTTCGTCAATAAGATATGGAGCAAAGCTACATCCGTATCGAACTCAATATATTGCAGTGCAGTGTCATATATAGCAAGATGTAGGTGGAGGAGAAAGTATGATCGCCTGGCGGATTTCTCTCTGTTTGAAGCATTCGACACAGCTCTGCGGTTAGCATTTGCGGGAAGGCCTTCGCGGTTGTTCACTCGTGAAGAATCATGGCTCAAATCGTCTCGAGCTATGAGATCAGCTCGTGTAGTTTCTCTGTCCAGCCAAGTGATGATTGCATCCACGTATGTTTTGCGAACCTGTCCATCAGGGTCACGTAAGAGCCAGTGAGATCCCTCCCATACCTGGATAGGGACTTTATTTCTTCTCAAACTGACATTCCCACTCAGTTTCGTCTTAGGGTTGGCGATCATCAAGATCGATCGTATAGCTTTGAGTGCAGTTGCCTTCGCCAGATCCTTGGCAAAATAGTTATCCAGTTGAAATTGTTCTTCTGAGATATTTCCCGATGATGCCCCTGGGCCAGGTGGAGTGCTAAGTTTTTCGGCAGTTGTTTTTGACTCTGGAGCACTGGGATGTGGCTTCAAGTGCGACAAAATCACCGAGATCATATCCGAGATTTGGTCAGCATAGTATACGTGAGTTGCAAGGTCTCCCATGCATTGTTGAATACGGTCGAGCAGCGTGCGTTGTTGGGGATAAACCTGCTCCCGGCTGTCTGATACTAGTTCACCCTCGAGACTCGCACTAGATGAAGTACCGTCTCGTGAGGCGGCACAGTACCGCAGTGTCCGCTTCATATGTTGTATCAGACTCAGAAGAACATCGATGACGCTTAGGCCAATCAAGTTTATGTCCGAGCGTAGAAGCGAGCCGATAATGGCTGCCAGAACGGTGAGCTCATCAATGCTATCCCTAGACGGTTGAATTTGCAGCATTGCATCCATAGCCGTAACCATGATAGCATATCGATCTTGCACCGGCGCCCATCTTGTGATTAAATCAAAGATTTTAATTGCCCAACCGCTATCTCTGCTACCGTCAGGCTGAGACTTGACTACTACCTCTTTTTGGGAAATACGTTCTTGGGTGAACTTCAGCAATGCGGTGGTGGCTCCATGTAGCTGCGGTCGATTTGGCATTACGAATATCTGCTTCAAGCATTGCATTGCCGCCACCCCTGTATCTTCCTCTGCTAACTTGTCAATGTCACCGGATGTGCCGGAAATGGCTATAGGGTTCGTGTCGCCACCATTCTCTGCTGTCCTCACGGTTGATACGCTTGTCCTACGCCGTAGTAACGCGTTTGAGTCGACCTTCTCCTCCATCTGGGCGCGCTGTAGCAAGACATCCAGGAAATCTTCATCGTCAGTCCAGAGATTCTCGAGTATCACTGGGACTAAAACATGAAGCTGACGTCCAGATACAGACGACAGTGCATCTGAAGTTGCTACACTTTTGATAGCTCCTAGACCGGCATTTCGCCAGCGAAGGGCCACCGATTTGCTAGGGGTCCCTTTTCCGGGTGTCACGCGAGTCGAGGCGCAAGCTGCATATGCGTGCACTACCTCTTCGTATTGACGCAAATAAGCCTGGTCGGCAAATAACGACGACACGTCATGATGCTCACAGAAAGTCTCGAACGTTGGGAGTGAGGCCTCTACCATGGTGATGTCGTTAGAGCGAAGGATGAGTCCGAAGATTTTGAGGACATTTTGCGCGAAGAGAGGCAGGTCTTTCGGTGACTTCTCAATGAGGGCAGCTAAGATCTGCAAAGTGACCTGAACATTGCTAAGGGGCACGTTGTGTAAGCAACTCATACAGAAGATGCATACGTTATAGGTTATGGAGGTACTCACCCTATACGCAGCCTCCAGACATCGCTAGCCGTCTTCTTCTCAAGGAATTGGCCAATCTTCTGTATCTTGGAGCGTCGTGACGTGGCATAGAAAAGGAGATAGCTGAGCTCGCTGGAGTTGGGCTTAATATCGACTGCGCCCTTGGTGGTCCGGGGATAACATTTGAGAACTAGGACTTGGTGTTTAGGCCGGCATTTCTGTTGAATGGCGTTCATCGCGACCGAAGCCCAAGGTCCGCTGCGAACCCGACGATACGACGACTGTTATAGAACGATGGGTCGGATTAGGCGGGATCGGGACGCAGACAACGCGGTGGTGAGCAGGGACGTGGCCTCGGCCAAGGCCGTGGCCGTCGAGTACAAAGTCGGCGTCGAAGGTAGTAAGCTACTGTGCTATGATGACGGAGACAAACGATGACGAGGCCGCGGGTTAGACGATAGGGAAAGGTGTTTATTTGTGGCTTGGGCTTCGAGGACTAGACAAGGGACGGCAAGGCGTCGCGAAAGGAGGGAAAATTACAAACAACACCACCTCGTAATAATAATAATAAGTAAGGTTGGTAGGTAGGGACCGAGAAATTGACAACATGTTATGGATATTTGGCACGACTTACGAAGGTAGGTACCGAAAATATACCTAGCTCTGCCAGCCCAGCTGGATGGCCCCAGTACATATTAGGTATGTAGAAAGGTACCTGATAGGTAGCGTAGCACGTACTGTAGGCGGAGGTAGGCAGTATGCTGTAGCGGCTGGTACCTGCTGCTACTTAACTATGCGTACCTCTAGGCATAGGCTCCATTCCATTGGCCTCTCTTTTCAATAGTGGGCCGGAAGCACGCCAACACCACGGTAAGGCAGATACTTGTACCTTCTTCGTAGATACCGGTACCCTACCTACTATGTATCTCTGGACACCGTCGTAGTGGATGAATTGCTTGGCAGGACACTACGGTATATCTCTTATATCGAGAACGGCCCTGGGAGTAAAGCATATGTAGTCTTCGATGAGAGCTGAGAGGTATGGACATGTTAGCAATACCGGTAGGTAAGATTGAAGTACCCGTAAGAAACAGGTGTCCTATTCGCATGACAATTATAGTACTGTAACAGTTCGAGTTGGCAGCCTGCTTCAAATGGCACAACTACAGGAGGTACTGAACTACCAGCATTCTCCCAAAGGGGGTAATTTAAGTGGACTTGCACCAATCAGGAGGAATATCCGCGTACACACATGTACTAGTACATCCATATAGGTACATGTAGGTACCAACATAGTGTACCTAGGAGAAGTACCTATCTACTGTAGGTAGGTGCTCAAGTGTCTGCAAGTTTTAGAGACAGGTTGTGGGGATCTGCACCATGCGTCATTGAACATGAGCAATGTTCAACATCCCTACCGAGTTTCCCTACTAAGCATCAGATCGAAGAGGGCCTAGCTAGCAGGCGCAGCAAAGGAGATCATCGTCATAAATCGTGCTCAAGGATAACAGCAGTCAGTGTGCTAGTCGTTGGACTGTCTACACTACCTACTAGGTAGGTAGAAGGTCTATGTCGTCCGAGAGGTACCTTGAAGTTGTGAGGTAGTGTCGCAAGCTCAGTTTCCAAGTGCTGCTATGCTACCTTCAATATCATGCACTAGAGCGAAGGTAGCATTTAAAGGGTGCAGCCAACTCAGCATATCATCTCTTAAACAGAGGTAAGTACATATATTCAACCATCGAATGCTCCCTTACCTACATACATGGACATTATCTACTTAGTAGATGCGACATGTACTTCGCTTTTCCAAACATCACCTAGCTTGCGAAGAACCTCCAACCCTTGATACCTGTGATACCTCTGCAAAGTGATTCTGTTACGCCACTGGTTTTGAATAGTAGAGCAACAGACTCCTCGGTCAGGAAGCCACCCGAGGCCCGACCAGACATTCGCCATTATCATCTCGGATCGCCATGCAGGTCCAAACAATCCAGATCACACGTCGGCATAAGGTGCTCGCTCTGCTCCAAACGTACCAGACATCATAGCAACCACCTATAAATATGACACAATATTATTCAAGGCCCATGACCAACTCACCAGGCAAAGAAATGAAAGCTGACCCCCTACCTACACCATATTCAACCCTCGGCATTACATCGCAGAGGAGATTGCATCTGTAGAGCTTATTATCGATGAGCCCTTTATAGGTACTCTCTCGTTTAGTGTCTATTGCTGGGGTTGAGAGGAGCTTTTCTACAAGAGACTATCTGCTTACTCTTAGTCGAGCCGCCTATTGTCAGTTCTTTGGTTTGTGCGTGGCCGCTAATTCTAGCGTCATAATGTGTATATCCTCCTCGTAACCTTTGAACAGCGATATTGTATTGTGATGCTCTATCGCCGTTGTTGTGCTCATACGTTTCTTAGTAGTACCTAGGCTGAGTCTTACTATTACATTTTAGTTGGTATCGGGTTAGATGCCGGTATCGAGACTTCACGGAATCTCCTGATGCCCAGTGCATCGCGCAGCGGATACCTGCCGATATCTTCCGGTCCTCGTTGAGCAACACAGCATCAGGTATCATTCTGTCAAGCAACCTCATAAGCCGCGCAATGTCACCAAGTTGAGGGTGAGTGCTGTTACACCAAACGTCATACCGCTCCAACATTCTCTATTCCAATCATCAATCTCCAAATCAATGTCCTATACCGACTAGCCAGTCACTCTACTGTAGGATTGTAAAACCAGGAGCATCTTCTGTTAAATAGCGATTTAGAGCAGGATATACGGACCAAACTATCTGTTGTCACAGCGAGCAGCCTGAGACATGCCAAGTGTATACTTAAATTAACAGAAACATCGAAGCAGCAGATCCTAGCCATGTGATGAAGATAACAAATGGTATGACTTTCCCCAGGATTTATATTATCCATCGTACGGACGTGGCACCAACTATTCAAATTATAAATACTTTGGACAGCACTTATCGTACCCTGTAACCGATATAGGTAGCTGAGCAGGAAGCTGCATTAACCTAAATCTTTAGTAGATGCCTGGGTACGTATTTGGAAACTGCGGGGATAAAGTTGTTGACCGCGGAATTGCCCCAGGTCATCTATCAGTCGAAAGCAAGAAGCCCATTCAGACCTATTGAAGCCACAAAGATAACCTACTGGTCTCAGAGATTGAGAACTCGGCTCTTATAGGCTGCTTAAGCTCATGCAACAGATCAACAAAACATTCTCCACTTGAGTGAATAAGCATCGCTGCTTTCCCTGTCCGTGGTGATTCCACCTAGAGATAGCAGGCTCTCTGGGATGATTGGGATGATTGAAACCAATACGGCTGTACTGCCCATCGCTTTTCCCAAGCTCGTGGCTGTAATAGCCTCGTTGTGTATGTCTCACTCAGTCTTCAATGGTTAAGAGCTGTTTGTGTCTCACGAATCGGAATCGAGGGCAAATCGCCAAGCAAGAAGCTGGAAAAGGCCGTGCCCCACGACGAAAGTTGGAGAAAGATAAGACATCAAGGTAGGTGATGTACGCAGTGACCGCGTGCACACAAGCATATCTCTGCAGCAGCCACCAGAGATAAATCCTTGTCGATTTCTTCTGATCGGCCTGCGGGAGTTACACCGCAGGCATTCAGTAACCCAACACGGCAGAGCAGGCCGGTATTGGTCAATATAGTATGTAGTTCATCTAGGGTTGGTACCGTATATGATGCTAGTGACGCCCACTTGACGTCTGTCTGTTTCATTTTGGTTCCCATTTACTTGCAGCGACCATTAGACGTCCCATCCACTCCAACTTCAATCGGTCCTGGATAGAGCCGCGCGCTTTAACACGGTGATAAATAGCACTGTGGATAACGCCCATCTACTAAGCCGCCGATATTCAACAAGCCCTCAATGTCTGCAAGCCGAGAGGTAGGCGGCGGCCACCCACATGGAGAGCATGCGCCCGCCGTCACCACAGTATTCGCGGATGGTGATGTACCAGACAATATCTCCGGCATGTCGGAGGATGAAGCAGCACTGGCTGCGCTGGGATACAAACAGGAATTCAAGCGCGAGTTCTCAGCCTGGACTTCATTCGCCGTCAGTTTTGCCGTGATGGGATTGCTACCTAGCATCGCCTCAACTATGTGGTATGGCATCGGCTATGGTGAGTAGTCAGAACGAAGCAATTGTTTAGGAGATGATGGCTAATTCAGCTCGGTGTAGCCGGGCCTGCTGCCAACACATGGGGATGGCTCGTCTCCGTCATATTTATCATATGCGTAAGTCTCACCGTCGTAATTGTCCGCCTAGCGCTTGAAATACGGGACTCTGCTGAATACCTCTCTAGATTGCATTGTCCATGGCCGAGCTAGCAAGCAGTATGCCAACATCTGGCGGGCTATATTACGCAGCAGCCGTTCTCGCGGGTCCGAAATGGGGTCCTCTAGCAGCTTGGATAACAGGATGGTCGAACTGGTTCGTCCAAGTCACCGGATCTCCCAGTGTCAACTATGGCGGAGGTGAGTCAAGCGTGAATGCAGTTCCTAGTATAGTCATGGCTGCAAGATTGACGATTCAACAGCGGGTATGATACTGGCTGCAGCAAGTATCGTCAACCCAAGCTACGTTCCAACTCAATATCAAACTTTCCTCCTTACCACCTTTCTCATGATCGTCCACGCGTGCATCAGCAGTATGCCAACGCTGTGGGTCGCACGCTTCAACTCAGTTGGGACTGCTATAAATCTTCTCGCGCTCTTCATCATAATAATCATCATTCCAACTACAACGCACAATGTACCAAAATTTCAGCCTAGCCGAGTAGCTTGGGGTATCGAGAACTTCACGGACTGGCCGGACGGAGTTGCAGTCTTGATGTCCTTCCTAGCGATCTGTTGGACAATGAGCGGTTACGATGCTCCCTTTCATCTCGCTGAGGAGTGCTCCAACGCCGCGATCGCTTCTCCGCGAGCCATTGTGATGACAGCTGTCTCAGGCTCTGTTCTAGGTTTCATTCTGAACACCTTGATCGCGTATACTATCACCGACATCGATGCTGTTATTAACTCGGATCTTGGACAGCCATGGGCTGCATACCTGGTCCAGGTGCTGCCTAAGAATGCCGCGCTCGCCGTGCTTGCTCTGACCATCGTCTGTGCGTTTTCCATGGGACAAGGCTGCATGGTCGCAGCATCACGCGTCTGTTTTGCGTATGCCCGTGACGATTGCTTCGGAGTGTTCAGCAAGCCCCTGAAGCGCGTCAACAAACATACCCTAACACCCGTAAATGCCGTATGGTTTAACACAATCATTGGAATCCTTCTTCTGCTCTTAATATTCGGCGGCACGGCAATTGATGCCATTTTCAGCATTGGCGCGGTTGCTGCATTTATCGCCTTCACCATCCCCATCTTCATCAAGATCGCGGTTGTACGGAATAACTTTAAGAGGGGCCCATGGCACCTTGGCCCGTTCAGTTTGCCTATCGGCATTGCCAGCTGCGCTTTCGTACTCGCCATCGTACCGTTCTTCAACTTTCCTGCTGTCCACGGAAATAATCTTACACCTGCAGACATGAACTGGACGGGTTTGGTTTATGTGAGTGTCCATCATCCGCCCTCAAATATTTTGGTTCTGCACCCATGCTAGTTGTCGCTCATATGGAAAGTCGATCTGTACATATACTAATACATTGACACTAGGGTGCGCCGATGCTATTCGTTATTATCTGGTTCTTCGTGGACGCACACAAATGGTTCAAAGGACCCAAGATCAATATCAATGTACGTAAAGCCCAGAAGATTAAGGAAGCGAAGCAACTGACCCTGTTACCAGCACCGCATGCACTCTATTGCGATCGAAGGCGTCGAAGTATCTCCAAAGAAGGCTGATTTTGACCTTGAAAGCAATGGTTCTATTTCCGGGTCTTCATCTAAATGAGCGAAGCGCCTTATCCAACACCCTTGAACAACAATAAAGATACAAGTACAATCTGCGGGCAATAGAACCATATACAGATTAAATGGAACTAGCTTGATACCACCCCAAGACGTTATGTTTCCAAATCAGTTTGTAGCATCCGTATACACAAGGAGCGTTCATGGATCTGTACAAAGGACATCCCCGTGCACATAGCTGGAAGCGAGTAACGTGTTCGAAAGTCGTCTATTCACTTGCACATTTTTATGCTGCATTTCACTTAAGGAGATGATGCGAAGACCGAAGTGTACTTTCGCAGGTCCAGCTCTTTCTATCCTTCCTTTGACAGCAGTGGCACGTCCTTGATTATCGAAATCAAGGACTAGTTGAACTACCCCGACTTCTCTCATTGTATCCGTGCGTACCTTAGCCGTTGCTTCCACACAGCTAAACATAGATATCGTAATAAGAAAATACACAACCATCTCCTAGAGCGATACGTCAATAAAGCAGCACCTTGAATTTTATCGCTTACAAAGCTTTTTCTCTAAAGCTCTTAGAGGTAAGTAGAGGATCGCCGTCGTCACCAACGCCAACTCAATTCCAATATCACCCGTTATCTTCGCGATGGGACCTGTAAACCATGCCTGCGCCACGCTCGGAACAACCAAGCCAAAGCTGAGGACCGAAGCAGTCAAGGCTGCAGCTCCCCATGGTAGCCGCGACGCCGAATTCCACGCGTCATGATCGTACGTGTCGTACCGACCTTTTCGGAAAACAACATGCTCGGTGATGACAACAGCCACGAAAGCTGCCGACCAATACGCGATCAGGGAGATGAAGTTCTGAAGGCTCAGGAAGAAGTCCATCGCGGCCCTGATCGAGACCGGAATCAAGATCGCCGTTATGACGATCGAGAAGACGTAGCGCGGAACGCGAATAAGTTGCGGCACTAAGAGTTGGAAGTTGAGCGTGATAGAGTACATGGTGGCTGCGTTGTTGCCTATCAACGAGAATGAGAGGAGAACGACGACGAATTTCCCGAACCCGCCAAGGGGCAATAACATAGCAGCGAGGACGCCACCAACGGAATTTGTCGCGTAGCCCTGTTCCCATTCAGGGACATTTGAAAGCGAGCCTCCGATAGCTGCCCCAAGCACCATAAGTGGGATAGTCGTGAGAGTGAGGCCGGCAAAGCCATATAGAAAAAGCTTCCAACTAGTTTCAATCCCACATTAGCACAAAAGATGCTGGTATCCTTGTAACGTACCAACTCACCTTGGGATTTTGGGGTTAAGATACGTCGTGAGGTCCGATGCCAGTCCCGAGAAGGGAATCATGTATGAAGCAATCGCCATTCCAAGCGAGAAGATACCTCGCGGAGTCGCCGCTGGCATTGGGGCTTGTTCATGGAGATGCGAACCGCCACTCCCCGCAGTAATGACGATGGCAATCAAAGCAGGAATCCACGCGAAACGCTCATAGATGTGGAGGACGTTGTACCCACAGAATGCGATCAGCAGCGACAGCACACCGATGATAACGATACCGACGGCGGATGAGAAAGACCCTTCGGATATAGCCGCAAGACATTGCCCCCCGATGACACATGTGATGACGCAGAATCCCGTAAACGTGGCTAGGTTCAGAAGGACCGGTATTGAAACAATGTACCGCCCGAAGCTGAACCGCGCCTGGAGCATTTGGCGCATGCCTGTTTTCGAGCCGAGTGTGCCCAGATACGCAGGTATGGCCGCCGTCAGTAAACAGAAGAAGATGATGACTAGCGAACTGTCACGAAGATTCAAGCCGTACGTAGGCCCCAGCATGCCAAATGTGATGGCGAGGATATTCACGTTGATACAGACCCAGATCGAGAACTTAAAGCATCATGGTCAGTGAGTACATCTTAAAAGCATATATAACGGTCGCAAGAAGTATGCGGGGAAACGTGAGAGAGTTGGGCTAAGATGATGTTTTTTTTTCTTTTCTTTTACTGATAGCGAACGCGAAGCAATAGGATATGTAATAGGGAATTCGCTCACATAGTTAGAATATTGAGTCGATGTTCGTTCCTCTAGAGGCACAGGCAACACACCACGAAGCTCTACACGTCCTGCGGACAAGAGCCTAAACATTCTGTCTTTCCAACCCCGCGCCTGAACCGGATTTTCCTCCCCCATACTACTTTCTGCTCCTTTCTCTAGGTCCTCAAGGACCTCGGGTTCTGCGCTGTTCGGCATATCGACTTGAATTGGTGATGAGGCGTCTATGTCAATTTCAATCTGTTATCTAGTTAACCAGATTTTCACAGCTATAGTGCAGAGATGTGCTTCCTGATCTATCGTAAGTTGCTTTTCTACAGTCCCAACAAGCCGCTGCGTATTTCCACATATACTATGGGTTCTGCACCACTTATATAGCAAGCCATCGACTCCTATCAGAAAATACTAAGTGTCAGATAGTTGTCGGGCCACACTAAAGTAGTACAAGTCTCACGAGAAGGGCATGGGTTGATAAGAGAATGGTTTCGCGGCCCACTTCCTCGCAGACTCTGGGATACCATGAAGCCAATTCATTGGTAACTCGACCGGCGCTGATCTTGTGAATGCTGGGCGCTCAGGTTTCCAGTAGACAAGGTTACATTTGTACCGGGTCTAGATCCCTACCTAATATGCAGGCAATCAACTCTAAGTGATGTTCAGTCACGTGGTGCTGAACTAGACTTTTTAGTTTCTTGGTGCATGAGAGGGGAAACTAGTAGATAGAAGATGATTGTCCCCCCCGGACTCAATATTTACTTCTCTCTTGCGAGCCTTGACACTCTGAAAGAAAGAGAGCGGTCGTGACATTGGCTATATCCTCAGGGGTCTTCCTCAGACTTTAGTTCACAACTAAGTATCTATCTTCTCGGTTAACTATGTCCAAGGAGCTTAAGGAAAGAAGCAGGAGTGCTATCTTTTTCTTTTGCCGTCATAGCATTGCGCATCTTGCAATGGCAGCGGGTTTTGGGCATGGAATCTAGACGTTTCATATCATACTCACTTGATACATAATGGCTAGAACTTGTGAAGGGTGTGTTATCCAATTCGTGGGAGGGTCAGCAGGTAAATCAAAATATGAAACTAGCACTCGGCGACCAGTGCTATGTACGATGTTGGCGATCGTCCTACACGCTGAAGAGCATTGTTAGTTGATGATAGGTGTAGATATAGTAGGGCTAGTATGGAACAGTAAGATCGGGTTAGGAGCCGTATTTATTCGATCGAACTGACTCTATAAAACCATTATGATGCCTCAGGGTATGTCCCTAGGTCGGCAGTGTAACGCCAGACTAAAAACCTAGTGATGCCTTGATAAGCACACCTATATAATCCACTAAGATGTCTTGTTAGAATATCAAAGGCGTTCTCTCTCCATTGGACTGAAAGAAATACTGCAAGTCTGCAACAGCTGGTTGAGGGCATGGATGGCAGCGACTCTTCCAAAATCATCAAACCCGACGCCAACATACTCTCGTAATTCTTTCTAGATTGAAAGTCGTTATTTATCAACCTCCTCTATCTTCTCGTACGACAATATATTTGCCAACACGGTCGCCGCAGTCTCATTTTCGCGCTCTGATAGATCTACAAATGCTTCCTCCATCACAAGGCAATCTATTAAACACGGAAATATGATTACCTTATCACCGTTCCAGGAATTTGTCTCGAAAATAGATACTATAAAAGCGGTCACCTAGTATCCTCCAGTATATAGACCCTACCCGTTCGGGTTGGCAGGTACATGGAGAAGTACGTCCATCAGACACGTAAAGGGCGCGCCCAAAGGCAGTCGTTTGGTTACCGCATGTTACCTGCTTCATTATCTAGTATAAGACATACTATTTGCAAGGTCGGCTTCTAGTTCACAGCACGGCAATTGAGGATACTATATCGGTACCTCTTTCCTTTAGTAGATGCTCAAGTTCGGGATCGGCGAGGACAGCTGCATAGTGTAGGGGAGCGTCACCAGTGCCATTGTGTGCTGTGGGGATGATTGGTTTCTCTGATATGGCTAATAGAGTATACCGAGAAGCCTTTCGGTTTCTGCTCCCTGGAGCCCCCAAGAAAATCTCTCTGGGGTATTAAACAGACGGATCTCTGTAAAGCACAGCATTCGCTTTCGTGACTTTCTAGTGAAATATTTAGTAAAGCATAATAAATTTTCTAGATGGCTCTCGAGCGGCACTTAGAATAGCGTGGAAACTGAAAATCATGAGTTGAACTATATAACAAGGGCAGAGGCCTGGGCTTGGAATTTGATGCTATTCACAAAATAATGATCAACTAGGGCTGCATGAGTCCTTAACCAACCAATTCCTTTTTAGCCTTGGTGGCTTGACTTGACTCTATATACAACTGGTTTTCTAGCCCTGACCGCCTAGGTCTCATTGGCTTGTTTCATAAAGCGAAGTCTGTATAACCTCACTTTCCAACATTGCCTGCATGTCTTTGAAGATCATCAACATCCTGCAATGGCCTTCCGTTTGACCGAAGCGCAAGGCGAACTGCAGAATCAGCTCGTATGCGTGTAACAAACTATGCGTAGAGGTTCACACCAAATTTGAGCAACTTGACCACAACTCCCCAGGAATCGCTGAATACTCTCAGTTCTCTTGAAGAGAATATTTCTGGACTTCTCTTCGAACTGATCGATGACAGCCTATCTAGCCATAGTTTATAGCTTATTCCACACGGACTTGAGTGCTGTAGATGTTTCCAGATTTGTGGTCTGCATGGAAGGGCTCAAAAGCGTCCACATTAGGTCCGAACGTCAATACTGTGTTCATCGTGTCTAGTCTGTTGTTCTGACATGCCCATGTGAGCATGAATGATCGAGTCTAAGAGATGATGTGCCTCGATACGACCGATATTGTGACATGGTATAAGGCCTTGCTAGTGCGAGCCACAGAGATGAAATCCTAGCATGCCAACTGTCCGTCATCTGTAGCCACTACCAGGAATGAACATTCGGTGGCAAGTTCCCTTTCCCGAGCCACGGAGCTAATTTGTGGTTCTCAATGGCTACAAGTCTGTATACCTATGATTCTTGATATGGCACTACTGTTCAAAGAACACAGAAGATCGTCTAAATCAATCGTGTGAGCTGAGCTAGGTCTGTACGTGTACTGAGACATAGTTTTGAACTCCTGTAGAAGCGTACTCAGAGGGGGGAAATACGGTCTTGCTCTGTTCAGGTTATTCATAGCTATGAAAAAACACTGAATGAGAGCTTAGACAATTGTCCGAGATTTGTCAAATTCATAGATACCATTTAGCAATGGACGTTATCATCCAAAGACACCAACAATACCAACAGCATCAGTGGTTTAGTGGTAAAATCCATCGTTGCCATCGATGGGCCCCGTGTTCGATTCACGGCTGATGCATTCTTTTGCTCATGTCAATTATCATGCATTTTTGTCTCTTCTTTTCTGTGATAATTTTGTCTTGCTAATTTCTATGAATGGTCTATCAATAGGAACAATTCTCTCAATTGAAAAAGAAGAGTATTCCAGAGTGCTCACGAATATGTGGCCATCACTCGATCGTAACGGAAACCAAAGCAGATATGGCGGTATGGGATGAGGAGTTACCCGTTTGCGTAGTTCATAGCTGTATGACTGAGTTTAATGCTTCGGAATGAGATGTATGTATTTTAAGCCTCCCTGCACACGGTAGTTATCTTGGTGATGAATGAACGATGTTTCCCAGAATCGCACCACCCTTTAAAGTCTACATATGAGCCCAATGCAGTTGTTGCTGCGTTCCATCGTCACGATGAGTGCTCAAACAGGAGGTGAAAACCCCTGTTTCCAATGCCTCAGTATTGATGCTGATTACAATAAACCTGTTAACCATCGACTATCTTGTATCATTATCGTCATTGCATCATAGTGAACTACAAGGAGTCACAGTAAAAACACCCTGAAGCCATGGAGATAGAACTGTACCCTTGTAGTCATTTCGGAAGAGAACGTTGAAGTGGATGGCCAAATTGACTCGTCTATTCTTACCTGATTCTTGCACTAGAATCGACAATAGGTATTGCGCGCACTAGCGGTCAAGATCCGCACCCTATCTGCGACGTCTTATGCTATGCCCGTTGGCCGTGACTGAGCCATGCTGAGGGTATGGAAGAAATGCAGATTGCCGGGTTTTAGTAACTAAAGCCGGGTGTACTGCACTGAAAGGACGTGATTAGCCCATCGCCTTACGTCGACTTGCCTATAATTCGGGGCCCGAGGGCACAATCGACTCGGGTTACTGAGCGAAGTCTATCGTTTGGATGTGTCCAAACATATAATCATGTTATAATGCCATTACCACCACTGCCTCCGCCTCATCCTTTAAGCAAGGGGCTTGTGGGTGCAGTAATATATATGTACCGGGGAGTGACTTCATGTTACTTTCTCGCCAAGATGCGAGTTATATGAGGCCAAGATGGGAATACCTAGCACAGGCTAACATATATGTAGGTAGAAGTAGACCACCCGTCTCGGCGGAAGGTGACTATTGGTAGGGCATAGTGGGATGTGACCTGGTTGCTCTAGCCTTGCTGAGGAGACAAGATCGAGGTAACTTAACGTATGTCCCGTATCTCGCTTTCAGTCGTAATTTTCGACCCACGACACGTTGCCCCGGCGCTATGAAGGACATCGCAGGCCCTCAGGCGCGTGCGAGACTGTGAGGCTTAGGATTTTCTTGTGACAGCCCGAACACATGGCACGTACTGGGCGATGACGTGAGCCATTAGCGAGTACTGTGATGTGATGGCGCAGAAAGACTTGGGGCGAAACACGCTTGAGATCAGACTCACACTACTCACCGGCGGAGTTCCACAAGTTTAGTAATAGGCGTGGGTCATTCAGCGTCCATTCTCCGCTTTACGGAATATAAAGGTTCCTGGGAGGTCATCCGGCGTAAATTGAATAGTCCTTGGATGATGTTAATAATTACCGTAACATAGAAAGGTGTTTCCTGCTGTGACGGGTGAGATATGCAAGCTAGGCTGTGTGTTATTTGGTAGATATCGTAAGCAGCTATACATATAATTCCGGCCCAAAGCTCCGCGCCGTGTAGTTACGGAATTCTGCGTACAGACAGACCATCGACGAGACTAGTAAATAGTCCAGAACGGCATATACCCACCTAGAAAGAATTTGACCAACGGTAAAACTGTTTCAGGGATGGCGTAATACGGTGAGAGAGATCCATCATCCATTGATTCCTAACCTAGTCAAAATTCTCCGACAAAACTCTGGTTCAACTACCCCGCCATTAACTAGGCTTTACATTGCTTATTAAGCCACTTACATATTGATATCGTCGGCAGTAATGCCGTGTTATACAAGCGGTTTATAATCCAAAGTCGACTGTGTTTAGTCAAGCACTCATACATAGCAAAGCTGACATTATAGAAGCCAAGCTGTCAGGGTCGTGAGTGTAATGCAACCTACATGTAAGTAGCCGACCGCTCACCAACAGTTATAATGATCAATCAAGAATGCGCTGTACGATATCTACATGTAGATATCCCTGACTAGAATCAAGGAGGGTCGGAGTTAGGACTAGAATCTGTTGCTGCTGATTAAGGGAAGATGCCGCAGCTGGCGTTGTCCCTTGTAACGCCGAGCCATAAAAAGACACTCCGACGGAGAGTCGGAAGGTCGCTAATCCCCGGTGGCCGTCATTCGTCCGCCCTTCGGACTTTCAGAACCCTTGTTCAAATACAGTACAACTAAAGAGATAGTGCATCTAACAGTAGCATGGTATGGCTTTGAGTCCAATTGTCAATGCATACCATCTTTACTGAAGCCCTGTCTGGCCCTGTAACTGAGCATTGAATTGAGTCTGGGTTATTCTTTCGCGCGGAATGGCATACCGTATTGGCATGGGCCACTTGCAACGGGTTTCGGGCATGTTGGTTATCCTGCGATCGGCTTTGGTCATCCCCGTTAGGTTGTGGAACCAACAAATCATGATTGAAAGTTATGCAAGGAAGACGGTTGGTAGTGGTGCAACGAGCAGAGAAACGACTTATGTGTGATCAGCTATTAACAAGATAGGTAATAATCATTCATCTAGAGATACCGTAGCCTTACTGTGGTGTAGGATATACACTAATGATGCACTGTCGCTCAAGATAGGGCTGTGTCTTCTTGCACCTACTTCCTAGTGACTTGTGAATACCGGTCCACGTTTCAATAATAGTATTGTCAGAAAAGTACCACGCATTGCCGCCGTTTGATTACCTACTGTAGGAAGTGCCTGCCTGTCAGTGAGGCCGCCAATTCCTTAATCATTGATGGAATCATTGGACAGGTCGTCTTCAGGCTGTGACTTGTGACGCCGGCGTGTTGTTGTATATTGCTCTCCCAGACTACTACCATTTTCACATACGCCGGCACCCCTCCTGCGGGGTGGTGCTGTCAATAGGCGCAGCAATGCAAGCAACGCAAGCTTCTCAAATGATTCGTCTTGGCAGTATCCAAGCTGGGGTTCGTGGTTCTTGGTGGATCTATAATGCTATACGCTTAGCGATTGCGAGGTCCTCCCACCATCTTTAATGTATATCTCGGTCATTACCTATTTTCCGCTAGGTATGCTACCTATCGGTCTAGGCAGCAGAATTAATGATCACCAAGATAGATTGATTTGTGGCGAAGCAATTCAGGAGGTGCTCGTTGAGCAGCATAACGAAATACTGTAATGTGCTTGGCCAACAACTCGTAACATCGTGTGTCCTAGAAATTTCGCTTACTGGCATTGCCCTACGAGCTCACGAATTACTGTGCGAAGACCAATCGGGTGCCCCTCCATCTTTAAGGATCATAACTTTGCCCTATCAAATGCTCCCCCTTGCCTCCCGCACGGCAGGAATTGGACGACTTCACCAATGAATCAACGTATCCGCGGATGCCATCAATGACTTGTCAGAGGGGGTGGATAACTGCTACTATGTGCTTATGAAACAGGAAAAGTTGGTTGTTTGTCTTGAGGATATTTGTAATGTATTTTCATTGTTTGCTTGTTTGTTGTTCCTGTGGCTTCTTACGTGAAGCCCACTGCTTGCATCGAACACATGTGGTGGGGGGACGGCTTTGTGGCCGTTTCGAGGCCCGGTGCTGGGTCGATATGTTCCCAATACCTTTGGATTCCATGCAAGGGCTGAGTAAACATGACACTTGCAATAGCAGTTGGTAATACGCGTAAGTATAGATGGTATCGTAGGATTCTGTTGGGGGTGGGTGCCGTATCCGCGTGTACGGCACATGGGAATTCCAAATATCATTCATGCAGCCTTTTGAAACGATCAACACACCAACGATTGGCGAACAAGCTGTGGGTTGTTTGTTGGCCGTGAGTGCTACTCACGCCTAGTAATTAATAGTAATTATTCGGCCAACGACTTGCGCAAGACGTGAGTAAGTCCCCGTCACATCTTGAGATAGAAAATATGTTGCGATACAGAATGTTTCCAACAACGCCAGCAATGCAATCCTCCCAAACGCTGGTTAATACACATGGCTGTTTGTATTCCCAGCCAACAGCCACTCCTCTATCCTTGTAACCTGAAGCAACTGTTAAAACACCCCCGAGCGCCATGCATTATTCGTGACCATCATGATGAGAGCTTAGTAGTGTGGCGTATTTGTTGCCTCTTTCGGCTGTACATGTTGCCAATGTAGTATAGCATCCATGCCACTAATGCCATTGCAATAGTCGGCTATACAAATTATAGCGGATCCATGTTATTGTAGCTGGAATATGCGATCATCGGGTCACCAACACCCAACATCACTTCCGAGTTGGGTACATTGATCATGTGAGGCTTGATGGTACCAAACTCTGACTCGACTAAGCCCTGACTTAACATGATCTCGGCCATATTCATGTCCATCTGTGCCACGTATTGTGGCGAAACGTTCATCGACGGTGGTCTATTTATATGCCAACTCGGATAGGACGTCGGTGCTGTAGGAGACTGGACGGCGAAGAGGGCAGCCGAGGGGTCGACGTCGCTATGTATCGAACTCGGTTCGAATTCATTATATGATGAGGTGAAGCTTTGAGGTGACATGGTCTGGAGATTTGGTTGCTGAGCAGCCACCAACACTTTCCGATAGTCATATTCGAAATCTGAGTGATCTATTTCTGAGGAGCTTGCTCGTTCGGTTTGGGCGCAAGTGGTCTCGGTCTCGCATTTAATCTCAGCTTCTGGCGACTCCTTTTCCTTGTCAGGTTGTTGAGCCTCTAACTCCGCTGCCAACTTTGATAGACCTGCTTCATCTTCGGGAAATACTGAATGAGGAGGCAGGTCGGCGTCGGCATTTGGTCTTATGCACCCAAGTTTTGTCGCGATGTTATGAATAATGGGTTGGCCCCTATCGTTTAGCTCTGGTTCCCCTAATTCCCACGACTGCCCATTCCTGACCATGTTATATAGTTTGTGGACTGTCGCTATTAATGCGAATTGTGTATTTTCCAAAACCTCGGCGTATCTATTACACCCAAGTTAGCTTGGTAAATCGGGTGGGACAATCACGCATCCTACCCTCTAGGCAGTTGTTTATATTCCGTTTTCTTTCGGGTACCCGCTGTGCATACTAGTCCATCATCTTTGCATCTCTTACAAGGAAACTCTCCATCACACTACATCCCATGTAAGCAGGCAATATTCAGCTTGAAAATCCAGAAGGTAGACGAACCTTTGTCTTCTTCATTCTACACCTTTCACATGCTTTCCATACTCGTTTATGCCTGTTGTCAATTCCATGGGGCGAAAGCGGTGGATGATCGTGAGCAGGAGAATGCGCCATATGAGTAGCCGACCGCTTTGTCCCACGATGTATCGGCTTGACAGACTTCGTAGCCGGTGCTGTACTCCTGCGTGAGGGGGCTTGTGTTGTTGAGCTCTTCATGTTGTTCTCTTCTGTAGGTGGTGTCGGTATGCCACTTTCCATTTTGGGTAATCACTTATACAGTTGGCGTATTGGAGAGACTCAGGCGAGATAGAAGAGGTATTTTGTCCCCTCAGTAGTAAACTTTAAAAGGAAGAGTCTTGGAAAATGCAGGGGAAAGACGAACGTTTGGGGAAAGGGAAATAAGCCGAGGAGAGGAATCGGTAAATCCAAAGCGATGTTCTTAGAGGGGATTAATAATGCTCAAATGCATCACTACTGTGACGATTATGTGATGCTCCTCTTATTATTAGGCACGGTAACTTTTTAGCTCAAGCGCGAAATAGGGCCCGGTATGGAGATGGATCGGCGAGTTGCTTTATGTCCGAGATGTGGGCCAAGACTTGGGTGCTGACAAGGTCAATTCCGGTAGCTCCAAGTTTCCAATGCCCTTGTGAGTCTGAGACCAGACAGGGCACCCTACAATAGTAAGCTGTGAGTGGGATGTGGGATGTTGGCGATGCTCTGGGCGAAGTTAACCGAGTCGGCGTTGACAGTATATACAGTTGAAACGCTGAATATATTCTGTGGCCCTCAATCAGGACGTTTTTGTTATTCAATTTGGAGAGGCGAAGATTGGAGATCAGTCACAGACAGAAGTACTTCGTAGACGCATATGCCTAGTAGTAAAGAGAGGGATCAATTATAAGGAGGATCGAGAGGGAAAAAAGGCTACGGCCTAGAGAGCTGGTTGTTTTTATCTTTATAATAACCCAACCTACCTACACCATCAAAAAGCAAATCCAAATTCCTACTTTGACTGCCACCCTTCCGCCGTGTTACGAGTTGGTAACATACCTGACCCAAGGACCCAAGGACCGACTGCCAACAGCGCCGGTGCAATACCATGACAATAGACTGAGTACGCAGCACTTGGCCGTCCAGTCCTTGGGAGCCTTGAAAGGAGCCAAGCCTAGAGGGGGATCCTGTGTACGCCGGAGTGACCACGAAATACATGCGAATACCTTGGGAGACTTGCCGGCGACAAAAGTGGCCGACGACGGGTTGTATCTAAACCGGTGCAGTAAGCCAGGGCGGTAGGTGTCTGTGAGATTCCACTCAACCACCCACTCCACGACCGAATAGGTGCAACATGCAAATTGTACCAGCTAGCGGGCTTTTATAAGTCAAGTCATAGAGTGTATACCTACCATGGTTGGTACGGAGTAGTTGTAGCCAAGTTTATGCCAGAGGGTTGCACAAAAGCCTAAAAATACCCTTGTTAGCTGATCCCTTCCCGACCAGAAGACATTTAGCAGGCAGCTTTAGGTGCATAACTTTTTCATAAACTACTGGATCCGTGGATTAATAACTAGTGCTAGTGCATTTCCCATTTCCCGAGACCGAGAACGACAATGACATCCCTTTCATTAGCCCCCAAGCATGGCTTTACTTAGGAATGGTATCACTATGATGTCCACAGCCTGTGGCCCCGAGCGCGCGATGCGGTGTATTTTAGCGGCCGCCTTGCAAAGTCCGATGCCAGCCAAGGTCTTATTCGTGTTACTTGTAAGTTGTCCCACCTACGTCTTCTGCACTTTGCTAGGCTGGGTGGATTAAGATCAAGGGATATGAATCTGAAAGTCTACACACCACAAAAGGCCCCAACGTCCGCGATCTGTGTGCGGATCTCAGCCGCACAATCGCCCGGATTATTTGCTGTTGCTCTGCTCTCAGTTTCCAGCTTAATGCCGGTGATACCTACCTACCGTTATGCCAAGTGCTCCGCGGTTTCTCCGCGCCGCGAATAATCATGAATCATCATGAACAATAACAAGGGCGATATTCTAAGATTCCTTGGACGGGGTCTAAGTAATGAAGCCTATCCACTGCCCTATTACAGTCTACTCTCATCATCCTGAGCTGTTGACTCTTCACATGAGCCTTCTGGATCCATTGTTGCGTGACCCCGTCCCATTGGGGTGTGTTCTTTCACATTAAAGCTGTACTCATGATGACAACAGCCGGTGCATTAAAGCTCACAAGTCCGTCATAATTACAAGACACGGGTTTTCACGTTTAGGAAATTGCGGAAAGAAGAAATGCTTCCGATGGACAGCACTCATCCATTATTTGACGCTACACCACTACTGTATCTTTTTGATTGAGTCCTGTATGACAATAACATCTACTAAGCAGTGGTACAGAGCAAGATATGCGCATCGGTTCCGAGAGTTCGAACCGTCTTACACCTTCGAATTAACTCAGACGACAAAAAGCTACTGGATCAAATTTTCATAGTTTCATACCAAGTAGAAGATCCGGTGAGATCTTTGTTACGCCCTGTCTAGGCTAGCTTTTGTCATTCCTACCTTCGAGAAGCATCCCTATTTTGTCGCTGTACTATGTATGACTCTTACCCGTTGCCAAGAGTCACCCCATCTAGGGTTCCTGGCTGTACCAGTCGATCGGGGCTCGGTAGCGGACTGGCGGGTCGTCTCGCGCACCGAAGTCCTTGCCCGAGCAGAACCCGAGCAGAGCTCCAGGAGCAGGTTTTTTGCTACAAGTTCTCTCATGTTCTCTCCTAGTCAACTAAGTAAATCCGAGCTTAGCGTGTTGGAACTATCGCACATGTGGCACAAGACACGAATGGGCGAGAGAAAGGCTTGATAGGTACAGTCGTGTCGCGGTCGGGAGACTCCAACCCAGCGGAGAGTTAAATGATTCTTGCTTCGCCCCTTCGGCCCATTCCCTTTTCTGTCAACAGCTCATAACATCACTAAGAACCGGCCTCGGTCTTCAAACATGCAAGTCACGCTACCCGGCGCTTTGTGCGCTACGAGACTTGCCCATGTTATTTCCGACCCCGTCTCACATGCGATGAATTGTGATTATGTCGTGTATACTCCTAGCGAGTAGCGTTGATGCTGCCGAGCCAGTGTAACAGACATCTGAATCACATTTAGTAGGTACGTGTAAACGAACGATCCTCTTACAGTACTGTACTGTACATAGTAGGATGTGATTCAATCTGTACGCCGACCGGGCGCGGAAGCCCAACGGAGGGGAGCATTAATAACCAGAGTGAAGGATCAAGCCGTCTTGGCAACACGTTTTTTGTCCTTTCAATCCCGCGTGGGTCTTGATCCTTCGCCTCCACCTGGGACAATCTTCGAAAAGCACCCTTGTGTCCTCTCTAGCTTGCCTGACGGATTTCTTTGGGGCTTTTGCTAATACTCATACACTACGCTACGCCATTACACCAAGTGAGAATAGGAAGCGTCCATCTTACAGCAGCGAGTACTGATAATGGTGTGCGGTAGTTATGTATGGACGTCGAGGCCTTGCATAAGTAATCACCTCACACCCATTCTGGGTAACATAATATACATAGTAGGTATACCGGGTAGCATACGAAGATTCCCCCGGTTGTGTCAATGCACCGTCCAGGTGTCGTTCGATATGGTATCTACACCACGCTGACCACGCTAGGAGAGGATCAGATCAATGATCAAGGGTCAAGGGTCAATCCCCCAATCCCCTGCCCTAACTGATCTTCATGCAGAAGACTAGCCTGCGAGCCTGTTAAACTACACGTAGGTACTCATGCTATTACCTCTAAGGCTCCAAACGTCGGCTCGTTGCTCATACTACGTAAAAGGCAATAGTAAGTAGGTATAAGTAGAAGGTCGCATCTGCTGCGAGCTGTCAGCTTTCTTCCATTATCCTGCTCCATCCGACTCCGCCCCTTTCGCCAATTCGCCAATCGGTATATTTCCGGGGTACACACCAACACACGACTGTACTCAACGTAGCTCTCCCTCTACACTGCACAGTAGTTGTGAAAGAGCTGTACAAGTGTGGTACAGTACCTATCATGTGGTGCATAATATATCCAAGTCTTGTTTCTGATTTGTGTCGGATCTGAGGTCTGGAAGCGCTCAGTCGATGGCGCCAGCCATGTACAACAATTTGCTCTCTGCCAAAGACGAGTGGTCGTTGTAGTTCCAATCTACTTAGGTAGTATTACAATACTCCCCCCTCCTTCTGGTGGTAAGGAATCATCCCACAATGTCGCCTGTCCAGTAGATAAGTACACCATTACAACTCGCCGGGGTTCAAATCCCTCAAGCAACTCTTACTTAGTCCAGAATCCCTACTAGCAACCAAACTGGTATCCTATTGTTCTCTCTTATCAGGGTCAATCAGCATCTCGGAGTCCGCTGATAAGTAAACGGAATAGCCAGACATGTCACTGGACACTTGCCTACCCAGGCAGGCATTTCAAGAAGAGTTGAGAGAACATCTCGGAAACCGACTTACTGATCCAAGTTTCCTAATGGGGACATATGTTCACAGGGCTTTACACTACTACAAGTACCTACCTATGTAGGTCGAAACAACAGAGTTTAACTCTGGAGACTTTGTGCCAAGGATCATCTCGCTCTCGCTTCATCATGATATCTAGTGGGGATGAGTGGAATCGTCCACTACCCAAGTAGGCATTGGAACTTTGCTGCAGCACGCTTATGGTATGGCACGCTGCGACATGCACCATAGTATCACACTACTGGAGGTGCCATGATGCGCGCGTCTGCTTACTTACTCACTTAGTACAATACAATACATTCGCAGCGCCAGACGAACTCTCGGTGTGGCCCTCGGGTTCGGGATATGCCTAATGCAGTCAGAGCCAGCTAGAGTCAGAAAGAAAACCAAGGCCCCCGCCATAACGTAGGTGCTCGGCAACGAGAAGTGCGCTATTCGCTGGTAGAGAATACAACCCAACTGAACGAGATGGGATGTAGGTAGCGTAGGAAGTGCGGTCTACTTAATGTAGCTGAGCTGGGCAACTTGGCAGACCAATAAATAACATGATACTGTACCAGCCTGCTTGTGCTCCTACCATTTAAAACTAAGCCACACGCTGACGTAGACGTCGTACTTCGTAATTCGTACAAGAGAGGTAATGTAAATCGACAGCCTACAGCGACAGCGCTTGAGGAGAGATTTGGAAGGCCACTCAGCTTTCCAGGAAGTCCTAACAGACAGAGAATGGCACCCTATATTACCATACTTACGACAATGCTGTGTCCGTCTCAGTATCTCGCGTATAGGTACCTTTGATGCATGTCAGACGCACCAGCCCCTCGCTACCATTGCACCTCATTCGTCTCCTACGGCAGATGAAGTGCGATACTGTACACCAGGTGTTTCTAAAACCAACATACGAAGTACGCCATAGCGTTACAGTAGTGTTACCTATATCGTGTGCAATACGTAGTACCGGTACGTAAAGTACTCGGAAAAATAAGTAAGGGAGCGAGGGATCACTGCGCCGTATTAGAGCATCACAGGAAGCAGCCATTGATTATCTAGCTCATTTCATCTCATCAGTACCTGATATAACATTCTGTTTCTCGCATACACTATATACCAACATACCTACATACCGAGACCTACCAATATTCCTGCTGTGCCTCTCTCTCTTCATCTCCGCGTCGGCTGTCTAGTCCAATAGACAATAGACCGTCTCCTCTCAATACATGCTGGCCGAGGCTCACTCGCATATATACCTACATACAGGAAAATGCAACTCCAGCTTGCGACCGCGCTGCAGATTCGCTGACTGGCGTAGAAACCCGGAGAATTATAACAAACCTGATCAAGAATACCTATACCGAAATCCTATCAAGATCAAACTAGGCGAGTAGTGGACAAGCTAAAGGGGCTTCGATGCCGGGTCTGAACGACACCTTCATGAGCCTACAAGCCTGAGAACTGAAACAATTGATCTAGCTAGGCTGGAGGGTTCCACAAGGCTTTGCGTAACTCAATTTATCTGATTCCAGTTCTATTTCTACTTGACGTCTCTCTTTACAAATGATTATAGGTAAAAGTTTCTAGTACATGATGAAAGCCCAAGCAGGGGAAAAAAAAAATAAAATAAAATAAAAAAAATACAAGTTTCTCATACAAACGACAGAAAACAAAAATATGGACTATGCGCCATTACCTAATACCCCGTACTTTCTCCTGCCCCTCGCTCAGAACGAAGGAAGGAGGAAGAGCGGGAGGCGGAGAATGCATGGATCTAAAGTTTCGAAGTTCGTTCCTTATCTTGCTTCAATCGTACAACGCCCTGTCATCCAGCAGATCGGGTCAGTAAACACTTAGTTGGTCTTGCTATTAATATCTCGGCCCGGGCCCAAGGGTCGCTTGAGGTGCCGGGTCTAGATCTCTAGTCGAATCCCCGATGGTGCGAGCTGAACAGCCAAGCATCTAGGGCGAGCGTAGGATTATACGAGTAGGCGATGGCCTGGATAGGAATTGGACAACTTCTTTTGGTCAAACTCACCTCTTGAATAGCAGTAGCGAGCAACGTGCCGTCCCTACTAAAGATCTTCTGGATGACGAGGCCGCGGCCATCGCCAGCCCACGGGCTTTCCATCTCCGTGAACATCCACTCGTCGGCCCGCACCTTTTTGGGGTTGTGGAAGTAAATAGAACTTGTGAACCTTGTTAGCAAAGGGAACATGGCCACTTATTGTGCCGAGATATCGGAGGGGTTGCCATTGTCTCAGTGTGATAGTAGTTCTAGGTCACGTCTTCAAGCTCATCTATCGTGGTAGAGATACAGGGGCTCACGAAATAGGGGAAGAGGTAGTGTCACGCAGCGGAGGACTTACTGATCGAGACTGACCATCATTCCAACCTTTGGCTGGTCGCGTACTTGCTCGAAACTTCCGAAGCCCTCGACATCATTAAGCTTGTTGAGATGTTCCCTTATCTCAGGCTCTAGGTGTTCCATCTCCTCGGGCTTGAAAGGGAACCTCCATAGACGGTGAATCCTCGAGACGGTACCGATAAAGTAGGAATCGCTCATGTACGCCAGCGCGCTGAGATGTGCCTGGTTTCCCCCTTCTTCGCTGATCTTGCCTCTCGCTTTGACCCATTGATGTATCTTGCGATCTTTAGGCGGTACATCAAGATCATTCCTTGGGCACTTGAAGTGTTCGAAGGGCGACTTCTCTGTACCGACCAATGTCGGCTCTTCGTAGCCCTCTGGTGGAACAGCTAGAAGAACATAGAGATCAGCAACTACATGCTTATATAGAAATTTCATCTCATGCTGTGCTGCGCAGATTTATGAGAGAAAGAAACTTTGTCAAAATGGAAGTGAAAATCCCCCTCTCGTGATAGAAAAGGGCAAAGGGGCTCAAAACACGTACGGACACCTTCGGGCATAGAAGCATGATGCGACACCGTCTTCTCGCCACCACTGCCGTCGCGTGTAAAGGAGCACGTGACGGTGAATATAGCATGCCCCTTTTGCCTCGCCTGCACAGTCCGCGTGCAGAAAGAGCGACCTTCTCGCACGCGCTCTACGTGGTATAGAATCGGCACACTGGAGTCTCCAGCGAGCACGAAGAAGCAATGGTACGAGTGCACCGTAAAGTCGGGAGGAACTGTGCGTTGCGCTGCCTGTGAGAGGGAGAGTTAGTCAAGTCAGTCTCTGCATCAACATAAAGGAGACGCTGCTTCGTGAAGGAGGCGGTTTACGAGCCACCCTTCATCGATGGCGAGAAGAGAGCAGCTTACAGCAAGCGTCTGCGCAATAATACACCCGCCATACAAGCCCCTCGCACCAGGCGGGTGCCAAAGCTCGCGTGTATTCGTGAACAAATCCTATAACACACACACGCACACGGTATCAGTACTGATTGATATGCAGCTTTTTGAATTTCAAAGCCAAAGCACGCCCAATACAGATGAACACACGGCTGGAGGACAGGAAAACTCACAGGTCCGATGATGCTCAGCTCAGTCAGCTCAAGCGCGTTCTCAATAGGCGCCTTGGACTCGTCCAGCGGCGGCGGCTTGACGAGAGTCGGACGATGTGCCGACATTGTCGAACTTCAAGAGGCCGAGACCAAGTATCAGATATCGTATCAGTCCGTGTCGCGCTAATATATCAAAGACGTTGCTGATTATCCTATCCTGTGCTGTCCTCCCTTTCCTTCGCGTTGAACGTAATCGCGATAACTTAGGACCTAGCTATAAGTGGATTTCGAAACTACCTAGCGTCCGAGTTCGACACTTAAAGGGGTACGGTCCGTAGGTATCTTTAAAAGTGTTATACTGAGACACACGAGTGAGACAGAGAATGAAAGGGGTCCAATTTCACACGGCGTCTCTCATCCGAGGATCAATCTCGAGCTCTCCGGCACTTATCAGGAGCGAAGTAAATACAGTTTGTCGTCGCATAAGTAAGCCTATCATTTAGGAGCCTAGGTAAGCAAGCTTCACGATCACTGGGCAGGTGGATACCTAGGTACAAAAGGACCGATGGCGCCCGCCAGAATTTTTACCGAGGCTCAGGTTGTCATGTGGGTCCTGACTTGAATGGCGGCACCTCCGCGACTTTTTTGTTCTTCTCGGCAAGGCGATTCTCATAGGTGGTGTACTACTTTGGTAGATATGGGAACTATAAGTACTTATGTTGTTCTTGGTGTGCCAGTCGAACAGTTCGGCTCATGACAGAGCCGTGGCTTATACGTCATTGTCTTGTGAAATAGTACCTAATGTAGGTGCTAGTATACATGCATGTAGACTTGCCTTGCTTTCGCTTTCGCTTTGAAGTATTATCACAGTAAGTGACTGGTGGTCAGTTGGCCTTGCTATCGTCATTTTGTAACCTTTTATACTCATAAGCCCACTTCAACTGGCTTTGGTAAATATATATACATGTGTGCGTGTGTCTCATGCAAAATGTATTAAGGTCAACGGACCACTAATCTTATAGCCGACGCCTTCTCAATTACATGCTTGGCCATGCATCATGAATTGTATCAAAAGGTCGAGGTTCGTTGCTAAGCCTGCTGACTAGTAGATATACACAGAGCGTTTTAAAGTCCACTTGAAAGGCAACGTGTAAGCGTCCCCGAATTACTGCAGTGGCTACTCTCTTTTTCTTCAAGGTAAACGAAGGCAAAGACCTTGTCTTACTCAGACGAGTAAATAGGTTCAAGACCATCCCACGCGCTCGCATCGCCATTACCGAATTTCTCTCGCTGTATCCAATATTGCCCATTGTACTTCCAATACTCTACGCCTGTCACCTCACATGTGGCCATCTCAAACCATGCAGGTATGAACTCTTCCCCATTCTGTTGTCGCACCTTCCTCCTGGCTCGCTGGGCTTCTTCGAGTCTGTTCTTCTCCGAGGCTGCGAAATCATACTCTCCATCTTCCATAGCTCTTTGATCAGGACGGTATCGGGAGTCAGTCGGTGCGATATACTTGCTGAGGTTGTCATCTATGTGATTGAACGTAAGAACAAATGGCGTTAGATTAAAAGGAATACCCTTCGGTCGTTCGTTCGCCTCCCAGATCATAAAAGCTCGGTTGGGGTCATTTATGTTGCTTGTTCCATCCTTGGGTTCTTCAACCGTCGCTTCATATCCAGGCGTCATACGAGCGTAGATCTTGGAGTTCCACCGTCCGCCGATACTGATGCGTGGTCGACCATCTGCGTCGAGAATTTTGCCCGCTAGCTGGTAAGCGCTTGATGCTTTCCAACCCCTCTGCTTGAAATCGAGGTAGCAAACTTCCCCAGTCGTCCAATTCTTCAATTCCACGAGGCCATAGTTGTCCACAACAGGGTTTCCAGTAATAATACCAACGACTTGCGACTTAGGCTTTTTCCAAGTATAAAAATCTTCTTTCCCACCAGCAGTAGGGCGCAGCTTTAGAAACCACGTACCAAGGTGGTAGATGTCAAAAGATTTTCCAAGGAACCTTGAATCGACCTTGGCCTCTCCCCAGTATGTCCACTGCGGCGCCTCTGCATAGCAAGCGCCTACAGGAGGATGATGGCTAACCTGCTCAATAAAAAACCGGTAACCTTTGTCTGGTCTAGCATATTCAAAAGTCTCTCCTAGGAGAGGATTGAACGGTTTGGCTACGCGCCCAATCGTTGACGCAAACTCACTTGCTGCAAAGGCAGCAACATAGAGCATACGCTCAATCGAATCTGTCCGTTCGGCGGCAAGATCCAGGAGGTGAGCATATTCCATATCTTCGCCTGTTCGGTATAGGAGAGATGTTGGCTCGTTAAATGAGACTGGTAGAGTCATCTTCGTCATGTCTTTACCAATCATTGATTTGAGAATTCCCTATAAACATGATTAGGGTATGTTGAAAAGCATAGAAAAATGGAGCCTTACCCATAAACCAACTTTAGGCCTGTTGTCCTCATCCAGCTTAAGTCTAGTTCTGATACCGTTTTCATAGCCCTTGAAGGCGCTGCTAACATCAATCCCCGATACGATGATGTCTTGCTTTGAATCACTCGACGGCAGCACTTCTGAAGGTGGCATCGGCCCCACATCGACTTCTCCAGCATCAACAGCGTCGAAAAACTCCTCCTGCTCTGATTCAGAGTCATCTGAAACATCCAGAAGCTTAGATAGAGCAGTCGCCTTACGCGACATGGTTGGTGACCTTTGACCATCTTTGAGCACTTCTTCAGGGGCGTCTACCATTTCTTCTTGCGATTCTGGTAGACTGCTACGGCTAATGGGACGGCTTTCTTCCATGACTTCTCGAAGAGCACGTTTGGCCATCTTCCGCTTCATCTCTGCTTCCCCGACTCTCGCCTCCAGAACTTCTTGCTCGGCAGCCACTTTAGCCATGCTATCTTCCCACATACGTCGCATCTCAACTTCTTGATCAAGTCGATACTGCCAGTGAGCGTCCCGATCCTTTGAAATTCTCAGAAGGTCACCCATCAACCCTTTCAGACTCTTCAGGGCAGAATCATATGTGGCAAGTGCCTGCGCTGCTTTGGGATCGACCAGAGACATGCTAGGGTTACGATTTGCTTCGGCTTGCAATGCCGCACTCACCTGTGCAAGTGTATCCAGCTGTAGTCTTGCGGATTGGGCAGTAATGTTGAAGGCATCCTTGGTGGCGCTAGGAGTTTCGGCGCGGCTGGAAGTATCAACATACTCCTCCTCGTCATCTTCATCATCTACTTCAGGAATGGTTTGGGCTCCATTGCTTTGCCCTTTCGCATGAGTGTTGACAGAGTCCAAGAATTCGTCATCCACGCTCTCGGTGATACTAGCCCGTGATAGTTCATTGCGCGAAGTGACCTGTTTGGCTGACGGTAGGCGAGTCAAGTGAATACTACTTCGCCCATCGCCGTTACTTATAGCATCGCTGTGCAAGTCTGAAGTGGACGCATCGCTAGGCTTCCCAAGGTTATCTCTGGCCTGCCGTAACATCTCAGCACTCTGTGCTTTTTGCCGCTCATCCTGTTTTGCTTGGTCTTTCATCCACTGTATTGCATTGTTCAGGGCCCAAAACCATCGTTTGGCCTCTACTTCATGATTTGCCTTCAGTGTATACTTGACTGAGGATTTTCCAATGATTTCAAACTTGGTTTTCTCCTCTGGACTCATATGCAATCGAGCAATGCGCATACTAATAGCACCGCGGCAGGCATTTTCGGCGTCGTCTTGATGCTTGTAATAACTCAAAACCCCGTTCTCCAATACGAACCACCGCAGCTGGTAACCTTTGCGATAGTTGGTCCATTTCTTCAAATAGCCCTTCATCTGGGGCTCTCGCCCCGATAGCGGATCGCCACTGCTAGCAACCGGTCCTGCTTGGGAAGTTGCATGACCCAATACCGCTTTTTCTTGAATGCCTCGCTGAGCGGCTACAGCAGCCGGGGATTTCTTGAGCATAGCACGAGTAATGTCATCGTTGGTAACATGTTGAGGAAGTTTGCCTTTGCGATCTCGCTGAAAAGGATCCGCACCGTGAAGTAACAAAGCCTGGATTAGTTTCGTATCTCTTTTACGAGCGGCTTCGTGCAATAGGGTCCCTCCTGATTGAACCGTAGTAGGCTCGCAAGGAAGTTCGGTGCTGTTTATGTCCAGAATAATCTTGACGCGAGGTTCTTCGAGTATCTGACCGAGCGTCTCGTAAGCGCCCCTTCGTACCAAGTCTTGCACCTCCTTTACTTTATCCTGCACGAACAATGTCCGAGAAAGTTGGAGTTGTTGGAAAATCTCGGGGCTTCTTGCTACATCGAGTGCTAGCTTTCCCGTATTGTTAGCGACGGCGTCATTGATGTCCTTCTGTTCTAGCAAGAGGCGGACGATAGGAGCGCGGCCTTGAGCTGAGGCGACATGTAAGGGGGTATTCCCGTCTTTATCCCGAGCATTCACGTCAATGTAGCCTGCACCATTGGATAAAACATATTCTACGACATCGTATTCGGCGCACTGGATGGCTAGGTGAAGAACGGTAGTATCTTCGAGCGGCGTGGGACCAGCTGCGGTGCTGAAAGACGATGTACTTGCGCGGGGCCCATTCTCGGACGTCTCACGGATCGCTTTTGATATAGCAGCAGTGTTGCCACTTCGCAGAGCCTCGACGATCCTGAACTTGCGAACCGACTGTTCAAGAGATGTGCCCTTCTCGGGGGACATAGCATTGGAGCGAGTTGGAGCCAAGGCGGGGCTCGATGCATTAGGCTCGCGTGATGACACTCGAGCGACAGACATCCTTGAACTCTTTTGAGAATGCTGCTGTGAAAGGGGGGCGGCAGGCGGTGAGGCCGACGTCGTAGGGCGTGAGGCTAGACCGGAGGTGATGGAGCCGTCTTCCGATACAGCGTCGTCGTCATTACGGGATTCCTTGTCCTTTCGGCGGAGGAGCGATAGGGCTGCTGATTTGGACCTCTTATGCTGGCTATATACAATCAGCCTGTGACTCGATTGCTACCGTACAAGTGTTGTTGCACAACTGCAAACAGGCGCGCGGTCTTGTCGAGCCGGTGCATGAATGCACCGAGACATGACCGAGAGGTGTGATTTTCCCCAACATGCAAGATAAGTCAGCTTGCTTACCTGTCTCCCGCTTCAGACATGCTTGCCACGAATCAAAGATGTGCCCAGCCTATTTACGCGTAACTTTCGTGCTCAATGCAGAGAGACAGCTGCAAGGGAAAGGAATTGCGATCGAATTAGGGAAGGATGGATGAATATATGGTCGAGTAGGCAGGTAGGTATATAGAGTCCGGACCGTTATTATAGCATGGTCTAATGTATGTACCGCTAAATTGTTGGAGGACCAAGTGTGGAACGACTAAGAAGCCAAAGCGGAGAACGCAGTAGGGTGGTCGAGATACTGCAGAATGAAAGGCAGCGGCAGCGTTGACAGACAGAGGATAGGATAAATTGTCAACCTCAGCTAGCTGCAAGCAAGCAAGGTATGCGAAACGGGTGAAGTGGGAGACGGGGGGAATGAGAGAATGAGAGCGTGTAGCAAAAGAAGTTAAATTCCCGTGTGTTATAATAGGTATCTTGTCTGTATATGTAGCTTAGACAGCAGATGACGTTTTTCCCCCGATCCGTTGCTGCACTCGACTCCTTCCAACCAAGCAGCCGCCTCCGAATGTGGGGAGCGAGAAAACATGCCACACCTCGACAACTCTCGACAGTGACCTAAGGCTGTGCCTAAAAGAGGTATCTGTAGCTAGCCGGTAAGCGTTAGCTGGTGCGAAAATACAAATTGCTTTCCTAGACTGGCCCAGGTGAAATACTGCTCAAATGACTACTATGTAATACCTATCGGATATAAGCTCATCATCATGCCTGAACTTCTTCCACTTCTATAATTCTACTATAGTGGGATTGTTTAAGGACTTCGTACTCAAGCTACATACCAAGGCAGAGAAGTATCTTAAGCTAACCTATGTCTCGGCAAGAGTCATCTTTCCAGATTGATTACCTACTTAAGGTCACCAATGTCCTGTGCAGATCTTGTGTCTTCATATGGCTGGCTGAGGTAGTAGCCTAGACTAGGTAGTTCCCCATGGCCAATTTAGGTCACGTAGGACCAAATCTACAATGACCCAATGCTCGAGCAGACTCGAGCTAGGCAAGCACATCTTCACCCGATCTGCACTTAGCATCCCCCACCTAGTACAGGTGTAGCCTCGACAATCAGGACAATTAGGTAACTTTAGTGCATCGTAGCAGCAGTTGTCGATTTGTCTCGAAGCCAGGTCGCCAGGGGTAAATAGATCCCCCTCCTCTGCCCTCCGTTAGACAGGCCACCTAGTCTAGGTTGGCCAAAGGTGGCGCCTGGCTTGGCCAAAGCCTTCCCTAAAAAAGGCAAAAGGTGGCTGTTATCAACCAGCTATGCATCGTTATCAAAAATCTTAAGTACACCCAAGTTCTAATCATTAAGCATAGGTAGCTACTTAAAGGTCACAGTAGGATACTTTTGTTATTTGAATAGGTAGGTATTAATACGAATAAGTAGGTGTGTATGTGTACCTACACATATACAGGGCCCGTATATGAATTCATGCGTTTTACAAATTCGATCGGATCGTGGCGAGATACCGAACACGATAGCTTCAAACCGACTAGGTTAGACGTTCAGCGGTTTGATGCAGTCAGCTACCAACAGGCGTGGATCTTGCAGCACAGACAAACTACGACTGCATATCTCGCTTCACAACATGACGCTGCCTAAGCAGGTACCTAGGTAGGCAACCGTCATCATCTAGCTAAGTAGGTAGGGGTCGCTCCATTTACACAGAATATCAGGTTGAGCGATTCTACCGTTATAAGGGGCGCAGCACTTGATTTGTGTAGTGTACGCAGTGGATTGAAACTTCTACAACATCGCCAGACGACTTCCGACAGTTCCGGTAAGTCTACCTACCCTCAGGCGTATTCAATACGAAGGCACGAGCTTTGTGTATTGCCGGCAAGTCCATTGGTAGATCCGTATTCTTTTTCTTTTTCTTCATCCGATCTTGTACAGCCTCCCGCGACTTGTCTTATCTCCATACCAAATGTTGTCGATGGCTGGGCCGGACTGTTTGTCAACGGCACCTTTCTTGCCGAGAAATGGCAACATTGATTGCGTCCTTGGCGAATCTCTGAGTTACGTGACATCTATGGCGGCTTCGTGGTTCTTGTTGATAGCATTGCAAATATCACCATCTTACGGTGAAGAACCGTAGCCTGGCCAGATGAAAGACAGATCAGGTTATCAAGATGTCATGTTGTATGGCGGCCTGTCTTCTATGTATCTGAAATACGTAAGCGCCTCTCGTGGCGAACCCAATGGCAATAGCGATATGCTATCTAATAAGTAAATGAACGCGGTAAGATTTCTAGAGTAGAAAGAAGTGCAAGTATACGGCATGATGCATCCATACAGAAGACATCAAGCCGAAGTAGCCTCGCCATCAGCCACAATCTCGTCCATAGTAAGAAACTGAAACGGCCCCAAATGCCAGCCCAGCGCATCCTGCTTCCGCTCCGGCGTCCGCACAGCCGTGCAAGTCATGTAATGCGGGCCTAAGGAACGAATGCAGATATTCGCATCATCAACCTTGCCGCCCTTGAAAACGACATTATGTTCGCGGATGATCTGCCTCGGGTCGTCGTCCTCGCTCTGCGCGAACGCCGTGCCGGGCTCGGGAGGCTCGAAGCCCTCGAACATGAGATCGCCGAGCCACTCGGCCAGCAGGGCCTCCCCCGTCATCTTGACGTACGCCTCGCGGAGGCACCAGAGGGTGTAGAAGGCGCGGAGCTTGTAGCTCCTCTTCTCGTCTTCTGTCCGGAGGGCCGCGTACGCGGGGCGCGTCGCGAGCCCCGTCTTCAGGTAAGCGGCCTCGGAGCGGCCGAAGACGTCGGCGTGCATGTCGACGAAGCGGGCCCACCCCTCGGTGCGGATCATCCTGAGGTCGCGCTGCTCGCGCTCATTGACGCACACGATGTCGACACCGATGTCCACTTTACTGCTGTCTCCGCCATTGGCGGTGTCATAGCCATGTGCCGCCACGAGCGCAACTAACCCCGCCTGGTGGCTGACGTTGAAGACGACGGGCTGTCGGCCTGCGGCGTCCTTGAAGACTGGCTTCCCGTTTTTGTCCGCCGAGAGTTTCGTGTCCCACCACGGCACGCCGCAGTACTTGCTCACGACCCAGTGCTTCAGGAGATGAGAAGCTAGCGACATCTTCGCATCGGCTACGAAATGGTATCTCAGCACGCGGGCGCGCTCATCCTGTGTAAGCAGCGCCAAAGGGCGAGACGCCTATTTCGGGATGTTAGTTCCTTAAACAGAGTAAGATAAAAGACCCTAAAGCAAGCTTTACCTCAACCTCCAGGTCGCTCGTCTTAGTAGCGGCCGGCCATAGTGCCCGAGTATCCACTAGGTATTGTATCGCCTCTACTTTACTCGACGTCATGATGGTATTCCAGCACGCAGATCTTGGAACTTCGTTAACACACGCGAGATGGAACCATCCGGAAGCACCGAGAGGTGCTGATCTTGGAGATGTAAGACACCTGTATTATATAATACTGTAACTCGACGACATTCATCGAGCACTTGCATAAACGGCACCTGGCGCATGGCATCTGTCGGCGTTGGCAGCTGCCCGTTTTGAGACCAGTTGGTCAGTCAATCAAATTCCATTTCTTAGTAAGCCTCATAATTCACTGCAATTAGAAGCACGAAACTACCTAGTAGAGAAGCTAGAATTAAAGTCAAGTCTTGCATATAGGCACGGTTGTGGTATGGGCATATCAATCATGTGCTTCTCTAGACATGATGATGCTGTAAATAGCATATCTATTGTTTCGTCAGTGCTATCTCTGAACTGACTCGCTTCGTCCAAGACGCTTATTGGCGAGGAGCAGGCGCTTCAAGAGATAAAAGAAAGACAGGGACTTTCTTTGTTGTTATGGCCTCATGGTTGGGCTTATCATCTGCCTCGGCAATCTTCTCATCTCCATCATTCTTCGTGTCATCCTTCTCACCCTTCTCCTTTTCTTTATCCTTGTCTTCTTCTTCTCGGATCTCCTTGATAACATTCCCATTTCCATCAACCTCTACTAGCACATCAACTTTGTCAAGACTGCCATCCTCGGTGAAGTTCCACATTTGTCGAATCTCACCCCTCACAAGACCAGTGAGCCAGACGGATGCGACGACCCCAGGAACTATGTAGAGCAAGGCCGGTTGAGCGTGCTGAAAGACCAGGAGCATCACCAACGTAGTTGTCATGGCAAGTAAATATCCCACCATAGAAGCATAAAAATACGGTTTTGGGAATGCAGATACTTGGGCCGCTGGGGTTACATCTGGTGAAAAGAACCTGTTAAACTTAGTACCCCAAAAGCGGTCACCCCACTGCCCTTGAGGGCTGATATAATCGGGCTTGACTACCATGCGCTGTGTTCCCTTATGCGTGACGAGGTGGCCTGAAGATACGTCATCTGACCTCAACTCGACTTCCTTCAGATTCTGCTTTCGGTAGTAGTACATGTAGAGGTCGAAGCGCAGACACAAAGCGATGAATATGCCTGGGACAACAATATCGCCAAGTCCAAGCATACTAGCTCTAGTGGGGCCTTCAAACACAAGTTTGATGGGTGCATCAAGTTTGGTTGCGACGGTGACCATGTAGGGGCTGCAGCGATGATTAATATAATGCAAGAATCTAAATTGCAGACGACTCACGTGTAGAAAACCATGACAATGTCATAGATAAAGAGGCTGAATAGAACGGCGCTGCCTGTAGCAAATGTGGTTGGCGACATGATCATGATGCCCGCATATGAAAACGCGTAGCCCATGATGTTCGAAAGAAACACGGATGGAGTGGTATAGTAGAACACATTTGCCCCAATGGCAAATACAAAGCCGACTATATCGTAGGCCTTGACCTTGATCTTCTCATTGGCGACGCCATGCATAGCTAGCCTAACAGTCCAATCTTCGGATAGGAGATGACGAATCTCCCAGAGAAACTTTGTGGTCGCGCCAGAGAGCTTGAGGTTAGAAAAGCGGCCTGGTAAGGGTGAGATCTTTGTATCGTCCCATACTCGGTCTTTAGCGCCGTCCTTGGTATACCATTGTCCTCTTTTCTCAGGATCAATGTGAAAAACTTTTCCATCTCTACTGATCCAAACTGAGGGGAAAACGAAGCCTGTCAGAAAATGAAGGCTATCTGCAAAGAACTTTCCTAGACTTGCAAGGGACATGGTGGAGAAGTACGCTCGGAAGATTTTGTTGAGGGTGTCGGCGTCCTCGAGCCATTTGATCAGGTAGTAAAGTCCCGTGAGGACGGTTGCAGCCAAAATGGGAATCATTATGGCATCCGACGGCAGCATGCCTTGAACATACTGATCGTCGCGCTCCTCATCCTTATTCTCTTTCTTGCTTGCCTTGGGAATCTTCGCTGAATGGGGCCGGCGGAGTGATCCATACGACCCAACGTAGATTAATGCAAGCGCCGTGAGAACAATCCGAGTCTCTAGGACCAACAAGCCCTTATGCTGTAGTAATAAGCCTGGTGCGCTCGCCAATTTCTCGCAGAATGTCTGGTTCATCGTTGGTGATGTGATGTTGCTTGACGATAGCTCATCGAAGGCGAGGCGTGTGGCGTTTTCGGCCGCCATCTTAGTTTCAGGGTAGGCCAAATGGCCAGAAATATAGTAGAGACTATTGGTTTTGTAGTAACCAGGTGATAATCTCGTAGTAGCCCAGTTAGAGGGGTTTGACTCCAAAGTGAGACCGACAATGAACCTCTGCAACTGAGACAACCGGTGTCAAGCGTCGTAGTGCCGTTGAATAGAAATATATGAGAAGTGGCTCGAACCGTGTTTGAATGTGTAGTTTCTATATCAAGGCCAAGCTTATACCAACTTGGTTCTGATTGATTGATGTTGATGTGCGAGCATGAAGGAGCTAAGGTACCTAGCTCACGTCCGTTGGCCACCTCTACTTATTTAAGTACCGTGGATCTTGTGTTCTGCCACGTATATGTCTCGCAACGCGACGAGTGCACAGTGGAAGAAGCAAATTTGCTATCTTACACACATATGCTATTGGTCTAGTGTGTGTCTTGTGAAGCTCTGGTGCTCTACATGAGCAAACGCCGTGACCTCTTGAATCATTAATGTGCAGAACCTTTGATACCCAAATAGGACCGATGGCGGGGGATGGAGGTACATAAGGTCCTAGCAAAACCGTACCTGTCTCATTACCTGTATGTAGTCTCTCTTCAGTAGCTGCATACACCTACCCGGGGTCTTTAATGTTAAATCAATACAAAACGGATGGATTCAGCAAGAGGCGTCGTTATCAGCGTTACAACCAAGGCGTATTTACCATGAAGCTAGACAATAATAGGAGGCATAATCTAGTTATAGCCTGGGTATAATCATGATTCAAGCAACATAATGATTACATCACTGCCTTGGTGGGATTAGTAGAAGATGAAGAGGAGGTACTAAGCTAACATTGGAGACCCCAGAAGAGGTGTACATGCTTTAGTTCAATGCCCCGCCAAAAAGTTGCCAGACATAGATCACCGCGGTGAGCTTGATTAGCTTCATGCTTGCGACATACACTCTGGGAGTATCTTGAATACGGGGAAAGGGCTTGCTCGCTCACTGACTCAGCACGCAATGGCGACCAATGTCTCCCTTGAGACCTCAATGGTGCGTTCATATTCGTAGAACCCGCCTGTCTACGCTTCCCCCACCCTACCTGCCCATACTATACGTCTCTGTGTAACTAACTAACGGCGCCAAAGGGCACAATAATCATTGAGCTCTACAACAACCATGCGCCGCAAACCTGCAAAAACTTCAGCACTCTCGCTTCACGGGGCTACTTCAACGATGTGATCTTCCACCGCATCATCCCCTCGTTCATGATCCAGGGCGGCGACCCCACGGGGACAGGCAGGGGCGGCACCTCCATCTACGGCGAGAAGTTTGCCGACGAGATCTCGCCCGAGCTACGTCATACGGGCGCCGGCGTGCTGAGCATGGCGAATGCCGGGCCCAACACCAACGGCTCACAGTTCTTCATCACGCTTGCGCCGACGCCGTGGCTAGATGGGAAGCACACCATCTTCGGACGCGTCAAGAGCGGTATGGGAGTCGTGAAGCGCATGGGTCTCGTCAAGACAGATGGCGAAGATCGCCCTGTCGACGAGGTCAAGATCATTCGCGCCAAGGTGCTTGATGACGATGATGGTGCTTAGAAAATACGACCTATGAGGGGTGGTTGGACCATTGGAGCCGCCCACAGGAAATCGTCACGTTCCGTCAGTGCTAATGCACGATTCTCTACTTTCAGTTCACTGTTGGTTGCATGGATTGGCGTTATGGCGTGTAGAATATCGGCCAAAGGTGCTTTACCATAGAGATACCACAAGATTTGGTTTCAAGTAGAGGCCCACAAACAATTTTATGTTGCTGATGGTAAATGTATTGCCATGAGGATATATATGCAAATGCTAGTGTTGGATACCTGTCCCGTGTACCTAGAACGCCATTTTCCTTCCCTTTCTGATGCAGAAGTGCCTTGACCTTATTTTAGCAAAAATAAACGCCTTCGAACGCCTTTCAATGCAAACCCTTGGGCATTATACAGACAATAAAACGCAGATGGAGGATTGAAAGTGAATAGAACAGCGTCTCGAATACTCTTCCGAAGAATCCTGGTAGGCACAAACCAATGGCGGCGAGACGCTATTTGATGTCGTGCCAGTCTAAGACCGAATGTGTAGCTGTAAGGGACGCTTTGGTGTTATGCAGCGGGAGGCGACGAGAGGGTGCCCGAACTCTCCGACGCGGCATCATCCCTCGTGTTCCCACTACCTACTGTAGCTCTTCCATTGCTTTTAGCAAGCGGCGATGACATGAGTGGTTTCACGTCTAGCTTCAGCTTCTTCGCTGGACTGGGCACTTTCGTGATCTTCTTCTTGGGAGCGACTTCGACAGTAGGTCCATCGTCGTCGTCGTTTTTCTAGGTCCAAGTAAGTTTTGGGCTTCATCTTACTCAATCAACGTTTCTTACTTTGTCCTTCTTGGTACCGGCTCCGGCTTTCGGCTTAACGATCAGCTTCTTGTTCACGTTCACGCTGGCGACCATTGGTTTTAATTTCTTCTTCTTGTGCGCATCATTATCCGTCGCATCGTCTTCGTCCATGTCGTCCCCGTCCCTCTTTTTCGGGCTAGCCGCCCTAGAGCCTGGTAATGGAGTTCCCTTTTGGCTGGATGGTGGAGTTCCGTCGCCATTGCCGTTCGAGTTCCCATTACTAATTTTCTGAGCGGCAGCACGACTAGCATTTCTACCACTATTTCCGATACATGATCCCATGTGGTTGTTCAGCCGCGTTACGAGAATGCACCGTTTGCATTTACTGCAGGTCGCAGAGGGGAATGAGAGCATGTTGGGTGGGCGCGAAGCCGCACCGCCCCCTGTGGTCCCTCCTTCGCCCGCCGGGGTCGGTGAGTCGCCGGGGGTGTTTGGATCAATCTTCTTCTCCATATCCTTCTTCTTCTTGCCTCTCCCGGGACCCTGCGCTACCCACGTCTGCCCATAAATGTCGTAGCCTGGTTTGTCGATGTACGGGCGCTTCTTGCAGTAGATGATGCTGGGGTCTGGTTTCCTTGCGCCTTTGCCATCGGTCGGGTAAAGTAATCGAGGTAAGTGACATCGTGGGCAGATTATGTCCTTGGTAGTGACTAGCGGGTTCCCTTTCAACAGCACTTTCCCCTCATCGTATATAGCAGCATCAGTCTCAACCCTCACATCGGGCCGAGCATCGGGGGTGGTTGTGTCTGAATGATTAGAGGCTACCTTCTCAACGAGAATGGCGGCGGTGGCAGCTCGGGCGATTTTCTCGTCTCGGTGAACCTTGATTAACAAGTCGTGAACAACATTGTAGAGTAGATCGTCCAAGATGGCGTGTGTCTACACAGCAACAAGGGTGTTAGTAACCGGGAACAGCATTGCGGCCGTCACGGTGCTGGGTCGCGTAGCACAGACAAAGACGGTGAGCAACGTACAAGTTGGTCCATACTGCCGGCATCGTCAGGAGCCTTGATGACCCCTGCCTTGCCAGAGTTCATAGACGATGCCATGATGCAAGGATGGGATGACTTATAGGAGACCTCGATGTGGTAAAGAGTGAGGAATCGGGGTCGGAGAGGGTTGAAGGAATGGCGCTGTGTAGGGTCATCAAAGAATTGCACCGGGGAGGGAATAGTATAAAAAATAAAAAAAGGGTATCCTCGTTGTAATTGCGCACCGATAGTGACAGCCTCCTTTTTTCCACAAACGAGGCAGAGCTGATGCAGGCTTAAGTGGAAGGGATGATGAAAGAATTCCAACGCAGTATCCACCAGCTAATAACAACTGTACGGTAGCACTTCTCAGCGAACAGAAGCCTACCTACAGGGCCAGCAGGTCGGGCGGGCAGGTTTAGGCTACTCAATACGCCGTAGCTCGCCGTTAAGTAGGTGCTGTACAGTAATTACCTACCCTACCGACCTACCGGCCTGCTAGGTAGTACTTATAGGCGGTATGCAGGTGGGCATGGTGGATTAGTCCCTATCGCATCCACTAACTTGCAGCGTGGTTCCACTGAATGTCTGGGAGGAATGGCAAATCACTTTCCGGCGTCATTCTAGCAGAGCAGTACCTTACGATGAAAAGACATGCATACCGATAGCATACCTAGTGTCATCAGCCATGTTTATTCTTTTTCTGCTGGAAGAGCGTATCTACGAAGTAGGAGGTAGCAGGTCGTGGCTGGTCGGACCCTGGATTCTTTTTACAGGTACGGGTACCTCCCACTGTACAGATACCTACAGTACTCGAATTGTAACGGGTTTCACGTTACCTGCCTAAGCATCTGCAGGTAATTGATAGGAGTGCCAGACCCATAGAAGCGTGGTTGTCAACCTGGCCTCATTCATTTACTTACTGTAGCAGGTTGTACAAGCTAGAAATACCTAGCTAGCTGTATTACGTCAGTAAGTCGAGATGAGTGTTTTAAGATGCTCAAGGTCCTCTATATCAGTTGAGATGTTTATCTGTACTACCTGCCTACCTGGTACTTGAATATCGATAACCATTGGCACCCCTGTTCCCCAACATCATCTCTGAGGCTCTCGGGGGAGATTTAGCCAAGTGGGGCGCCCAGTCGGCGGCACTGACCTGGCCCGCCCGACCTGCCCATCCGCCCCAACACGCGCCATTGACGAAGCACTTAACGCGCTTTGGCGTCACACCCGTCCATCGTCCATGAAGACTGGTGCAAGTGTGGCTCTGGGGACGCCCGACATTACTTCGTACGTAACCTAGTAAGTAGGTAAAGGCAGAAAGGAGCCCTGGGCTTCACACAAGACGTAAGCATCTTATCCCGCTCAACGCTGGATGTCTGTGTGTTGATGGTAGGGGACATCCAGACTGTTCTCCGTTATATCAAATTCTCTCCCATCCCGTCTTGGGCACACCCTTCTGCACCAGCCAAAATCTCATTGCGGCCGCCCCGTACGACATCATGCCGCTACCCACATCCAACGCCAATGGCCAATCTTCGATACGGAACTTTTTCCGTCCGAAGCAGCCGGCGTATGTAGCCCCTCCGTCGTCCTCGAAAAAGGACAAACGGTCGTCAACTTCCCCTCCACCGAAGTCGCCCGCGCCGACAACCATCATCCAAACAATGACGCAGCAAACCGCGACCACTACCCCATCTCGGCCAGCGAACCTACACCCACAAGCTTCAATATCCCGTATTCAATCCGAGCACATCCCGGTCCTACGGCGCATCACGTCCCTTCTCCTACCCGTCAACTACCCCGACTCCTTTTATGCACGGCTTTCGGATCCGCTTTCTTCGGGGGCATTCAGCCGAGTCATCCTCTGGCATGATGAGAAGAACGGCTCCTCGGCGCCTGGGAAGGTGATAGGAGGTCTAGTCTGTCGCCCGGAGCCCTCGCCATTTCACTCCGGGACCGTAGAGACCTCCCGCTCTCCAACGCGCCCAACGGTACCGTCCGCGCAGCCAAATGCGCTATACATACAATCTCTAGTGCTCTTATCGCCCTACAGAGGTCTAGGTCTCGCGGCCGCGCTGCTAGACGAAGTCGTCGCCGATGCGGTTCGAAGCGAGTTTGCGTGCGAGAGTGTCTGGGCGCACGTCTGGACGCAAAATGAAGAGGGTATGCAATGGTACACGGCGCGAGGTTTCGCGCGCGTTGAAGAAGTGAAAAAATACTACCACAAGTTACAGCCAGACAGTGCATGGATCGTGCGCCGAGACATCGGCCCCCGAGTCGTGCTCGGACTCGGCGGTTCCGTACCCAGCACTGCGGGAGAAACAACAGCTAGGCCTGATAAAAGTGTGACAGCAGCCGTTGCAAATCTGCCCACCAGCGCTCAAGGAGAATCCCTCTCGTCAGTTTCGTCGCCTGGTATCACTCCGCCACCCTCATCTGCTACTGCGCCACCACTAAACCGCCCACCTCCAAACCCCATACCAAAGAGCGGCCAAAGTACACCAGGTCAATCTTTCCAGAACATGCGACCCGAGACGGAATGGAACGATTTACCAGTGGACATGCAGGTTGGTAAGACCGGAAGCAGCACCAACTTGTCTGTTCCTGGTAGTAACGCCAGCTCGAGGAGTAGCTCCGCCGTTCGAAAGAAGCGGGACCGCGCGTACCCTGCCGCTGCCTTTGGTAATTAGACTTATTTTTTTAAAAAAGAAAGAAAAAATATATAAGGAGGCATAAGAAGCGGTACCTAAAAACTGTAAATTCGACCACGAATATAGGGCCAATACCCCAGGCGTTCTGATCGCGAGTGGAGTAGCAATCTTTCCTTTATTATGTACAAAGAGGAACATATTCACTCCATCTAGCCTAATGACATAAACCCTAGGTTGCGACGAATCTGAACAAGGGAAGCGTATCGGCTATGAGTATTTATCTAAGCTTTTATGCTAAGGGGTGGGTATATTAAAGCTCAGCAAAAGGAGGTCAGGTACTTACGGAGGAAAATGTATAAGGCGTACAAGATATGATCCACGAATAGATATAATAGCGGCTGTGAACATGAATGAAGACGAATAGGATAAATTATAGACAAATACAAGGCTTCTTGGCAATTTGGAATCTGTTACAGGCAGACTCTGATTATCTTGAAATGTGAATGAATTCTTTAGATATGAAAAGTGCATTAGGTCATCAATACATGCTTGTATACTACAAAAACCGGGTAGCCTGTATATCTATCATCCCTTCTCATGCCAATGTCGTTGATGCGCCGACAGAGGGTATCGCGCCAGCAAGCTTCTGAGCGGTCGCATTCTTAAGAGCCGCAAGCGTGTCTTTTGTCTCTTCCTCCTCCATATTCGCCGCCACCAGCGCGATCAAGGCCGCACCGACACCGCTGCCGTCTTTCGCAATGCCGATCTTGATCCGGTCCGCGCCTTCGGCACCAATGTCCTTAATGATCTTGAAGGCTTCATAGATCATGTCTCGGAAAGACGGGTAGTATTCGACCAGACTGCCGTCAGCCCCAATGTCCACGGATTCATCTTTCGTCTCCGTAAGCCTGCCGCTCTGGATGACGATGCTGCCCAAGGCCACGGCAGAAAGTCTCGCGGCTCGGCGGCCGATGGCATATGCAATATCCTTGAAAGCTTGAGCCTCTTCGACCGAGGCAGAGCGGATTTGGAGCTCAGACTCCAGTTCTTTCCGGAGACTTGAAAGGTCGGGAGTGGTATCACCCACGGCAATTGACATCAAAGAGCTGTCAAGACCCCATTGTTGGAATAAGCCCGATCCCTCACCGACACGTGAGGTAGCTTTGCCGTCATTATTGTTTGAATTGGCATCCTTGAATAGGGAGAGGGTAGGTTTCTCGTATAAGTCGAGAATGGCAAGGCGGGCAATCTCACCCAAGAACATTCCCGATACTCTTTTCTCAAAGATCTGGATGCCCGGGTTGACGCTGTCCTGGTCCAACTTTTTATCGTAGGGCGTACTGGGTAATACATTGAGCTGGTTGTCAAATGACCCCCACTCTGTGTTTATTACCATTTCACCAGTCGATTTGTTATAGTCACCGTCGACTGACTTTTGTAGGTTTGTGATCTTCTCGACATAGGCTCCGTTTGTTCCGGTCCCAAATATAGCTCCAATCAGCGTGGAGGTTTTCCCGGGCGCTGCGTACGAACGTGCCATCAGGGTACCAACAGTGTCATTCACCAAAGCTGCCACTTTGACAGGGAGATGAAGTAGATCGATTTCCTCTTGTAATAAGGCGCAGACATCCTTGCCAATTGCATCGGGAATATCGAACCCTTTAGTCCATCTTATGAGAGAGCCCTTATTGATTCCGAACTGTTGGACGGGAAAGCTGAATGTAAAGCCAAGTTGGAACAAATTTTCGGTCTCATAGCCTTCGGGGGCCTTCGAGGACTTTCGTCGGCGCTGGTGAGCTTCGAAGTGTTCCTCGTGATGTTCTTTCAAAAAAAGTTCGATCTGCTTAGCCAAGAAACCAAACAATTCTTTGGAGGTTTTGGCAACCATTAACTCCTTTGGAATAGCAACCTTGTTGTACGTCAGGTCGAAGGTGCTGTCACCATTTAGGTGAACCGAACAGACTCGAAAGTTGGTGCCTCCCAAGTCGACGGCCATATATAACCCCTACTTAACAATCAGCATTGGTAGGGTCACAAGATGCTCGGTCAATACAAACTTTTTCAGTGCCATTTGGCACGCCGGTGACATAGGTTGGAATTTGGCTCAAACTAGTACCATCGTTCTGTAGGCCCTCGTCTATCAATGATATCAGTATGCAAATCCAATCAAGGGTTACAATTGCTTTGGAACGTTTTAGCGATCGTACTCATTTGACGTAAAAACTCCAATACACCCCTATTCACATCGTCGTCTGTGTATTCGAACTGCGCAGTTATGCGCTTCGTCTCTTCTACCAGAGATTTCGCCATGGCGGTGGGTGCTAGGGAGATCGGAGGCGAGGTTGCAAATGGGAGAGGGCTCTCACAGACGGCGCCGTCAACGATAACAGCCGGAGGAGACGAAACTGTTCGAGTGAAAGAATACGATGCGAATAAATGGGAGTATGTGATTTTGATATCGGCAAGAAAGAGTTGCGCGACCTGGTTTGGAGGGGTAGGTTATTAGCAGGAGCAGGTTACAATCGCGCCGAGTGTCTATGTCATGCATACGACCCAATTGCATGCTGCGGGGATCCTAGACAACCCTAGCTGGGTGCTAGGGACAAATCATGGGAGACTTAGGAGCCGTGGGGAGAAAATATTACATACCAGGACAACGGCCAAGCAGATGGCGGAGAACAGGTATATGAAAGCAGGCGTGGGTTGCTGGACCACTGTCGCTCCTTTTTTTGCGGGCTGTCCCGCTTGCTCTACCATGTGTTCGTCGGTTGCTGAAGGAGTGAATCTCACGTATTGGAATACGGACAACAGTGATCACCATCAGCTCTGGCACCAAGGCCCAGACTCCCACAAGTTCTCTGACCAGATGCTCGAAGTCACGGCGAATTTCGCGGGGTTATTAGCGGGGTCTCTGTGCGTTTCCTTGCTGTCTTTCCAAGGCTCGATTGGGGGATTGCCTCCAAAGAGCCGCCAGCGCCTACAGCAGACCCCAGTAGACGGACCGAAGACGACGATTGGCGCCAGGGGATAGCCGATAGGGCAGATAGGGTAGGTAATACTGTAGGAAACGGGGCTGCAAGTACGAAAAGGCCGCAAATTCGACCTCGCAAGCTAAACGGGCCGGCTAAGAGCTAGATAACTAAAGCTACTCTGCTAGCAATGTCGATGAGGTCATGGGCGATCTAGCAAGAAGCGAAACCTGGCCTAGACAAGAATACACTTAGACCTTTTTCCGACCTTTCAACTAGGATCTTGTATGGTCCTTTGTGTATCGTACCACAACAGTACAGCTATCTGCTGTATTGGTCGGGGTCCCTGGAGGAGAAACCAGGTACCGGAGGTGGCAGAGACGCGGAGCCTGGGGAGATGAGAGAAGGCGGGAGAACCTCCAACAGCGCTCAACTTGCGCTTAGAGTACTTCAACGGTTTCTGAGACCGCTGGCGGCCGCAAGCATTGGTGTATTCGACCGTCAGAAAGGCGTCGAAGCTCCAATTGGATGAGAGTCCTTCAACTGCTAGTTGAGCCCCTAGTGAGACGTTACAAGATGAAATCCGCCGTTCTCGGGTTACGCAGCGATTAGTATAACAGGTCTGTTGCTTCAGGATCGGTCACTTAGGAAATTTGGAAGGATTGACTGATGATTAAGGTAGACATAGGGAGTACCTATGACACGAGAGATTATATCAATAGATCAATTTTCAGAGGGTATTACGGACAGGAGATGTAGCCTAGGTAGGGAATTAGAACAATGCAGGAGGAGCAGGGGAAGAAAGAGGGCGCAAATAACTATTAAAATGAGTTGAATGCCACGAGGGATTGATCGTCTGCAAGGCGGTCACACAGAATCTGAGATCGGTGGTCGGGGAAGGGTGTGGGGAACCTTCATACTTAGATAGGCACCTGCCTGAGCTACCTACATAACCTAACCTTATGATACTTAGAATACTTAGTCTGACTTAGGTAGCCCAAGGTAAGTAAGTAGGTAAGTACTGCACGGTAACCACCTCGCAGTGACTACGTGTTGCGTGAGGGAAGTCGCTGATGAGACAGATAATGAATCGAGTTCAAAGAGCAGGAGAGGATACACGATGTTCGCAAAGTAGAGGTAGGTACTTATAATCAAATCAACAGGTCCCAACAAAATCCCAAGGAGAGGGAACCAATTTCCCGGAGCTCCAGTTGTCATGCAGAACCCGGTCGACAAACTAGGTAACAGGAGCATAGGAAGCAAGCAATGGCAACATCGTTATCTACAATGATAAGTCAAAGCTGCAGATGTCTTCGCGCCAAACTCTGACGCGCGAGTATGCTGGTGTAATACTTACATACCTATATCAATCTATAGCCAGCCACGACTCTCGAGTAGCCGACGGGCCCTAGAAAATGAAACTTTATCAAGAGCGTCTTGTTTCCTAAGATTACCTAACACTTCTTAGGAATGTGCCTCTGGATTCGGCAGGGAGTACCATTCGCGGGCTCTTCACAGCACTGCCATATAAATCCTTCTGGCCACTCTTCACGCCGCCAGTCCGTCTCGGGATTGACGGAATCGGGGCGGTACTGGATATCGTCGTCGTCCGGGAAGTATTCTGCATCTATCTCAACCCAGCCTAGACTCACGGCAACATCAACATGAGGGTCAGTGTTAATGTGATCCCATGATACAGAAAACGAAAAGACGCTGGTCGGTACCTTACCCTCGTGTGTCTGACACGCTTCATCGTTATTAAGCGTGATGTCGTAGGTCTTGCTACAGGTCTCGCACTTCTCAAACCTCGGTACCTGAATGTCCTCTGCCGTCTTCTGCCTCTTGGTGTGCTTCTTTTGAGCTTCATCATCGGACGAGTCGGACAGTGCTATGATTTCATGCTTTTGCGACACCAACATTTAGGCTATTACCTCCTTGCGACATATGTCAGAGCCTTGGCACATAGACTTCAGTATAGCACGTAGAGTATCCTCGTCTGCATTGTCGATTGCTCTGTCGATATGATGCCACAGAAGCAATGATGTTGCAGATAACACACAGACTACGCGCTCAAAGAAATATTAATCTAGCAAATGTCAGCCAACCTCTAATGTCACTGTAAGTTGTTAATAGGCTCTGTACTAGAGATATGAATGATTCGAACAAGTTGACACGACGGAACTAGTGTTGCGATGGGACCAGAACCGTAGCCTGCTATCTAGAACTCGGTAGATTGATATCCAGTGCTTACATCATACAGTACAAAAGCCATATACTGTGTAAATGATGTACCTATTGGTCTTCATATCTCCAGAGACAGCCCCTGGCGCTGGCAGTTGTTTAACTCGGTATAAGGATGGTTCTTCAAAATGCAAATCGCATTTCTATATTTCCGTTTTCGAGATATAGCATTTCCGTGCTACCTCACAATTAGCGACCAGTAGTAGAGAAGAGAAAGTCTGTATTCACATAACAGGGTCCTCGAACAGAGGGGAATCAGTATTAAGCAAGTATTAAGCCAACATGTTGAACATCAAGCGAGGGAAACGCAAGGTCTCACATATCAAATGGCCTTATGCCCGACTTTCGAAGTCATTGTGCCCTCAGTATGCTGCAGTTCAACACAACACAGTCCTACTCTTTCTCTCTCAGCCTGCAGCCCATCCAGAGCTCCTATTATCCAAGGCTGGTATACGCAAAATTCCATGCTAACGACAGCCAGATACTATCCGCCTGTAAACTGAGAGTCAACTTACCTACATTTTTACTAGTCGCAGGGTTCACGGTGCTATACTACTACAGACCTGAAGTCGATCTGCTTCGATCGTTCTTTGAGTATCGACCGTCTCCGTACGATATGATATACCCTGTTCCAGCCCCGTTGTCCGAGGGCACGAAAGTGCATTGACTTAAGTAATTAAATAACACACTCATCTCGAGATGTATGCCATTATTTGCTGCATCACGGTGGCTCTTAAGATAATAATAATTCTACCACAGTAAGACAGTCATGAAACAAATTCTGGGTAGGATGTTGAATCAGAATTCGGTAGTGGCCAAACAGAACTCACAAAAACTGCAGGAAAATAGTAATGCACCAGTGGTAATTCTACCGGTAGAGCTGCATTCTCTACTATGTATGTAGTATACCAGTCTGGCATGTTAGGGCTACACAAGTCCAGGGGTAAACAACAATAGGTGATACGTGCAGCGTTCTAGAATATTATTGGCACTACTTAAGAACGAAAAAGGGACACTGTTTGATCCTCATGAGAATCGTAGAATTTGGTATTATATGGGGGCTGAACAGCACATCTCAGCTAAGATTCCGTTGCAGCAGACTAAGGAGGATTCAATCTTATGTAGTTGGTCGGGCTACCTCATGCATACAACGTCAGGGCGGCAACGCCGACTCGAAATCCACGTTTTTCTCCAGACCAGTGACACCTCACCCCGTAAGCAGGCCACGGTTGTCGTGCATTAGAGACACGAAGCTGAAACGTGGGCTCACTGCATGAGAGGAGATCGAACGCGTACCGCATACACTCAAAAAACTCGAACAACACTAGTAGCGCTACCATATATGCAAATGGAGCAACTGCCATATTAGGCCTATCTGAATCTAACCGAACCAAAGTTATCTTAACCCCCTTTTAGGTACGATAATTGCTTTTTTTAACTTAGTACAAGTAGAACTTCGATCTGACCTGGTCTTTTCTATATTAACTTTGCTCCTATTATTATAATACCTACATTACCCACTTTTATCCGCCCTTACTACTACTTAAACGCCTTAAATTTATTACTAAAAATGTCTACCTTTAAAGCACCAATAAAAATAACCTATAAGTTACTTCCAATTTTACCTTATTATTAGGGCTAATTAGGTAACTTTAATTAACTTATTCTTTAACCCCTTAGGGTTAATTTTTATATTCGATAAAACTTATATCTTTAAACTCCGCTAACCTTATTATAGCCTTTACCAATTATACTATAATTAATATTATAATAGCTATTTTTAATATATAATAATAAATTATTATAATAATTATAAAAGTATTATTAATATAAGGTATAACTTTAATTAATAATAAATTATATAATTAAAGCTTAAAACTATATTAATAATGCTTATTTTAATTAATCTTTAATTTTATATAGGTAAGTTATACTTTATAACTTAAAATTTACCTTATTAATCTTTTTATAAGTTATAAAACCTTTTAAATACTATAATTAATAATAATATAAATAATTTTAAAGTTATTTTAATAATAAATTTTATAAAAAGTTTAAATATATAATTAAAGTAAAAGATTAAAGTTAAGGTTAATAAAAAAATAAAAAAATAAAAAATAAAAGTTTATAATAATTATAAAAAGGGTTATTTTTAATATTTTAAAATAAAATAAGTTAATTAATATATATTTCTTATATTTAAATTAAATAATTAAAATAAAAATAATAATACCTTTATTTTAATAATAATCTTTATATAAAGTATAATATATATATTTAAATAAATTAAAAAAAATCTAAAAGGTAAAAATTTATATAATAGCTAATCTTTTTAAAAGCTTAATATTAATAACTTTTATATTATAATATTAAAATATAAATAGTTATTATATAAAAAAATATAATTTAATATATTTTTTAATATATTTATTATAAAATAAACATTATATAAACATTAAATAGCTTTTATAGTTACGGATTATGGCCAGTGGCAGTAGGTACCCATGTACCCTATGCGTAGAGGGCTACCGAACGGTCCACCACACTTGTGTGCGCCTGCCAGTCTGGACAGCTGTTGCCACCTGACCCATAAACCGCAATTATCCTTATCCTATAAAGGACCTGGCCAGAGAGGGCCACTGTACAATAGTTCTCTTTTCTTCTTCATACTTGAATTAATATACAATTCCAGCTATCATACGAAGCCTTATCTTCAGAAGTGAAGCCTCCATATAACATTTATTATTATTTTATATTATATAATTATTAAAAATAATACTTTTATATTTATTTTTATAAAATTAACTTTAATTTTTTTTATATTTATATAATAAGGTAAAAGTAAAATCTATTTTTAAAAATATTATTTTAATATATTTTATATATAATTTATATCTTTTAACTATTTAATTAGCTTTACCTTTATTTTATTATTAAGTAAGCTTTAAAAATAGTATTTTTCCTTTAATTTTATTACTTTAAATTACTTATAGCTATTTTTTAATTAAACTATCTTTTCTTTTTTAATACTTATATATTTATAATTTAAACTGTTAATTATTTTATTAATCTTTTTAAACTTTATTTTAACCTTTTAATTTAAATATTAATAATAATTATTAAAAATTAATTAATTAAAATTAATACCTTTAATATTAATTTTAAAGTTATTATAGCTATTTAAATAAATTAAAATATTAATATTTATAAAAAGTTTTATTATTATTTTATAATTAAATAAAATAAAAGTTTATTTTTATATATTTATAATAATATAAATAATTATTATTTATTTTTTATTAATTGTTTACTTTTTAAATAACTTCCTTTTTTTTTAATTTATTTATATATAAATTTATTTCCTTTTAAAGCTAGATTTTAAAAGGATTATTAAAACTAATATTTAAAAGCTATAAATAAGCTATAAAACTTAATAAAATTATTATAATAATAACATTAACCTTATAAAGGGCTACTTTAACTTTATTCGTTTTATAAAAGGTAGCTATATTAATAATTAATAAATTAAACTTCCTTTTAATATAAATAATTAAATTATTATTAATTTAATTTTTAAATAAATTATTATTATTATATACTTTTTTATTAAATAATATATTAATACTTTTATAATATAATAGCTTTTCCTTATTTATTTTAAAGCCCTTATTATAAAAGATAATAATTAATTTTAACTTTTTAATATATTTCCTATTTATAATAATTATTAATATTAATACTACTTATTATTTTTCCTAATTACTTTTATTTAACTTTTTATTAATAAATATATTACCTTTATAATTATATATATAACCTATTAAAAATTTAAATAATATTAAAATTTTATTTAAATTAATAATTTAATAATAAGGAAATTTATTAAAAAAAAGCTCTTTAATAGGATTATTTATTAATATTATACTTTTTTAAATTTAATTATTTTATAAAACCCTTTTAATAAATTATAGGAAATTATTTATATATTTAATTATTTTTATAAATATTTAAATTAAAGTATAAATTATTTATTAATAGTTAATTTAATAGTATTAAAGGAAGTTATAAAACTATTTATTTAAAAAGGTAAAAATTATTAAATAAATTAAATAATAGCTATTAAAGATTATAATAGCCTTTTATTTAAATTAATAAATATTAATTAATTTTTTTACTTTTTTAATTATATAAAACGCTTTTTATAATTTTAACTTTAATATTAATTAATAAAGTTAAAAGTATTATTTTTTCTTATTTAAAATTAACTTTTATTACTTTTATTATTTTAAAATAAATAATTTATTATTTAATTTAAAGTAATAAACTATTTCTTTAAATATAAGTTTTTAAAAGCCTTCTTTAACCTTATTATTATTTAAAAGGCTATAATAATACTATTTTTATTTATTAACTTTATTAATTTTTAATAAAATTTAATAGTTTTTTAAAAATAATAATATATTAATCTTCCTTTATTAAAAGTAATACCTTTAAAACTATATTAATAGCTTTAATAAATAATAATTAACCTATATTAAGCCTTTTTATTTAAAGCTAAACTATTTAAATAAAGGGATTAATAAAGTTATATTAATTAAATTAAAGGTTAAGTAGGTTAATTAAAGATTAATTATTATAAAAGTGATTAAAAATAGCATTTTTAATATTTTTTTAACATTATTAAAAAACTAGCTATAATATAGCAAAAATAGTATTTTCTTAACATTATTAAAAAATTAGCTATAATATAATAAAAATAAAAAAAATAAAGAAAATAGTAGAAATAGCAAAAATAGCGTTATTTTTACAATTCTACCACTTCTTAACTTTTCTATAACTTATAAAAGGGTATAAAGCTTAACTAACATTTAATAGGAGCAACTTTTAGTAGCGTTCATTAATAAAGTTACTTGCCTAATATGGATAACCTAGCGAGAGCATCCCTGCAGTAGCGTTACTAGTGTTGTTCGAGTTTTTCGAGTGTATGCGGTATAAGTGTAGTAGGACCTTTTCATCACAGGTGAAATACTATTATATGTGGAATATGTCGTTTAGGCTTGAACTGTCTGCCTTGCTTCACCTAGTATATCAACATTCAACATCACGACCGGAACCGAATCTTTGGGATGAACCATTTCCATGTCGTAGTATCTATGCTACACCACTAGTAACGCCCCGGATTGCTACAGCTTCGCGCGGGTGTTGAGGTTTCGTCAGCTCAGCGGCTAGCAGCCCCCAGATAGATCTGACCTGGATGCAACTATCGAACGCCCAAGTCATGCCAAAGACGACCTGGCTTGTTGGGGGCCATTTGGGGTCTTCGAATTTGCCTTATATGAAGAATTAGATCATATAGACCAAGTACTTGCTTAGATAGACGCCTGGATAGCGCCGTCTACTTGGCAATTGCCGAACTAATCTCAACAACTTGGGCGTGTATAGTACGGAGTAGACATTTTCAGCAACAGGCCTTTGACGTGTTTAATGTTGAGAGATGCGCATGTGGGTTACAGGGCCCTGGGGCTGTGGCTGAATCAAATCGTGCGCTTTAGCACGTTGGTGCTTTCGAGGGGCGCTTTCGGGGGGGGGGGGGGGGGCTGAGTCTGTGCAGGATCATGCTATGTACCTGCTATGTAGATGAGCCTCAATCATAGTACCAGGCAATCAATTTTGGCGTATCGAGCGGGGTAATTATTATAGAGCTTCCCAATTTGGTTCAAGACATTGACTATGTGTAAGTACAGTAGATGTATTTGATTATCGTGGCTGTCTGTCTTAAGTAGTGTAGTTTCGCGATGGGTGTCGTATTATACTTACTGATGCTCAAAACTCCATTGACAAGTACTTACATCACCAAGCCTCCATCAAGATTGCTCTTTGTAGGCGAGGTACCTACATTAGCTACCTCACTTCGAATTATTTTCAGTGGGCGAAACACGGCGCTACATTATCAAATTCGTGAGCTGCACTAATCTTATTGTGCGACACTTGCAGCTTTTCTGTGGCAGCTCTGTTCTCTGCGCGGGGGCTATCGTCAAATCACTGGCGTGGTATGTGACTTCGATTTAGGGCAGACCTTAGTATACAAGTACACCGCAAGTTTGAATTGTTTCCCGTGTGGGCCACGATAACCTACCTACTCGTAGGTCTCCTAGGTACAGAGCAGATATGTCAAGGGCTCGCTCGCTCAGAACAGGCGAAGAAACGTTGCAGGCAAGTCACACGAGAACATCGTGTGTTACTTGATTGAATACCCACGTATCCAAGATTAGGCGCATATCCATTTCACGTCCACCTGTGCATTTCCGATAGCTTCTCCTACACGTCGAGGATGTATTATTCATGGCGCCTTTAGTCCCAGTACCTACTCTACAGCCTCGCTTGTGCACCCTTTCGATAATCTACTGCAAATCCGATTGCACGTGACATCTGAGCCTATTTTGCCTATTTGCCTGCGTGGCTACTAGGAGCTACCTTAGGTAGTAGGTAAGCTGCAGTCTTCTCTGTACTTACACAAAACTTTCGTGGATGCTGGAATCGGCATATTCTGAAGCCTACCTACGAAGTAGTGTAGGTATGTACCTCTTAGCCTGATCAATTGGGTACTATGTAGTGCGGAGGCGAGCAGAAGTCAATGCGGAGCTTGTAAGGCAATGCAAAAGGATTCTTGCTGTGCTGCTGCGCTGCTGCAAAGCAGAAACACGCCACACTACCCCACCCGTTAGTGAGAGTCTGTGGGAGGTATACCTACATAGTACATAATACCGGTACTATATGCCTCATCATTTACAGAGCTGTCTGAGCTTAATCGTGACAGAGCTCTCGTAATGCTGATGGCGTAACGGACTTGATACTGTTGAGCAAATTCCTCACTACCTATATAGGTATGACGATGGTTCGCCCTTAGAGATGCACAGGTTGTAGGACTCTGCTGTGTATCTCCATACATACCTCTATGTAGAAGGTGGAAATCAAACTCCAGGGATGCCATATGGATATCTCCATTATTCTTAGGCCCTTCAGCCTCGCTCGCTCCCCAGAATACTACAGAGCCGAGAGAGCACTGCCATCCCACTTAAGGGCAGTCAGCTCATCTAGCCGCAGCCGGCATTTAGCGGGGATCACAAAGCGCCAGAAGCTCTTACGAAGTAGTCGAGCGAGCATATAGTAGTGTGCGAGGTGTGTACAAACAGAACAGGGTGCTCCCTAGACCAGCTAGACCAAGGTCCACCATTCCTCAACGCTGGTGATTGATCGGCACCAGCTACCTACTTCGTAACTCGTACTTACATGTCCTATTTTCTCACCCAGGGCAGACCCAAGGGCCAGCAGTAGCGGTAAGCCAGCCAAACTCCAAGAAGGCTGTGTTTGTACAGTTAGGCCCTAACCTGGCGAGCCCTGGCAGATGCCGTAGATAGTGGTATTGCCCTAACTGCTCCCAGAGTTGTGTTATCGACAGTGTACACTTGAGGTGAATGAGGATTATTAGAGCAATACCACCTCGTGAAAGAGTTATCATTATCTGTAAATACTAGTTATGATGTAGGAATAATACCTACCTGCGAGGACTCGGGTAGTATGAGGTCGGGCAGCAGTGAGTTGAAACGGGAGTTTTAGATAGGCTCGTAGGACTAACTGCTAACCTCAGTTGGTGGTGCAGAAGGCATCAAAGTCCTACCAAGACCGGAAAATAAGTGCTGTACCTAAGTACATATGTAAAATTCCTTACCTGCGCAAGGACCTACACTAAGTACATACCCGCCCTGTATCCACAGGGCCGATATCATTTCCCGCTTGTCACCAACTGCACTCGAAACAAAACCAACAACAACTCATCCCGGATCTCTTCCAAGACCGAACAAGACCTTGGGAAATCGTTGGCAAGAGAACGGTACTGGCTCGTGCTGCTTGCGTTGCTCGTTGGAAGGGCAATATCGTATTACCTACTACAACCCTACGGTTGAAGACTTCCAGTTGGTATAATATATTACCGCCATTGTACTAGTGTAGGTTCCTAGGTAGTAAGGTACCGGCCGCAGGTACGCACGCAAAGTAGCAGGGACAGCACTGGCAGCAAAAAGGGACCAGGGGAGAAGGACTTTGTCGCCAAGCATCCGAACCTGACCAAGCCCCCCCTTTCGCCATCCACACCCCCTCGCATGTCCCTTCCTGTCCCCTGTCCGAGTCAGACAGACAGACAGACAGACAGATAGACGATCGAGACATACCTACACCTTATTCCCCATTTTCCCCCCAAGCACCGCTACACTACCTACCTACCTACTGCCAGCCAGCCAGCCAGCCAGCCAGCCAGCAGGACCAGCAGCAGGACCAAGGACCAGTGCCAGCGCCAGCGCCGGCAAGCATCAGCACTGGCTGCATCAGCAGAAGCAAAGCCCAGCCTAGCCCAGCCCGCCTCGTCTTCCTTCAATCCACCACTCCCGTCTTTCCTTCTTCTACTTCACTTATCCCCGTTCCCCCGACCTGTCTCCCCTCTTCCTCTCCCTCTCTCCTTCTTCTCCTTCTTCTTCCCTTATGAATTCTTTGAATTCCCGCTTCAAGGGCTTCGGATTAGGTAAACGGAAGTCCACCGCTAGCATCCCCCCTTCAGACAATCCGCCCGCCAGCTCTACCCCTCCACCGCAAATCACGCAGGCCTATCCGCCCGGACCTGCTCCATCGCAGATTCCACCGCCCACGAGTCAGCCTGGCCCCGCGCCTACGGCCTCCATTGCCTCCTCCTCCCAGGCGAGCCTCCCGATAATGAACCACCCCGGCGCTGGACCCCGTCCGCCCAGCTATACGCCTAATTTTCAACCAGGAGGGCCTCAGCAACCCGTCGGCCGCACGAGCCCCTTGACCCAGAACCCGACACGTACCCCGCCCACGCAAATGGTTGGCGGCCCACCTCCCATCAACACCGGCGCTCCCGTCTCCGGCTACCCTCCCACGATGCATATGCCACCTAATGCGCAACCCGCTCCCGGCGGCCCAGGCGGTGGTCCGCCAGGTTACCCTCCCGCAGGCTATCCGCAAGCTGCTCCTGCCCCCCAGCAGCAACCCACTAACGCTATGGGATCGTATGGGCGACCAGCCGCCGAGGTAGAGGGCAATAGCCGAAGTAAAGCCCAGCTGATTGTCGGCATTGATTTTGTATGTCGCTCCAATGGACCCATGGAGCTTATGCAATGTCTCTGACTGTTTTAGGGCACAACATTCTCTGGTGTCGCATTCGCCTTTGCGACGAATAATGAAGCCAAGGAAGACATAATCACAGAATGGCCTGGAGCAGGATCTTATACAAAACAGAAGGTATGAGACACAGATTTCAGAAGTGCTCGGGCAATTACTTACCGGGTTTGTCCAGATTCCCACAGTGCTATACTATGATCAGTACCAGAAGGTTGTTGGATGGGGTCCGGATATTGCCGACGCTCTGGCGCCAACGGGCTATCCCAAACCCGGTGTTCAAAAGGTTGAGTGGTTCAAGCTACAGCTAATGTTGTCTGGAAATACGTATATTGATCCTATCAACTTGCCTCCGCTACCGCCAGGAAAATCTGAAATTGATGTTGCTGCCGACTACCTGTTCAAGTTGCGACAGGCTATGAGGTCAGCTCTCCAGAAGACGCTCGGTGAGGTTTTCAACAGAGAGGAGCGCAACATTCGGTACTATTTGACCGTCCCCGCCATTTGGAACGATGCTGGTAAGGCTGCAACGAGAGCCGCTGCCATCCAAGCCGGCTTCTTGCGCGATGAGAACGATAACCGATTGACACTTGTCAGCGAGCCTGAAGCTGCATCGCTTTTCTGCGCTAAGACGGGTTTGCTTAATCTCAAGGTTCACGACGCCATTCTTATTGTCGACTGTGGTGGTGGTACTGTGGATTTGATCGCTTATGAAGTCGAGGATGAGAACCCCTTTACTGTTGCAGAATGTACAGCAGGTTCCGGTGACTCGTGCGGCTCAACTGCACTCAACAGGAATTTCAGTAACATCTTGCGAACTAAGATTCGGAAGATGAAGCTTCCAGACGGATCTAAGACAGCTGGACGTGTTTATGCCAAGTGTATCATGGACTTCGAGAACCGAATCAAGGCAGACTTCAGAAACAACGGACAGAAGTGGGCGGTCGATGTGGGTATCGAGGCTGAATTTCCAGAGGCAGGTATTGAAGAAGGCTACATGACATTCACCAATGAAGAGATTCTTCAATGCTTCGAGCCGGTGGTCAACCGGATTCTGGAGCTTGTTAGGAACCAGATCATTGCCATTCAGGCGCAGAACCGAACATTACAGAACATCCTCGTCGTAGGTGGTTTTGGTGCTTCTGAGTACCTTTTCCAGCAGATCAAGCTTCATGTCCCTCCCCAATTCCAGTCCAAGGTGGTGCGGCCAATGGACTCGGTTGCTGCTATCGTTAAGGGTGCCGTTACAGCCGGCATCACGGAGAGAGTCATCACACACCGTGTTGCTCGTCGACACTACCTCATGGCCACGCTTCAGCCTTTCAAAGAGGGTTACCACCCCGAGGCGTACCGTGTGCCATCGCTCGATGGAAAGGATCGATGCAAGTTCACCCGACAAATATTTGTGCAAAAGGGCCAAAAGGTCAAAATCGGTGAGCCCGTTAAAGTATCTTTCTTCCGACAGGTAGCTCCCGGTGCTACACTTATGTACGAAGATATCCTCTATGCGTGTGACGATGATGTGTGCCCCGAGTACACTAAAGATCCTCGTATGTGCCAATTGAAGCCCCTTTCTCATTCATCCACACTAATAGTATTACAGGTATAAAGGAAGTTGTCACTTTAACATCGGACTTATCACGAAAGAATCTCGAGAAAGACTTCGAGCGCATGGATACCCCACAAGGCACATTTTATCGAGTATACTTTGACATTTATCTAACGCTAGATGGATCTGAGTTCAGCGCCGAGCTCGTTTGCCAAGGAGAAGTGATGGGTCGTTGCCGATCTCGGTTCAGGTGAACACAATGGAGTCGGAAGAATTGCATAGCGGAATGGATGATTCTGATTTTTTCCCCTAACATAAATTTCTGTTACGTTACCCACTGATACCTCCACGCGAAACACAATGATGCATGTATGGACCACAAGCGGGCTCATTTCATATATTGGACCCCGGGATACCACGCCACTTCTGGAGAAATAACATTTTCTTCTGTTGCAGGTAGATCTGCAACGATATGTCTAATCTGGATGAGTGGATGATTGATGATGAGGAATCTTAGTACAAAATGGTCACAGCCAAGGGTGGTTTGAATTTGCCAAACAGTTAAACTTGACATTATTTCGCAAGATTTGGAGTATGTTGTCATCCTCGTGAGACGTGGTTTTTTTTTCTATCAATTGGCATATATGCTTGGGCATCGCATCTTTTCGCTGCTTCTGTCTGTGGCTATTACACATAAGGAATGGTATTCCAAAGGGTTGTCTGACTTAAAAACTGGATGCCTCCCATTTACTATTTTTTTGAGATTACTGTAAGTGGTTCAACAAGATGATCTCCACGTGGTAGCAAGCAAGATATCCCAATCGCACGCGGGATCTAGTTTAGGAGATAGGCCCTTGACCCCTGCAAGTAAAACTGCACACCTTGACTACTACTGCCTAAACAAGAAGCAGGATTGGTCGCCGCTACGTCATATGTTGAATCGCGAAGCGCTTCCACTTGGCGGCGGCAGCAACGTCAACACACTCAAGTCACTGGGTAGCGACTCTCCAGGCGTGCCCTGGTTATATTTGCCCTCTTGTTTCCTTAGCCTTGTGTCTGATTGAATCTTTCAGAAAGATGGCTTCAGCTTCACCCAGCATTCACTCCATCGCCGAGGTTTGCTGATATACATATTTCCCTCGTCTCTCCCTACATACTTGTCCTGTCGCTCTACCTCCCGTTTTACATTCGATTACTATCATTTTTGGCCTTTATTTTCTCCTTGTTTCATACCATCCTGAATCGGGTTGTATGTTGTCGACTAGTCCTTACTATACGACAATACTGGGGTCAAGTCGGACGATGACTTGGTCTTTAACTTACTGAACGACACGCCAAACCTGATCTAACTTATGCTGCCCGTTTTCTACTATCGACCAAAGTACGCATCACTTTGTTCACCCTGTCACAGGGTGCTGAGCCAACAGACGAGCCAGCATGCGCCAGCCATCCTCCTCTCAAAGGCGTCGGAGTAACATGAAGATGAGGGCAGTGGTGTTGAGTACAACCTTGTTACTCCTGTCTACCCTCCAGGAAGTAGCAGGAGTTGTGTACCCAAGTAACCACAAGCTGTTCAAATTTGACTATCTTTCGCCTAGTCAAGCCGTCAAAGGTATAACACGGCCACTCACTAAGCGCGACAAAGCCATCCCACTCATCGTAACCAACAATTGTCCGGAGGTATTGTGGCCTGGAATTGCATCTCAGGCCGGAGATGCCCCTGAATCCCATGGGTTCGAACTCGGCCCAGGAAAATCTAAACATCTCACTGTTGGCCCAACTTGGGCTGGAAGAGTATGGGGCCGTACGAATTGCACCGTCGGTGACGATACGGCAACCTGCCAGACAGGTGATTGTCTAGGAAAGTTAGATTGTGTGTTCGGCGTGAGTGTCTTGCCCCTTATTGAATCCACTGCTGCCCTCAATGCTTATACATGTATGGCAGGGCACTGCGCCAGCTACTTTGGCTGAGTTCAATCTTGCTGGAGGCATTACAGGTGACCAGACATTCTACGACATCTCTTTAGTCGATGGTTACAATTTGCCCCTGGGCATCGTCTACCATCCAGCGGAAAATACGACCTTCATCCCACCAAATCTCGTGAACCCAACGTGCATCGCCACTGCAGGATTCTTGAGCGCGCCGAGTCAAACCGGATTGACCTACACGAATGTCACATACCCAATGCCCTATCAGCCTACGCTGACGAATCATCAACTGAGTGATTGGTGTCCCTGGGACCTGCAAGTCTTCCCTCCAGACAAACCAGGTGACGGCATCTATCCTTATCCAGACGACAATATCCAGCGACCCATTTTCGATCCGTGTCTGAGTTCCTGCGCTTTGAACCATAAACCCAAGGATTGCTGCACTGGAAAGTACAATGACCCAGAGATCTGCAAGCCAGGCATATACTCCAAGTACGCGAAATATGTGTGCCCGGACGCCTACAGTTTCGCGTTTGACGACCAGGCTTCCACCTTCATCATCCCTATGGGAGGCGGCTGGGAAGTCGTGTTTTGCCCAGAAGGCCGGAGCACTAACATCCTCGCCACGTTCTCGGACGAACTGCACCATATCGCCAGCGCGGGCACCGTGACCCCCCAGATCCTGCTCAACGCTATGAATGTGAGCTATATCGAATCGAGGAATAGCGTTTCGTCCCGTATCAGGATTCCCAGATGGGATGTTTGGCTCTCTTGCATAGTGATCGCGTGTGTTCTGTTCCCGTCTGTTTAAAGATTGATGAATGAAGGATTCACCCCCTAATAAAGATTACGAAGGTATGAATGAGTGGGATATGACGGCGTTTTGTTTTGAACTGCGGAGGGCCTATGATTGATTGATTGATTGATTACACACTATACCCTGAACATTTGGAATTCTAGTAGAATGCTTTTGGATGATCGGATTCTACGTCTTGTATGCTCTTCACCTAGAGCTGTGTTGCGTTGGAGGGACTTATTCTAACAGACCCGGTTATGAAACCTTCTGAATCCTATGGATAGTATCAGCATTGGTGGTTGAGTTATTTAAATATATATAATTGGTACACTATCAATGCGATAATTTCCATGTCTCGATGATCTTAATTCAGTTGGTCCTATGCTTTAGTTTTGTTTTAATACCAACGTCGGCCCCTTGCTTGGAACTTCCTTTACTTTACCATTAGACGGAGATAGCCATGTCATCTTCTTTTGTTGCTATTTTAAAGATATAATCCTCCGAGGCGTGATACTGTCGAAGTCTCACCAAGTTACCCATCTCAATATACTCTGCTAGGACTTCAGTCTCGCTGACTCGTAACGTGTTAGTTTGTGCAACGAATGAAAGGCGTGATCAATATTCGAGTGATAGAGCCAGCCATAAACGCCGAAACTTGATTCACAAGCAGACTCTCCTTGAAAACAACAAGAACCCGTGAATCAAGCAGCAGATATTATGTGTTGGTTGGAGGCTGGAAACATGCCTAACCCCCATAGTCTTTAATGTACTTACCTATGTACCTACATGGCAGCGGGTAGCGGGTACATAGCTACCTACATTGGGAACCTCACTTAACCTAGAGCGGCATCTACCAGCTACACCCATGCCGACGTAGCCCGGTGCTTTCCGGGGCTTCTTTTAAGAATAACCACATATGTTGTAGCAGCAGCACTGAACCTTGAAATACTACCGACCATATCTATAAATCTTGAATTCTTCAGATGGCATCATCCAGAGACGTTCCAATGGCCCAGGACACGCTGCCTTCCCCAGACGCTGAACCCAAGTACGGTGGCTTCACGCGGTTCGAAATCGAGCTTGAAGTATGTGCACGATCGTGCGTCGCAAATCTCGGTCTCTAGTTTTACGGCTAACAGACAGTCCCAGTTCGTACAATCTCTCGCCAATCCTTTCTACCTCAACCATCTTGCGTCACAGAAGCTTCTCAATGATCCCGCATTCGTCGCGTATCTGTCATACCTCCGGTACTGGAGCCGGCCTCCCTACATCAAGTACCTGAATTACCCTGGCCCTACACTTAAACATCTCGAGTTGTTACAGGAAGAACGCTTCCGACAGGATATCATAAGCCCTGACCTGGCTCAGGCCCTCGCAGCTGAGGGTGTTAAGGCTTCAGTAGAGTGGCACAAAGACGAGTGAAGCATATACCCAACCAAGATAACCACATATTACCGACGGAATAAAACGAGCAAAGCCCTCACTATAAGGCACCACATACTATGATGGAAACCTCCCAGGGTAAGTTTTGTCGGTCGGGTCACGGAAAACACAAATCTACAACGACTCTTTGGCCAATATAGTATAGTGGCCGCGGCACATCAAAAATCACGATGGTGATTTCGAAAGTGAGAAGAAAAGAAGACCATGGGTATGACTATTATTAGCAACCGTCTAAACGTGAACCAAATCGCTGGAAAACCAATGCACGCTCCCCTTTATCGACACGGCTTATATGGTTGTTTGACCTGTCAGCCATATGCAAAATAACACCAGCGCCAAGAATGCAACACATCATCGCCCTCCTACACGGAGCTCTCCACGCCATGATGGTCTCTATTAGTTCTCTCTCCAGCGGTGTCCACAAGTCATGCACTGTGATCCGCGTGTCAGCGCTTCCGGACTTGATGTGATGGTCTCGACGGGGTTTCACTCACCTTGAAGAAACTGGTCATGGGCTCATCAGCACTGCGGATCTGAACCTGGTAGAAAGCAGCCTCTTTCCCTTCGCACGACCCGTTAGGGCACTGCACAGTGGTCTTATCGGCGTTTGCCCAGGCCTCGGGGCCACCAAAGACATCCTCACGCTCCTTCTTCTTGAAATACCGTCGCGAGTACATGGGTTCCTCGATAGCGTGCTGGTAGGGACATGTTCGACACTCCAGCCGGTTGCGGCCGTTCTCTGGCGAGGGTGAGACAGTCAAGATATTGCTACACTGAGGGCAGACTACTCGAGCATCAGCTTAGCATTCCCGCGCCGTGGGCATACTGGAGGATAATTACAGAGCAACATTGTGATGAGTAGAGAGCGGTAATAAATGATTGACTAGGCCCTTTGGCTCTTATCGTCTAAACTCTGGTCTCAGCGTGTGTATAAGTGGCTATATCATGATGGAAATCTGTCTGCCGCTGGACGAAAGTGCTTTTCCTGGCCTGAGTCAACCCGCGTCGAAGCATGAGGTTTCTGACTTCGCAAAGTGCGCTAAAAGTTTTGGTGGGGTCCGACCAGCAATACCCAATACATGTATCTATTGTACCTATTGTACCTATATACAGGTACAGGCGCATCAGTTGGTGCCTGGGTAAGTACATATAAGTATCGCCCAGCACCGTCCCTAATAAGTACATACTTAAGTAATCGGTCCTAGCAGCCCTCTGTGGAGGCTGGGGCTGTTTGGGCGTCGCGGGGCGGGCAATTGAAATGCTTAGGTGCCTGCCAAACAGTAGACATGGGTTTGGGTGCTTGGAGGGGTCGAAACAAGGGAGTGTCACTGCCCACCTCCCTCCGCCCAAAGTCGACCGAGGAACAGACAAATAAACATAGCCACGACACGACCTCTATTGATATTATACGAAATCCGCCAACTGCTTTTCCATAACTACTTCTAACGTTTGCACCTCTTGGCCAACTCTTGGGTTCCAAGCTATTCTTGACCACCTTTGTTTCTTGCGTGGGTGAAGACTTGCAGTTGGTTCCTTGTTTATTAAATTAGCATCGACAGCATTTAGCAGATTTATCACACTATACCAATATGACGGACGAACATGAGGTAAACTGCGTGAAGACCTCAATCCAACTCGGTCCGTGCTGATATCCGTGTCTACAGGGAGCGTCTGTGGGAGAGCAGCTCATTGAGGCTTGTCGGAGGAATAACGTCGACTTGTTGACCGAGATAATCCAAAATTGCAAGAACGACGAGGAAATATCCCACCTGATGAACAATACAAAAACGGTTATGGGGAACCATCTTTACCATGAGGCTGCTTCGCGAGGAAACTGTACGTATCACGTTGCTCTAACAATCATGGTCACGAATTACTCCTGCCCGCTATTGATTTCTAGCATCAATTTCAGACACCAGCAATTTTAGAACTCTAAACTAATGCCCCTGTCAATGATGTAGACGAAATAATCGACATGCTCCTCGACCAACCAGAGTTCGAGTGCGATCCCATGAACCGCGCGGAAGGCGACACACCTCTACACAGCGCCATCCGATGGATCAACAGTGAACCCCCGGCACAGCGCGAATTCGGCAACGCGTTGGTGGAGATGATGCTGGAGGCGGGATCGAGTACGCGCATCAAGAATAAGGCCAAGCTCACTCCATACCAACTGGTCGATCCCCGGAATACGGGCCTAAGGGAGCTCATACAGAAGCACGAGTATGCAGCTCTAAACGCCGGGGATTTTGTAGGTGCCGATGAGGTCCAGAAACCAAAAGCGAATGCTAGCGCACAGCTTGACATTCCAGCCGCGGAAGAAAGCGATGACGACGCGGAGTTCTCTGGAAGTGACGACGAGGAGCGAGCCGAGTGGGAACGCAGGCGCAATGCGAAGAAGGGTTGATAGATTCGGTCGAAGCATCGCCTAGATAGAGGATGAGACATTTATCAACTTGGATGTTTATCAAGGACTGGCTCCGAAGAGGGACATAAGCGCATGTTTTAGCAACCCATAGAACCAAATTTACATACAATTAGTCATCCTCGTCCACCAGCGTGGAATACAGCTCCGAAATCTCTGATTATCTCACCATATGTCATTAGCAGCTATAGCCTCTTTATCTCCTCTTCGGGTTGACCTAATACGGATCCCACGCTGGCTAGATCACATTAAGCGACATTTCAGTCATAAATGCCAAGTATCCGACTATACTACATCAACTTCAAGGCGTAAGTAACTACGAAGGACAAATTCGCCTGGCATCTGAGATTGATGGTTCTCCCCCTTTTTTTTTCTCTGCTTTACAAAGGTACCTTGACTATCCCAAGAAACAAACAGCGTCTTACAAGAACGCAAGTATACCCAAGATACCAGCTAATACGCCGGCACCAATGCTGGCTGGGGCCGCCGCGGCGCCCGTCGGATTTGCTGGCAGACTGGTGAGGGAACCCGTAAGAATCGGGGACTCTGAACCGATGAGGGTGTCCGTGTGTGTGGCATGGTCGCTCTCAGACGTACTGTCTCCGGACCCTGACTCGGAGCCAGATTCAGATACAGCAGTACTACTAGCCGTCGAAGTCGGCGGGCTCGTCACAGGGCCGCTCGTGCCCGAGGTGCTGCCCGACTCCGAGCCGGAGCTACTGCCACTACCCGTGGGCGTCGGCGTCGGCGCGGGACCCGAGGGCGTGGTGAACGATAGCTCGCCGGCCAGGAAACTCGAGCAGACGGCCTGGCCGGCGTTGATGGCGGCGCCGAGCTCGGTCGGGTCCGTGCAGCTCGAGAGGATGCAGCCGCCCACCTTGTTCGCGATGACGCTCTGCGTGGGGCCGCACTGGCAGCCTATGTCGCTTAGGGCGCAGCCGGCTGCTGTGATGGCCGAGGACAGGCAAGGAAGCTGTAAAGAGAGAAGATATGCTGGTTAGTATGGCTCGTTTCTCGATTATTCACTCGTTTCCTTGGTGGAGAACGGATGTGGGATGTTGGGTTTTACTCACGGCGCAAGAGGGCTCGCCAGGGAAATACCCGGTGCTATCGGCCTGTGCGTGGACGAGGGCCGCGGCACCCGCGATTGTTAGAAATAGCTTCATTTTTGGAGGGGGATTTGAATGGTTTGGGTTGGGGGTGGTATTTAGGTAGGGTCACTTCAGGTAGAAGGAAGAGTGCAGCAGAGTTCGACGACAAATCACCGGAACAGACAGACAGACAGAGGAAATATAGATGACTGGATGGAGGGAGGGTTAGCTGAGACCTTATTTTAAACCCTCGGGTTGGATTGAATGTGAGGGGGGTTTAAGGTGTCATTAGCGGTAATGGTTGGTAGGTAACTTTGGAGAAGCATCTTGAAGTATCACAGTGAAGCTAACAAGCCGCCACTCAGCATCCCCCTCCCTACCACTCAGGAATGCTCGCCATCTGGCTGGGTGTGTGCTTGGATGGGATGGGATGACCAAAGGAGCGAGAGAGACCGGTGTCTCGATAGTCTAGACAGTGCGAAACGTTAAGATGCCAGTCTCTCTAGATCTAGAACGTATTGCGGGGGTTGGGGAGATACTCTTTTATACCAGGCGTCCTACACGTTAATTGGAGTATCTCCTAAACAGAGTTATATCCCATCGAACGATCTTGATGCGAGGTGTCTCGGGCGCACACTGTGTGACCAGACGCACACCACTAGTCGACGCCTGAGCCGCCCAAAAGAATGTGCTGTATGTCGGGAAGCATTGTATGGTCTCGCCACAGCTTATCTAATTGGCTCGGGGAACTGGTCAGGAAATACCGCACGAGGCTTTGTGGCGGTAATGGTGGTTGGCGGCGGTGATGGTTGTGATGACAAGGACGATGAAGAGGGTAGTTAGAATTTAGGTAAGGTGTTTGGGTTGTAACTGTATAAAGTCTACACGAAGTGAAGCTAAAGTAGATGTGTAGGTGCCCGTAGGAAACACAGCGTCTGCTACTATGTGTTCACCATAGTTACCCCATGACCTGCCGCCCGCCAACTTATTGCTAAAGATCCGTAAAGGTGTGGCCGTGATAGTGTTTAGGCCAAAAGTCTAACAACATCTTGTCTGATTCCTTGAAGACTTGATGTTCGCATTCAGTTACACGAGCTAGACTTCTCAGCTACTATCGGACGCCACCTTCAAAGGGATGGGAATTATACCGTTCCTTGATGTAGCCCGTCCCTTGGGATTCGATCGTCTACGACCACTCCATGAAGTGCTGCGCGATCTGGCGTTAGGGGGATACAAACCCTCAACACCCTTTAGCATTATCATAGTCAATAAACCTTGATGAGATGATCCTAATGTTGGAGCAATTGTTTGGCACGAAAGCTAGTTGGGGACGGCGGCTGCGCTTTTGTATGGCTGACAATGTTGTCATGCAATATGCTGCTGTTGTCTTATTAAAACTAAGCGACGGTCTTCTACCGATCCTGAACAACCCCATTCTAATAGCCAGTGTTCCAATCAAAGCCTATATATTTCAAATGCGTCAATCCTGATGGCATATAGAGATCGTTATGTTCGCATTCGTTTGCTTCAACAGGAGCTCGCATTCATCTCCCAAACCAGGCAACTTAAGAGATGAATATGCTAGATGCTAACGAACCCTGGGCGAGATTGGGGTATGAAACCAGGGTTCCCCGCAAGCAAACCCATCCAAATACGGCATCTACTCCAGACCGTCCCTTGCTCGCTGCCGTGGGGAGTAACATCGCTCGCCAGTTACCGTTACTGTCACTGGGATCCAAACTACGATGCTAGGTAACCTTTACAATCCGAGGTAAGGCACCTGCAGTCGTAAGGTGACCAACAACATATCGAACGTCAATATCACTTACCTAACAATATCACGTTGCTAGTAGTTATGTCGATCTCGTGAAGAGTCCCAGCTTGAGTGTTGTAGTATCCATCACATGCAAAAACAAGCCCCGAGATGAAAGGAAATGCCGAAATTCATGGCCGTGCCTCGCGTTACTCGGATGTTAGGTTCACGGGTTTTACCTGCCTTCTTTCACCCCCCTGGGCTCTTCGCTGTGGGCACGAGCGAACGAATGGATACCAGGAAACGCTTGGTCTTCGCGATTCACATCGTACCGCATGTACGCAGGGCAGTGGCAGTACCACCATTAAACCATTGGATGACGTCGGTAGGTCCAGTTGGTGAACATGACAAGCGTTATGAAGGTACATAAACCTAGCCGCATACGCACATGCGTGTCGATAAGTATAAATTCCCACAGTGTCTCGTGTGAACTCCATGATTGTTCCTTAGACTCGCGCTGTGTAGTCGTGGGCGCGCTAAATCGGTCCTTCGAAACCTACGTACACTATGCCGTCTCTAGGGTACCTTGCTGCTCTTGTAGCGGTGGCAACTCCTATTATAGCAGAGCCCTACAACACCTTCGACGGTGACGGGTTCCCAGCTTGCCACGATGTAGCCTCAGTCCACGCAGCCACCAGCGTAGACGATATAGTGTCCGTCGTGAAGCAAGCCGCCGCAAATGGCACGCCGGTGAGAGCATCTGGAAAGGGGCACATGTGGTTAGTACCAAAGGGACCGATAAAATACGTGCACAACTCTTATGATGTTGACTAACGGCCCAACCCCAAAGGTATGACACCATGTGCTCAGACAATCCAGACACCATCATAATCCAGACCGAGGGCGTCAACAAGATCTCAAGTCTAGTTCTTGAAGAAGGGGCTGAGTCGGGCACCGTCGAGATCGAAGCAGGCGTAACGTTCCTGCAACTCGCGGAGTGGCTGCATGAACGCAATGCCTCGATGGGTTACACATTAGGTATATATCAAAGCGTCCCTTCGCCTGATAGCTTAATCTCCGTGTTTTGTGAGATGTAGCAAGTTCTATGGTCTGCAGCTTAGAAGCCTCGACTGATGTGTTTCTACGCACCCAGTTAATTGGAATATCACCATGGCCGGTGCGGTGGCCATGGGCGGTCACCGGTCTTCAATTAGAGAAGATTCGATGGTTGCCGCTGGTGTCTTGTCGCTGGACATTGTTAACGGCAACGGCGAACTCGTTACGGTCGAGCGGGACAATGATAACGACGATTGGCTCGCCGCTTCGACTTCTCTAGGACTCCTGGGAGTCATTGCTCGGATGAAGTTTAAGGTTTACCCGGACTTCAAAGTCTTTGCACAGCAAGAGATGTGAGTACCCTGTCACTCTGTTTTATAGAGGGCGTAGCTGACATGTAGCCACTGAAGCTTGAGTGAGGATGAAGTCTTGGAAGGAGATATATACGGCTTGATTGCGCCATATGCCACAGCTAATCTCTGGGTAAGTTATACCGCAATGGTGATTTGGACATGCCTTACTCACATCTCCTCTTCCTCAATATAGTGGTGGCCGTATCTGAAGAAATTTCACTGGCGGTACTATGACCAGATCCCCTTGACACTCAGCAACCAAGAAGGCTTTCAGAACACGTTCTCCCTCACGGATCTCGAGGCGGGCATAGCCAAGACGACCCTCGAGAGCGGCAAGTTCCTACCTTCGTCGAACTGGTTTTTTGAGACGACTGCATTCACGCTGTGGTCCGCGCCGAATTTTAGAGAAAAGACGACATGGAAGAGTATCACGAAATGGCCCGTGTATGGATGGAACTACGACGTTTTGATCGGGGGCCTGTACCCGGATCAGAAGCCGGAGTGGGAACTGGGATTGCACGGCTACACGCTCGAGCTTGCTTTCCCAGTCGTCATGGCAAACCAGGTGTTGAAGCGGGTGCGCGAGGCCTTCGATGCTGAGGCGAGCAAAGGGAGGATTAGTGAGTAATACTTTTCTCCTTTCTCCTGAACTTCAACCCCGCCTATTCTGGCAATCAAGCATGCTGTGGTCATGTCTGGGCGATCGCCAATATTCGCTTAACGATGAGTGCTGATCCGAGGTCGTAGTGGCGTCGACATACCGTAGTGGCATCAACATCAAATTTGGCAAGGCATACTTTGATTTTCTCGGTCAAGTAACCTACGATACCTTCGATGGGGCAGACTGGACAAAGGGCGCCATTATGTTCGATTTCCCTAGTTTCCACCCCACGATCGGCGACGGCAAGCGATATAATGAGCAGTTTTGTGCGTAATTCCGTCATTCAACCCCCCATCTAGTCTCTGTCGTTAGGTCGGCAGAATTGGTGCTGATTAGTAAATCACTGCAGACATCAACCTAGCAACGACACTCCTCGATGAGTTCCCCGCGCGGCCACACTGGACAAAGAACACGCGCGAGGTCTTCGGCAATGCCACACAAAATCTCGATCCAGATCATCTCGCTAGATTCAAAGGTTGGTCTCAGCCGCTTCCACATGCGTCTCGGAATCTAGACCAATGAACATTCGTTGTGAGCTAACCATTCTCGCAGTAAGCTGATTCTCAAGTACCTACCTTCGCTTGGATAGATATCGGCTATATATAAAAATACCCTAGGAATAAGCGTACGAAGCGCACGTATCAATATCTAGAAATACTAACAACCAAACCCTAGGCCGTACGTGAGAAGTTCGATCCCAAAGGGACTTTCAAGTCTATAATCGGCGAGATTCTCGGCTTATATGACTAGACGAGCTCATAGCTTAGTCATATGTAAGTCACGGCGAGAAATAAGCAAGAATAAGTATATAGTTTACGAAGTACCGTAGGCTAGTTGTTGCGATCCCGAGTTGGTGAGATTGAATGAAGTACGGCGCGGCTGTTTGACTGTTTACCAAGGAGTGGGACCGCAAAGCCACTTGATAAGTGCCTGCAGGAGCTGATGAAGGTCGTGGCAACGCCACTGTCGCATGTTGTTGTTAGGAAATAAGCGCTAGTCTCCCAACTGACTTGGACCTTTGGGGGCGATATGGGAACGCTCTACTTCGTAGACAGAAGTAAATGCATGAAAGGGGCACTGTAGCTTGGCTTCGTGTGTGATTGGATGGTGCTCATACTATGTACGGTTACTAGTAGTTCAATAAGCACTTAAAATGTCAGACGGCGAACGACAGTCTTACACATCTCGTAAATTTTACAGTATCACGCGGATGAGATACGAAGTATTGGCACCACTTAGGCTCATACGATGCGTGAATGTGAACGAATTGTTGCTAGGGAATATGAAGTAATATTTCAATTATCAGGGTATAGGTAAAAGTTCATGCATGCCTCTCCGGCCTATCATTATCAAACTACAAACGCCAGTCCCAGAATGCAACCCCCTGTATCATATGATCACAGTTTGCCTCCCAACAACCCATGTATGACAAAAGTTGAGGAGGCGGACATCCGCATCATTACGCCCCTTAGAGAGCAAGAGCACCGACGGCGCCGACAGCACCGAGGATGCCCCAGAAGGCGACGGCCCGGGTGTTGAGACTAGCTGCGCCGCTCTGGCATTTGCCGGTAGGGTTGGCTAACTTCTCGTTACCGCCCGTGATTTGTACTTGCAGATAGTATGAGGAGGCATCAGTGTAGGTGACGGTGGCCGAGGTCGTGGTCGACTGGCCCTGAGCCGAGCCTCCAACCGTCGCAGTGCAGGTGGCAGCTGTTGTGCCGTCTAGATTGCAGCTCTCGATGACAGTCGCCTTAACCTCGACACCCTGTGTCTTGGTCGTGACGGCACTTGAGACCTTGTACTCGCTCGCGTTCTCTGTAACGGTGACAGGCTGTTCACGTGTTAATTAATCTAGTTCTCATCACTCAAAACGGAGAAACAACTCCGCAAAGAAAGCACGGGGGTATACATACCGGTAAGCCGGGACCACAGACGCTGTCAGGGCCGCCAGCGGTACATCTAAGCGCGTAGACAGTCTCGACAGGGCAGGCGTAAACAACAGACGCAGCGTACTCGTATTTTTCAGGTTCTGGCGAGTCAATGAAGATGGTCACTGTGTCGTTGCCCGAGTCTTGTCTCGCCTCAAGGGTGTTGACGTTGGCACTGCTGAAGAGGTCACGGGCGACAAAAATGTTTGTGCCCATATCCAGGTTGCTGGCAGCATGAGCGGCAACTAGATCCAAAGCCATCTTTGCTAGTTATGTATGTTTGGTTGGCGGCTGGTTTAGGTCAGGAGGTAGAAGCAGCTGAATAAATAAGAAGGTAGCGATAATCTTGTCGACTTGGATATTTAGAACTATGGACTACAGCTCGCAACGAACGCGGCAAGTCATCCTACTTTATACCCCAAGACTTTTCCTTCTCAGCTCTCGATTCTACTATGTAGAATTCCTTTGACTGGGCAGAATTCATTAAACCTCAGTCCACCTGCCAAGGGTTCGATCAGCCTTAGTCTACTGCGGTAATAGGGCTAGGACTAGGCTAGGCTAATATTAGGATATGGGACTTTCGTGTTGCAGACCGCTAATGGAACTCGAGCAAATGAGATGGGCTGCCGGGAGAGTGTTCGGCAAGATACACAGGGACCGTCGACTTGGCATAAGCGTCGAAACGTGATTAAACCGAGGCCTACCCTATTATAGAATACTGCAAATAGACACCTAGGTACCTATTCCGGGATCTTCAGTGTTAATAGAATGCAAAAGCAAGAATTCAGTAGTATTGTTGTAGTCCCGGCAGTATAAACGAAGTATAATGACCATATAACTACTGAATAATTACCTAGACAATTAGAAGAGCGTGGTTAGGTTGTAGCTAAGGTGTATGTATGAATAAACTCTCAACTCTGCAGACAATAATATTAGATTACCCCAGAGGTCCTTCACATTGTAGCTATCCCCTTCACAGACAACGGAGGGCAGAAGTCGCGCCGGATCCAGAAAGAAAGGGCAGCAACCTAAACCTATCCCGGCAGGTAGAATCTTATGGTTAAGGGTCTTTGACGAGAAGTCCCCATACAGGAACTCACTCCGTTCTGCCCCTTGATCCAAGCACTGCCCCAGCTCAGCAACGCTCCCTCTGTAGCTAAAAGAGCTAAGGGAGGTAAAAATCCACAACCCCAGAATAAGTACACCACTGATGTTAGAGCCTCGAACCAAGTGGAGTGGCTATACTGCTGGGCCCAGACCTAACCTGCATAGCACAATGTCACGCGCTGTGGCTGTGGGCGATCAAAGAATTCCGTGTAAAATGGTTGGCCAGACGCCGCAGGCTGTTGTTCTAGCAGACCCGATTGAACTGCCTGGGCTAATCCAGCCGTAGCTGAGCTAGCTCAAACACGGTGGCGAGGGTGGCCAGCTAACACGTGGGCGCGACGAGAGGCAAGAGATGAGAGGCGAGTGGTTTTAAGCTGAGTTCGCTGGCTAGAACTGATCACCGCCAGCTGTTTCAGTGGCTACTTAATTTGGCACGGATCATGCTGGCTACAAGTGACAGGGATTTATCATCCTACAGATCGTGGGATGGATGTCCCTTCGTTATTTTTTTCCCCCCTCATCATGATGTTGTGCGGCTGAGCTTTTCATGCTTAGCTTAGCATACAGGGCCAGGCATAGCAACGGCTTGTAACAGGAGCTGGGTAGCTACTAGGAATATCGGTAGTGTATTAACGGTAGCTTCTATCGAAGGATTGGGATGGGGTACGTTTGATGAGATCGCATGAAATTTCACCCTCCACTCTTCTTATGTAAGTATGGTCTTTGACCCCTTTATAGGACTAATGATATCATTGGGCTGGTCCCGAAGTCCCGAGTCTCGCGTCGCATGCCAGCCGAATGACTCCTTCGGCAATGTGAGTGATCGGCATACAAACGCTCCTAGCCCGTAATAAATATCCGACTTAGCATGCTGATAGCTGGATATCTCTCTCTCTCGTCTCTCTTTCTCTCTTTGAAAAACGTGAGCATCGAATGATGGGCAACAGTACTCCTGAGTCCTGAGTCCTAGCAGATCCTAGATAGTTACAACCCAGTCAGTCAGTCAGGCCTCTATAAATACAACAGTCATCACCACACTTGAGTGTTATTCTGCTATGAGAGACGCTACATGAAGCCTTAATCTGCTCTCTCTCTCCGCCCCTCTTTGTGACTTTCATCCACTATAAAGAACCTGAGAAGGCACTCGGTTTGTTATGCATATTTCACAATAGTGAACAAACAATGGATTGTCAACACATTCTTAGTCAACTCAATGAACAAGGCCCATGTTCTGTCTCATGTCGACTCGATCAAAGAGCCAAGTTTACCAGCTCTTTAGGAGAATTTCGAACGCTTCCTTTGAAGCATGGATGCTACGAGTGTTTAGCATTGTAGACCAGTCTTTGGCGGTGTGATAGGAGCCGCATCTATCATATATAAGACTCTGCAAGTGAATTGTCCCCATACGAATGTTGACGACGCGATATCCATGAGTTGGACACCCCGCAAACAAACCAATAGTGCAGATCCGCCAGCAGCCGATAGCCAACCCTAGTGCGAGACAGAAACTCAAAGCAAACAAGCCCTAATAAGTGAAGATGGTTACAGTTCCGCAAACCAATAATTTGAAGAGAAAGTCTTCGCGTTGGCAAAACCTCCCCCCCTATGGCGAGGAGAACGGCTCGGAATTCGAAAGTGATAGCTCGAAGTGCTCCCTTCTTCTTTTCTTGCGTGATCTTGAAGCAAACCAGAAAAAATGGAGCCAATTCGTCAACATGTTAGAGAACTCACCAGGCATAATCGACGAAAGCAGTATTGCGGCCCAACTATTAGAGGCCATGAAAGGGGTCTCAAAGGTTGATCAAGATTACATCAGTCCCGACGCCCCCGACACAAAGAAGAGGCGTATCGATATACTGGGCAATTCGGCCGCAGGTGAAATACTCGCAGAGTACAATGAATTGATTCGCCTGGCCCGCACGCTTTTTTCAGGTGAGCTCACCGATGTCTTGGGCGATTTGTACCGGCGGAATCTAGGGCGGGATTTTGGCGATAAGAATTACACGCTTGAAGAAATCATGCATATGGCGCGGTCATGGGGAGAAGTGCGGTATCGATTTATGAATCATTTGTTAAGGGACGACCCGAATATGGGACCAACTTACAGCATGGGCCATCGTCGCATCAAAGGCGACGCCGCCAACGAGATGATTCACGAGTCAAATGTTGTTGCTGACTCGAAGCTCGTAGAATTCCGCATGGATAAAGGCATCGGGTATACCGCCCAAGATCGTGCCATTTTCGAACAGACATACCTCCTCACGCCCGAGGAGGGTCGGGAGATCGTCAGTAACAGCGGGCAGAACACGGGGCTTCGAATCGGGCTCCCGCCCGTCTTCGCATATATCGCAGGGTTCATCAATGGGATCGTCAATTGGCGCGTCCGAGTCCTCGAGGCCTCGCGCAAGCAGACCCTGGCTAGCCAGGCCTACCACCAAGCACGGGGGTTCACAGCCAAACAAGCGATCCTCGACGCGCGACACCAGCCGAATCACCGGGGTCTCGCGTCGGTCGACGGCCCGTACGCCAACGACTTGATCCCGACAATAAAGTCGCTCCTCGAAGAAGCACGCACGCAGAACGCGTTTCTCAGAGAGACCTTTAACAAACTAGAGACTACGGTGAGCACAATGATTCAAGCGGTGCGGACTTCCCCCATGAACAGCGTAAGTCCAGAATTGGCGCAAAATGCCCAGTTCACCACAATGCTGAATGCTTTCCCCGGCCCCTTCACCCTGATCCGGCCAACGGGTGCCTCCATCATCAATGTCCGACGGGCCCCTCGAAGCCGCAGTTATAAGCCGAGATACCAAATGCAAGTAAGAGAGAATATAGAGCTAGTGATCAGTGCATAAGGCTGGTAGCCGGAGTTATCCGCGAGTATTTGTTTTGTTTTTGTTTATGATTTTTTTTTTTTTTTTTTTTCCACCCGAATGTTTAGAATAGCCAATAAATGCATACACATATGATATGATATCCATTTTCTAAGCTGTAATTAAGTGTGCCCCAGAATCTTGTTTGCGTATCACATAATAGATTGCTCGAGCCGACATAAACTTCCCGGCAGAGATAAGGATTGATCAAAGAGAATACATTGATTGTTAGCCACTAATGGCTTATGATAACTGCAGTAGAATTCTCCAGACTCGTTGCATTGATAATTTCATAATACCATCCATCCTAAACGCCAGATTACCAAACCCAAACCCATACCCTGAATAACGTCTTGATAATCGCTAAACGCCAAACATTTACCCAGTACTAGAGCGACACAACCATGGCTCACTTGACAATCAAGGATTGTTACTTGGTTTACCCTGGTACCTGCTCCGGAATGCATTGCTAAGTGTTCCCCGAAGGCTGCTGATTGTGCCACCGTCTTGCATCCTACTTGCAAGCGCTTCTTCCAAAGCTGACTGGGTCACGGACGCATCTAGCATTATATGTTTAGCCTAAGCATAGGAGTAAGGTCAAACTCAAACATACCGTCTAGGTCGCTAAAGCTGCTTCCCATGCTGGGAGTTCCGTCGCTATCTCGAGAATATGTTTTCGCTTTACCACCTGGGCTACGACCTGCCAATTCTAGTGTCCGGCGCGGTGACAGGGGACCGTTAATTCGCCTCCCATGGGTGCTCCTCGACACTGGAGCAGAACTAGCGGAAGAATCCGAAGTCTGTGAGTGATGAATGTGATCTCGGCCTGACCCTTTAACGGTTCTTTTACCCGAGTCCCTGGTATCGCCGCGCAATGTCGCGCCTAAGTCGGATTGACCACTCGTTGCGCCACTATTTTGAGGCCGATAAGGAAGAAAGGCCGGGTCTTCGTCTTCGTCATCATCGTCGCCGGCGAACGACGGGCCCTCATTACCTTGGCATCGTGGCGGACGACGGATGATCCTTGACTGTGCGGGGCTTGACGATGAAGATGAAGTTGCAGAGCTCGACTCGGCCGGACCGGGCGAATTCGGATCAGTCTCTTGGTACTCTTTGTCATCCTGGTCGTCTACGTTGGTGGTAATGGGTAGAGACGTCAGCCGCCGTTGGAGATCAGTGCCAGACTTGCTAGACCCCTTCGTACCGCCGCCGAGGTTTCTTGTTGTGTATGAGGCGGTATTTGTTGATGAATTTCTTGTCGGGACAGGCCGCGGAGTGCTTCTCATGGATGAGCTCGGGGTGTTCTGTTCGTTCCGCGGTAGGGGCGAGTCCCTGCGGATGGAGGTGGAAGAAGGCGCGCGAGGTTGCCCGGTAGAACCGACATATCGTGGAGGATCGGCCGAAAAGCCGCCCTCGAGGGATTGTGGCTGGGGGGATGGTGCCGGCGAGACTTTGGCAGCGGCGGCAGCCTTGCGCATCTGGGCTCGCACCTGGGAGGCATGACGCTCGGTGAGCCAGGCAACTTGTTGGAGGAGAAAGTCAACGGTGACTTCGAACTTGGCGGCACTGCGGGAGGTTAGTATGCCGTTAAATGGTAAGCAAAAGAGGGGCTTGCATTTCGTTCCCTTGGGCGTCATTAGATTAGCGTGTGATGACTCGGTGTGAACACGACGATTCGAACGAGGGGCCTAGACCTACAGTCTATCTCTGTCTTAGAGAGCTTTGACACAATACTCCATAGCGCTTCATCTTTCGAGGGTTCCCAATTCACCTACAATATGATGAGTGTTGTGATGGGACGACACAATGGGAGGGAGGTTACGCTACGTACAGGAGGAGGGTCCACGAAGTCACCCCGAGGAAAGGGGAGACGGATGAAGACGGTATACGTTGGTTCGGGTACTAGTGAAGCCATATCAACATCAACAACATGGGGTTCATGGCGTATCTGATGTGCGACGTTGCTGGTATCATCCAGACTTCGCCAACAGTGAAGTTCAGACGAAAGAAGCGTAGTTGTAGGTACCGTCCGTACCGGTAGGGTAGGTAGGTAGCGTCTACGTCGATCTGCCTACGGTGCTGGTGCTGCTGGTGCTGTACCAAGGATATACAGAAGCTCTTATCGATTATGCAAGCTCTAGTCAACTTTCCTACCCCCCGCTTGCGCTCCCTAGCTACATACTCGCATGGTACCTATGTACGTACAGATACGTAGTAGGTAGGCTGAAGAACAACATGACTGAATGACGCCTCTATCCATCCAGACTCATCCGGTACTGTTGGCAGGTATGGTGGGCGTGGTTATATTACCCCTCATAGTGGATTCCTTCAGTACCTAACCTAGAACTTCTATCTACTCTACAACATCGTACAATCCATTGCCAATCCCTTCGCTCAACAGTACCTACAAGTCTAAAGAAGGTACCTAGGTAGGCGATAGGTAATCTAGGTACCAATACCTACCGGCGCTGTAGCGGCTTCTAGTGGACCCCGGCCTCCAGTTATGGGTAGGTAGGTACCTACTACCGGTATGTAACGGTACCTAGGTAGATACAAAGCATCATGCAGCCCACCTCCCACCCACACTCCCCAAAAGCGGCCCCACGTCGGTGCACGTGCACACCTTACATGTAAGTATGTACAATGTGTATGATGTGTATGTGTGTTGCAAGTCGGCGGAAGTTGATGGAGCAAATTGGTAAAATACTTCATAAGTCACTGGACTTGTTCATGGGATATGCCATCAAGTCTCCCGATCCCCTCTGTCCCTCCGAAACCCTTTGTGTCAGCTCAAGCCAGCGTCGTACCGAGAACAACCAACTACACAGTACTATATTACGGGGTCGACTAGTAATACTCACCAGGGAATGTCGTCCTACCCTACCTCCCCGCCAATGTCATGTTCAACTTTAGCAGCGCTGTCTGTCATTGGCCCGTGGCTGTCTTGTCTTGCCCATCCTCTCGGCTTGTCTGTTACTGTCAAGACGAGATATCAAGACGAGAACGCCATCGGTAAGGGAGGATCTTCCCCGGATGATACGAGCAAGGTTAAGCCTTGGTAGTAGACAGATTACCTAGGGATGTACTATGAGTAAATACTGTATGTAAGTATGTCTATCCCTGCGGGGAGAGTCTTTACCTTGCTCTAGGCAACCAAATGGACTTTATCACAAGGTATTTCCCCAACTCAAGCTGCCAGGCCTGTGAGTGGTAGGTAAAATACCTTCACATCACCCGCATCTTTCCCCGTTTCGACTCATCTTTTCGTTGCTGGACTTGAAAATATCCTGGATTCTCTGCTATGATATGACTATCCCTTAGTCACACCATCACTCCCTACCCCTACTCCAACATGCGTACGAACTAGGGGTTCTGTATTGCAGATTCACCCCAACTAGGTAGACGCCTCTGTGCACCGTGACCTGTCTCTGTTGAACTCTCCAACCAAGATCCCTTGCCTCCATCCAATCACGACATAGGCGAGCAGTCTACAAATCAACTACTCCTCCGGACAAACCATGGAGGCAAGTAAAAATGGCGTTATATCCGAGCCAAATCACCTTGAGAATAATATAAACTCACACACCCAACCAGCACCTGTTCAAGCGGGCTCAAGGTTTTCCAAACTGGTCGCAGACACCGATCCCCAATGTAGACATCTCGGCGGCCGGCCTTCTTGCGCTGGCCGACCTCAGCACCATTGCACAACGGACAAGGATCTCGGGCGCCTCTTGGGTTGACGTTCTCCTGCTAGCCCCGGGCCTGCACTACCAGCAAGCAGCCGATGCCGTGCTCAACGAGATCCCGTCCCCCTTCAGCGCCGTGGAGTCGGTGGATGGGAAGACGTCTAGGTACGCCATCGCCAACACCGCCACGCTACAGTATCTGGAGCGCGTCGGTAGGGCTGGCCAACGCATCATCGTCGACGTTGGCAGGATACCGCAACGCAGGTATTTCCCCTACGGCAACGATCGAGCCAAGAGGCGCAGTTTCGGACAGCGCAGTGCCATTTGGCGTGACCAGGAAGCTAGTATCGGCTGGATCTCGCAGGTGCTATACCTAGCAAGCCCAGTACTTACAATCATTGCCTTCGTGTTCATGGTTCTGCTGCGTGAATGTGTGTTTTAGCCAATCTCTTTTATCCTCCTTCATTTTCTTTCCTTTTCTCTATTCTTCTTCGGCGATTTCCCAAGTCTATCCCGCATCTTGATACTACTACCTGTCTTTTCACTAATAAAGGGAATCTAGGGTGGGGTGTTGCTGCTTTACTTGGGCTTATGCTATCCCGCGTTCTGAATATTTGGATCATTAAACAACGGACGAACTGGCCCAAAAAGCCCCAGCCCATCCCAGGTGCACCCGGATCGGATCCAGACAACCAGGATGCGCTAACAGAGTACGTTGTCGACCTCGGTCGCGGCCGGGTCGTTGCGCTGCGCGGTCTGACTTCAGACCTGCAAGCCATTACAACGACGTCATGGTTAAGAGACCAAACACACGTCGAGGGCTATCTCGAGGCCGCGGCGAAGCTAACTGTATACCTCGTCGCCGCATTCAGCGGCAACCTGTCGCAGATCGGCTCCATCATCTTCCTCGGACTTCTCCTCGTCACGGCGGGCCTTCTAGGTCTGAGCAACGCTCACGCGAAGGCCTTGAGCATGCACGGACGGCTCGCGGCCCCCACCATAGAGAATCTACCGCGCCCGGACTCCCCCCCGTACCCAGATAGCCGCCTGGGCAGCTCGACGTGGCGCATGCCAAGTGACGGCATGGCGTCAGGCGGGCTATCCACCATAGACGATTTCACAGAAAGACACTGAACTGGTTGTGGTAGCAAAATTTCAAGTTTATTGAGCAGGTTACTATATAGGATACCCATACAAGCATAACAAATAGCTGTTTACTCCACATTGTTACCTAAGATCATGTTATCTATATGTGTTACATTAGGTAGCAAGAGAATTTGAAAGCAAACGGCGTAGAAGCACGCCAATTGTTCAATACTTACTTACACTTCCCTTCCAACTTTCGTCCAAACATCAATACGCCATGTTGAAGCTCGTTATTGTGCATTTCATCTCCGGACTTGTGAGTACTCTTCGTTCGTCATGTATATGTGCGGTAACTCGAGGTTATTAGTTGCCCAGGAACATACCTATGCTATCAAACCACCGAGGCAAAGGATAGATCAGGCCATGCAGCGATATCATTTCGTTCTCAACTCACACATTCATCTATAATCTAATATGAGCAGCATCAGGTTTGCCTTGTTTCTCTTCTCCGAGAAAATGAAATAATGCAACGTATAAGGAAATAGATTAATCACGTTTGCAGCGAAGGAAGACGGACCAGGTATTAATAAAATAAACAGATAAATAAATGAATAAATAAATAAATGAGAAGCCTTATACGAAAGGAGGGGGTATTATACGCTCGCTACATCCTGTGCAATCTATTTAAGTATATATATAATATCATAACCCCCGAAACACCAGATGTCTATTCGACCCACTCGAAAGACATTTATGCTTGCTTTTTTCTCTTCCAGACCCTTTGTAATTGAACGAGCGATCGAGAAGGTATTAATGAGAAGAGTATGCGTATGAAAGAGAGTGGACGCCTTGCTTCCTCGCTGATGCTCTTATCCCCTTCCCCCTTTTCCCTTGACTCCAATGCGAAAGCAAGCGTGTTACTATCCTCTATTTTTGTAACGCCCCCCTTTCTCATCGTGAACCCTGTATTAAAAGGTCGGTAAGTAATACGATGAGAGAAAAAGGCGAGGTGAGATAGGGAAACTTGATAAACCATCGCGCTGCGTGGTTCTTGATCTCCTTTCCCGAGCCGTTGGAATGAATGCGATGAATGAGAAGTAGAACTCCGAAAAGCCAGGAGGGAATGTGAGGATACCGAAGACCAGTATGTAGACATCATTAAATAGATATGAAAGAACTCTGGCTCATCGAAGTGAAGTGGCAAGTAATAAACAGATCGTTGACTGTCATGACGCCGTCGAGAACTGTCACTATCTGAACGTCGCGGCGGTCTTTGAGCTGTTGATACTTGTCCATCTTGGTCTTTACTGGGTGCAATACAATTCCATGTCTCGTGCGTTGGTGTCTTCATAATAATCCTTGCTCGTCAGCGTGTATCGCAGCTAAGACAAGAAAGACCCAATCATCCTGAGCGTGAGCGTGCCATCGCTTCCTCGGTAATTCGCACGTTTTCACACAACGATCGCATAAATGATGGGTCTACTTTACAGTCCTTGTCGGTCTTACGATTTGTGATAGTTAGATCTGCACGATGGAGTGTAATAGTGAGCCTAGCACAGCACATGGCAACCCCGTGCCGAAGCTCGGCCAGCTGCTTGCCTTGGTCTGTCGTATGTGACCCCATTGATGTTGTGGATCGCATACCCATTAGCCCTACTGAAGGTGTCGCAGGTCTACTGAAGTTACTTCGTTGACCTGTGGGAGTGGCGCCTCTGCTTTCACTCTGTCGTTGGTGCGCCGGACCTGTTCCGTTGAACAATAGGGATGGTATGCCCCTTAGGCTAGTAAAAGTAGATGTACGACTTTCGCTACCCCCGGATGGCGGCCGTTGCGTAGGACTTATTGAGGGTCCAAAGACGTCTTCTCCCTTCATGCCTAGTATACAAGCCGCTTTCCGTGGAATTCCGTTCTCGGTCACCGAGGGCTGGGGTGGAGTCGACATGTACATCTTAAATTCGCAAGAAGTACTAGATTTTGCTGTTTCGGGCCTTGCTCCTGTCCAGGGTGTTGTTGGTCGGGATGAATCCACTGCATGCAACGGGGAGCGCGAGCAAAGTAATGTGATATAATTATACACCAGCACGTAAGCATATAGAGCCTCGCATAAACCATCGCTTCCACTGGGGAAAATCTTCTTCATCACGTCCCATCCACGTTTGTTTACATCGACAAATGTACTTGGCCGATCTTGTTGTTCCGTCGCGTTCGCCGAAGAGTGCAACCATTTCCACCTCTTGGATGGTTGCTGATTGTTGGATTGCTGTCCTGAGTTCATAGTATGCTCAATTTTTGGTTCATTGGTGTTATATCGTACTTGTTGAGTAAGAGTGCGGATGTTTTCAATCAGCAAACTATCGCAAAGAAGCACTGGTTCTGGAAATTTTGTTACAAAGAATTTGATTGTCTCTTGCACATTATGTGGTAGTGGGCGTGGTAGAAATTGATCTTCGCTGGCGAAGTGAGCTATATCAGAGTCGAGCCATTCATTGAAACCAACTGCGGCAGATGCAATGATTCTGTCTCTATCATTTTCATCCGTACTTGGTATATCAGGCATGTCTTTTTTGAATGTTGGGGATACCGGATCGCAATCATCTTCGTACTGGCGGGATGTGGTGTTCGCTTCCTTTCCATGGGCGAAGGGCGATTCGTTATTGAAGAGCCCATGTGAGGCAAAGTAAGACGCATCACGATTATATCTCCCCCGACCAAGATGCTGGCTGGACTGCGGTGCGACTGCTTGTGTCTCCTGATATTGTAGGGACGAGCGTCGTCTTGGGATCTGTATTGGGTAGTTGAGCGGATTACCATTAACTGGATGTACCGATATCTCAGTAGCATCAATGCTTCTTCGGGGCCTTATCGTCTTTACGCTGGCCTCCATTGAACCCCTCAGCTGGTGCAAATATTTCGGGAAATCTGACATGCTGCTTCTTCTTCGTTGTGTAATTGGGGAAGTATCTTCGATATCAAGATCTATCCAGCTCATTTGGGCATTGCAATCTGATGTTGGCGAAAGATGGAGAAAGGTAGGTGACGGGTTCTTCTCGGGTTCGAATAAGGTGTCGACAGTAAGCACTGATTCTTCTCGCGTACTGAGTGGAGGAGGTTCTGACTTTTGTGAGGAGTGACTACTGGAAATGCTATCATGCTTAGGAGCATTGAAATCTAACGGCGCAAAGATATCAAAGTACTTCTGGTGGGCTGGTTGCTGTTGTTTGGAGTTTGGCAAGGTATCTCCGGATTGAGATGGAGACTCAGAGCTGACATAGCTCGCGTCATTCTCGGGCGAATACTGCCTCCTCGCCCCATCATCGGCTAGCCAGGGCGCGGGAGCACCAGCAGTGAGCTGTCTGGACTGAAATATCTCGCTTGACTGTTCCAAATCCACAGCAAGCATCTCGGGTAGATTTGAGGAGAAATCGATCAGGAGTTCGGCGCCTTGAGTGTTCTGTTCCATCTTCGCCTATGCTATTCGCTTAGATTCGTGATGCCGTCGGACCGTCAATAATCGTGAGATTCGGATAAAGAGCTCTGAGCAGCTCGGCGCCCATGAACCACGCAGAGATGTTTACTATCTCTTTTGAAGTGCGTCAGAACCGTTCTTCGGCAGCAAGTCTAAGTAGGTAATTCTAACTCGAACCCACAGACTGCCAGCACATATACATGACAATAGTCCCTCGAGAAATATAATGGGATTGTGTATAAAACCTAGGGGCGGCGGCCTAATCGAGACGGAATGGCGGTATAAGAACGACCTATCATATCAAGACTCAAGAGCAAAAGCTGTTGGTTAAGAGACGGTCAGCGGACCAAGTATGGGGGAGCAAGGGTCCAAGCTGTGCCTTGTCTTGCTACATGTAGCTACCTAATCCATGCTCGACGATCATCTTGAACTCAGGGGTGGTGGGGAGGATAAAGATGTCAAAAGTGTGGAACCTTATCCAAATTACCAAGTCTTCCTTTCAATTACAAGTGTAGTGTACTTGCTGGTACCTGAACAGATCGCTCGCTAAGGCGATCCGCAGTACTGCCCCAGGAGGGGATGACAGGATTGTTGTCTCAGACAAAATGCCGATAATGTGTCTTTCATTCGACTTGCAAGCCACTGGGGTATGGCATAGCGATAGCAACATTCTCGATGGCGTCTGCACTACCGTACCTAGTGTAGTGTAAGTAAGCAAGCTGCCTGCCATTCCCCACCCTTGGATGCCAAGGTGCCTGTTCCAGGATCGACATTGCACCGGGTCAGTTTAATTGTATTGCTACGCTACCATTTTCTGGAAATTATTCGCCTTCTACTTTTAGATCCGCGCGGGATTTCACAGTTGTTGTGTGCGTCTATTGCCGCTTTGTCAGCTGGAATTTGGCGGCGCCGGTGCCGTAGAGCAAGGAAGCCACAGTGGAGGAGGCAGCATGAGGTGGGCAGAGGTGGGCACGCGATGCAAGAAACTTCAAAACTCGTCATTGTGCTAGTCGTTGGTGGCTGATAAGCTGTGCTGGCTGGCTTGAATTGACGGGTGAACCGTGTGTGCGTGAGTGTGTATAAGTAATCATCGCCTTCCTTACTAAGTAAGTAGGGTAAGTAGCAGCTCTGTTGGCACCAAAGCCGTGGTTCGCCTATACTGTACGAGCCAGGACCTAATACGAGATATCAGGCTCGGACGACGGCTTTGTTCTGCATAAAATGTCGGCCAACGACATATCTCGTCCCGTTGAGCGGGAATGTGTATCAGTGACCAAGATTTCGTGTCCTCATGGGATCGAGAGATTATGATATGTCTCACTGCGTTGCGGCTGGCCGTCCCTGTGCTGCCCTCTCCAAGTTTTAGTTGTTTTTCTCTCTCTCAAAAGGCATGAAACTAAATGGTCAGAAGGTGCTGTATCCACCGCTGTGGGAGCCGCATACTAGTGCAAGCGCGTTGCACGCGACGCCGTTGGCTGACGGGACTGATGTTGCAATGCAGCTCTTAGGTGTCACGCAGAGGAGCAACTTACATAGCATAACATCTGAGCCATGCAGTGTAGTGTATGCAGTCTCGGCGAGGTACTGTAAGCAAGGAACAGACGGACCATAAAACATACGATGATGCATCATTGCGCAGTGCAGTCCTCAGGCACCAATTGGCAATTGCTTACTTTGTAGCCAGAGGGAACGAGGCCATCATGAGATGTGAGCCAACAGACGTTGGACCCGATTCGGGGTTGCTACTTACGTTAGCCACTTACATTAGCAGGCTCTTTGCTTGTACCTACTCACCTACTATTGTAGTACTGGGTACTTCTGGAAGTAAGGATAGCGAAGGAGCGAAAGGGGTGGGCACCCCTCCCTGCTCCTGCCCTGGCTAGGAATCACCGCCATTCTCATCCGGAAGTACGTATCTGTACCTAGCACGACTCTGCACGACTATGAATAGTGTGCTTACTACCTTCCAAGTTACCTACTGTACCTACTTAAGTTAAGACCACCCGGGACCCCGCGGGCCCACTGAGCAGACAAGCCGGTTTTACATACCTACTGTAAGGGAGGAGCTATGTACAGAAGCTATCTACATAGTACTTACAGTAAACTACCTATGTAGTAAGTACTAGCAATCTGTCTAGTGTGTGTAGTGTAAGTAGGTAGGCAGAAGGGAGCTTCCTCGGCCGTTAGGAATCTCAAAAAACGGACCAAGATTTATAGGTAACGAAGACGATAATCTGGGGGTTACACTTAAGTAAGTACCTAGGCAGGCACACAACGCCCATTTGTGGTACCTTACATACATAGTACATAGCAGGTAGTTACATACTTGGACAGGTACCCACAGAACAAATCGATCATTAGTTTTATATACGCGTGAGTATATTTTGCTAAGTATGAAAATGCCTACTAATATACCGAATATCGTATACCTACTACCAAGAGTGCTGGAGGTATGGGACTGGATCTAACATCGCTTCTAGCACTGTACATCACACACATTACCAACACATGTGATTTCAAGTTGTAGGTATACCTCCTGCTCAACTAAGTACATGTGTACCTAGGCATCATGATAGCTATGCCCAGCTCTTGTTCATCGCTCACGAACACTAGCCCATTGCGTAGTCTCTCAATCACTTCTAGACATGGCTGTCAAATATGATCAAAGCTTGAGAGCCATCACCAACTACCTACATAGCGTAGGTAGTATGCGGGATGACGACCGTTGTGGTGAGGTACAGTGCGTTCCACACCGTGTTCAAGGGTCCTGAGTGGGTGGGGCAGCTGTTGAATTCTTTTCGGTGGTTCGTTCTGGTGATCGGACAACGGCAAGAGAGCAGCAAAGCAAAAAAAAAAAAAAGAGTCAGAATACCCCCTAGTCCTGTTGAGACAGGCTGACGACGGCTGCGCACCGGTGAAGCTGACACAACCGCTACGCGGACCCGTCGTAGTCCGTACTGCGAGCCAAATTATCCGCGTGAGGGCTGTCCTGTCTCGTCGAGGACCTTTTGCCATATCATGCTGACCGAATCTTACTTCGTGTCGGTGTCGGGGCCACCTCTGGCCAACAACACGTCCATCCCAAAAGACGCAGGCGTATATGAACATACTCTCCACCCGACCCATGCTACTTCAGCAATCCTGAAGAAGAGCTCGGTCCCGACCGCCGGGCTGGCTCTGAGCGACACTCATGTTTTCGCTGCTCAGCAGGACAAGTCCACTGTTCACGTCTATGCAAGACCAAAGGGGAATCAAGAAGCAGTTGTCAACTTCCCTGAGCGCATCCGTAGCATCGCACTTAGCGGCGATGTGCTCTTCTTAGGAACACAAGAGGGACGAGTCATCGTCTGGGAGGTGAGTACTCCTCGTGCCTGCTCTCTTGTTGTTGAGTGACGGCACTAATAGAACAAATGATAGGTTTGCACCGGACGGCAGGTCACCACACCCCCGTGTCATGTCCAGGCCGTGAACTGCATAGCCGTTACACCTTATCACTTACTCACAGGCTCCGATGACTCCAATGTTCATGTCTGGTCTCTCGCTCGCTTGCTAGAGCTTGACCCGACCATCGAGCACGAGCCTCAGGAGACGCTATCAAATCACCGAGCAGCCATCACTGCAATTGTTGTGTCTCAGAGCGTAAATCGTGATACCAACATCTGCATCTCTGCGAGCAAAGACAGGTCTTGTGTTATATGGAACTACCAACTAGGCACGCCGCTCCGTACCGTGCTGTTTCCAAGTGCCCCTATTTCACTAGCTCTAGACCCATGTGCTCGTGCTTTCTACGCTTCTACTGAGGATCGATCGCTCTATGCTATCGAAATGTTTGGCGATAATGCGCTATTTGGTCCTCAAAGTGGTGGAGAAGGTTCCGCTGCTATGCAAGCCCCAGCCGCCTTCGGTGCGGCGCCTCAGGAAGCCGGCCCAGCTACATGTCTGGGATTGAGCTACGACGGGACAATTCTACTATCGGGACACCCTCAAGGCCAGGTTCGACGATGGGATCTTAGCAGCCGGACAGACTCTACAGAGCTCGCAAGCTTGAACACCAACATCAGCAATATTAACTTCGTCTCACCCCTGTCTTCTCCCAAACCAACTCGACCTACCGCCATAGTCAAGCCCTTCCTTGGAAGTCGGAGCTACAACTTCACCTCTCAAATTGCCTCCGACATAGTGAATGAGACGCGGTTCTCTAATATGATGACTTCAAGCGGCCTGCCTCAGGATATGCTAGAGCAGGCTATTATCGCATTTCAGGAACCTGCTGCTAATGCTGCCGGGGATGCCGAACTTCAGAAGGAGAACGAAGAGCTGTGGGAGATCATTAATGAGCAACGCGCATTACAGAAAAAGACACTAGAGCGATACGTTGCTGCTACAACTACGAAAGCATGAGATTACACTCTTATCGAATCCCAATGCGCAGACTGTCAACCGTTGAAGTCAACTGCTATGTAAGTCTGACGTTTGGGGCGACTGTAGGGTTGCGCCTAAAACGGACACTTGCCAATTACAGAGATTTCGATATCGAATTCCCACGATTTGGAAAAACGTTCGCCTACGTCGCAAACGGCATAGTAGGAGACAATGGGCTGTTACGCAGCAGCAACCGTATACTAGCAACGTTACTCCACTTTCGCTGGCGTTGGGTTGCATCGCTCGATTCCTAGTTTGGGCCGAACCTCCAATCCTCTTCTAGTTCATAGGCTCCGTCTCTCTACTTCGACCACCAAACCAACTAACCTGATATATGACTGTACGTGGTGCATTGGACCGGGCTACCAGAAAGTGCACTTGTTCGGATGAAGGGCTTCAGCAGGCCACGGGTGACGGTGCTCGAGCTTTTTCGGGGAATCACGCGTAAAATAGCGGGATTGAGGAGAAAGGGCCGTTGGAAAGAAGACAAGCGCATCCCGAAACATAAGCGCCATCACCAATAAGTGTGTGATGTGATTGTGATTGTGATCGTGCTTGCTTTGGCTTGCTTTGCGCCGCGTTCGGCAGATATCCCATTGGGACCTCATCTCACTGGAGAACAAAAAAAAAATCGAGGACGAAGAAGAAGGGGCGAAGGGCGTGTAATTCTGGGCGTTTGTTTCCCTTTCCCGCCTCTTTGGGCTGGTGCCGGCGCGGAATATATGGACGTTTAGACGGTGAGACTCGGCCAATCGCCGTCGTCCTCGGGAGCCGGACCTCAACCGACATGCAGGAAGCAAGCAAGCATCCAACCATCATCCAACCAACCACAGCTCACTAGCGACAGAAAGAACGAAAGAAAAAGAAAAAAAAAATTAGGAGGGAAAAATTTGGGCTTTAACCCGCACCCCATTATTTGTGCGTTATGGTGTGCGACGGTGGCACATAGAAATTTCAATATTGGGGACATAGACCTATCTATTCCACTTGTCCAATTCGCCCTACTCACCTACTTGCTTCTTTCCATCAGTTATTTCTTAATGTGATTGTGTCTGGTGTTACTAAAAAATTATCTAAATACGAGAGGGTGAAGTCAGAGCCTTGCGGGCACTACCACTCCGGAACATGACATTGCCGCTCGGGGAATATGCGCGTCCTTGACGCACACCCACTTGTCTGTATCTCACTACCACCGGCTCACAGCGCTTATTGGTACTCGGCTTTCGTAGATTGTACTTTAAGTAAGTTACGTCCGATCAGTAACCTACCTACCTGCAGGGCGTTCTGTCGGCCGGTCTGGATTTCTTATCCCCTCGCTCTTTCAGCCCTATTCTCGTGCTAGTAGTTCGTTCGTTCGTTCGCATTGCCAAAAGCTTTATTTTTATTTTTTATTCCCATATGAGTCCGTCAGCTATGTAGGCAATTTACTCAACTATATATGCGATCCCCTTGACTTCATAACCACTGTGATCTTGTCCATCGTAAAAGAGAGCTGCAAAACGGCTATGTAATGTACCTACCTACTAAAGGACATGATAAACTAGGGCGATGGAATCTCTCGTGAATAGGTAGATATACGTGTAACGAACTGATGCGGAACAAAGCCTTGCGAATCTCCTCGTCGGGTATCAATCAGCCGACGGAGCCCGCTTCGTCTGTCCTACATCTATCTGTCTGTCTATCCATGTGCATACATGCATGCATGCATGTCATTACTTGTACTTGTACATGTACATGTATGTTTCCTCGAGTCCAGGTTCAAGTCGCATTGGACGCCGGGCGATTCAGGAAATACCTGCCATCGGTGATCGTTACGTTCCAACAAGGCTGTGTGTCGTGATGCAGGTCTCGGTAACTCACGAGTTTTGATGTGCGTGGTGCTACAACAGGGTAAGTAGGTAGGCAGAAGCGCTGTGGTAGCCTTACGGATGGGACGGGTATGTTATCTTCTGCTACCCCGTGATTAATACCTTGTCTTCTACATGCGTTCGTGTAATAGAGCTCCCAGCCTCGAAGATATAAACGCCTTGACATATAAGCCACCTAAAAACATGGCGCTATATAGAATTATTTGATTTGATTTCGTATTCGGAGGGGTATATATATTGCTAATTCATCGCTACTAAATGCTTGACTTTTTGTTTTCCTTCGCTCCTATCTGTGCGAATATAAAATGAGGACATGGTGGAATTATGGCGTGTCGTAGTTCTCTAATCGTAACTTTGTGCGGCCACATGTATGTCTGCGTCCTCTTCTTTGACGGCAAAGTGTACCAAGTTATGAACTTGGTTCCGTGCAACCCAATGCAGTTTCGGGTTTTCTAGGTTCGAATCTAAGCGATTCAACTACTAGCGTCTCTTTAAATCAGGGCGTCCACTGTAGAAACGCGCTTTGAGTTCGTACTCTCCACGCCTAGTTTGATCTTGTGTATCTCGGCAAGTCGTGGTAAATGTTACCAAGTTGCCAACTACAATATCACGCACTTTGGCCGATGGTGGTGTTCTCGGCGTCTTCTACGCCTTCTATGGTGTGAACTTGGTTCGTAATCATCATTCCGGTAGCCGCCCATATCGCCACCAGATTCATATTTCCGCAACATTTGTCGACATAGATCGAGGAAAACCTCTTCAACATTGCCTGATTACTCTACTTTAGCCTGACAATCACGTTGATACAATAAGTGGGTGGAAGACATACTTTTAGTCCGTGCGCTTGTCTCATAGTAGGGCGCGCCCCATCTCCGAGAAATCTCGAACACTCGAGGCTTAGAAACGCTTCGGTGTTCCTCGAGGTCGGCCTTGTTGCCACATATGACCATGGGGACATTGTCATCGTCCTTGATGCGGATTATTTCATCACGAAGCCCAGCAATCTCGCTTAGGGAAGACTCGGAGGTGATGCTGAAAACCAGCAGAAACCCTTGCCCCGTTTTCATGTACAGATCTCGCATAGCAACTAGGACTGCATTAATACGTCGTGAACCAAGAGACAAATGTAGGGCAAAACCAACCAAATTGGTCTGTTCCCGCAGTATCCATACTATCTCCGGTCAGTATAACGAGGAGCTGAAAGACATGGCTAGTGATGTCTTACATCTCTAAAACCACCTGGCGTTGCTGCACGAGACGAATCAGCATATTAAGACCAAGCCAATCGGATCAGACTGCGGGGCACTCACATCAACCGTTACTTGTGTCCTGTAGGAATCCTCGATGGTCGGATCGTAACTCTCAATCCACTCGTTATGGACGAACTGAGCTATCACAAGGACTGAAATTAGCCGATGGGTGCTGGGACTTGGCATGGATGCCACCATGCTTTAGGTCAAGTTGCATGTCGTACCTGTGAGACAGCTTTTCCCAACACCACCTTCCGTTAAAATTAGTGGATGGGCTTCGAAAGTAGGTAAACTTCGCAGGCCGAAGAAGAGGGCTCACCTGCGCCCATCACCACGATATGGTACTCGCGGCTATCCGTAGAAAACCAGGCGTTAGTCATGCAAGATCCATAGCTGCCAGTCACGAAACACAGCTCCCGAGGGAAATGCGCGTCTAAGGAGTGATGGGGACACGAACGTGGGTTGGTGATGACGGGCGTGTCTAGGCGCCATGACTTGGACTTGAGCCTTTTGTTCAGAGCTGTGGCTTAATCGGGGCTGAACACGACAACCCAAATTCTCATGAACCTCTTTGGTTGATGTCAGTGGTGCCCGGCACAAGGAAGGCGGGACGCCAGCGCGTCGCCAGCGCACGTCTGCTTCTTTCTCACTTGGGTCTCGGCTGCTTGCGTAGTACACGATCAAGGTATGAGGCAATTGCAAAATTTAAGAAGGATAATGGTCGTTATTGTTACGGTCGGTCGAGAAAATGCTATGCTGGTTTGGATAGCAAATTGACATTAGCAGCGGGGTCCGTTGTCACTAGGAGCAAATCAAAGGCTCCAAGAGTCCAAAAGCGCAGTATACCTACACTGGATTGGGCTTGTTGACTATTACGAATTGGTGTATTTAATGGAACTGGCCGGATGATGAATGAGCCGCGAGAGGATCAATTGATGCAAGCTTGTGACACGGACTGGATATTTGACTTTTAAAAAAAATCCAGAGAGAGGTTGTCGAAGTATGACGTCGGGAAATGTTTGGGCGCGAAGTGTTCCCGTTAAGCCAGGCGAGGCTCTCTTACTCTAAGTACTCATGCGAGACCGGGAATGACGTCGGACGTCGGCTCAGAGCAGGTAACCCCGTCGTCCGTGCACACGGATGGTCAGAACAGCAAGTCGATGGATGTTGTTGTCGTTGTAGGACAGGGGCAATGGCTGCAATTCGCAACACGGAGCATGCAGTACCGTAGTAGCGGTAAGGTAGGTGGTAAAGGGCGAAGACGGCCAAGGGACAAGGGATAATAAGAAGAGCAGCAACGCAACGAAGCGAGCCACAAACAAACCCCGACTCCCTACCAGGTAACCTAGGTATGTAGTATATAGCACAGAGGCAAATCTCCAAGCCAAAGCAGCAGGGAGTGACAGCAGGGAGTGAAAGCAGCCAGAGAGAGTGTGTGGGAGGAGATTTGGAACTTGGCGTGTAGGGGAATCTGGGGAGGTATCAGGCATTAAAGAAGATATGCGTGCGTGCGTGTGTGAGCGAGTGAGCGTGTGTGTGTGTGTATGTGTGCGCGGCGCGAGTGAAGGACGGACGGGCAGATGACGGGATAGGCAGAGTGCGCGCAGTACCCGAGTAGAGGTAACGAATGCGCGCGCGGTTAGGTCAATCAATCATCGCGGACGCCGCGAGCTTGTTATCCTGGGTCCTTGGTCCTTGTCCTTGGTACCTCCCTATCTCCCTACCTGTCGCCTCTCTGCCTCTTTACCTCTTTACCTCTACCTATTCTACTTATTCTATCTTAGTCTGCACAAGTCATCCAACAATACTTGCCTATTGGTAAGACACTACTACTACCTACCACCCTCCCTTCTCTCTACTCCCTATTCCCCATTCCCCTACTCTCTACACAGACTACGGGCTGTGTATTACTTGCATACTAGGCCCTGTCACCTGGGTCATCTTGGGATGTATGTAGGTAGCCTGGAGGCACAGACTTGGCCCGATGCCTGATGGACAACCCAGTACAATACGGTTCGGCTCGGTTCGGTTCGGTTTGATCAATAGGATAAAACGGAAACAAGCACTGCATACAAGGACCTTACTACCTAGGTACATAGGTAGGTAGGTAGATAGAGATATCAGATGAAGAGAGCCTCCTCGCCGGGGTTCCTTGCTGTCTGGCTCTATCCTGACGGCCAGTATTCCGCGTTTTCCCAGGCAGGCTTCTCCGTTTGACGATGGACCTGACCGGTGTCTGTGACTCGTTGCATGCAGACCGACGACCAAACGCCGAACAGAGGATAGAGAACACCGATCTACCCTGGCCGTCATCGTTGTCCTTGTTTCCTCATTCTCCTCACTCCAGGTGGAAAAATGCATTTTGGCCACTCTGCTCTCTTGTTCACCCTCGCCAAGCCATGTAAAACTCAGAGTTCTCTGCAGCGTGCATCGGCTGAGGGTGCATTGCAGCGACTCCCTCGCCAGTAGCGTCGTAGGAGCTGTGGGCCACAGATAGGTCCTTGCAGCGCCGTTTACAAGGGACCACACACCTACTAGGTAGGTACCTACAGTGCTGTGCCTGTACCTATCGCTCCGCTAGATCATTCCGATTTAGTATTACCTAGGTCTATCTACTAAGTATACCTCATGTTTCTTACTGTACATTGAGAGCTGCGAGGTAGCTGGAAATCTTACTACACGACCAAACGGTCATACATAGTCTCGATAGTATGTACAAGGTCGGGCAAGGCGGCCTGATGAGCGAGCCTCTACTCAAGGTAGGTATTGTCATTCTTGGTCAAATTTACCGAAATGGAATGTGGGCAGGTATGTAAGGGTCTTGGAGTTCCTGGCTCTTTTGCTACTTACTTCGTAGGTACTGCTTCTGTCTTTTACGACATGTATACAATGAATGGTATAATACATGATATTAAATTAATTGCAGGTGATCTACCGAGTATACTTGCATTGGTCCAGCATGCAGACCTTGGATTGTGTGTTCGCCTCGGTCCTTCACTCGCGACCATGGTCGGATGCAATTCAAGCGAGAAGCCAAGCGAAAGCAGGCTCGGCAGTAACCCCCACACACAAAATGTCGTGTAAACATACTTCGTAGGTATGAGTTATGAGTAAGTAGGTAGTGTACAGCCTGCCTGCCTACCTATGTACCTACCCACCGACAAGGGCAGACAGCGCGAGCCTGGCGTCGATGGTCGTCATCTGCGAGCGTGTCTTTGCCGGGCGTGTAAATATAAGAAATCCGTCCAGAACTTACGTGCATCATACACGCCATCCCGGCCGGGAAAATGATTGAGCCTCGACCGCCGACGACGCTGATTGATAATCGCGGCTAGATTAGCCGCGCCATGGCCCTTGTTACACAGGGGAACCTGACCTCTCTCTCACTATTCCGGTAACACATTCCGATCCATCCCAGGACGCCGATCTAGATCAGATTCTAGGTAGATCAGGTCCTAATGTATACATGTAGCGGCATGCTGGAAATGAAATGAGCTTCATCTGGGAACCAATGTACGTAAGTACATGTTCAGTGCTCAGTACGCTTTCAATTTTTCATTCTTGGCATGCAATACCTTGTGCCGTAATCACTTTATCGTCCGTATCTTCAACAATTGTTGGTCTGAAGGAAAGCCTGCATATGCACACAAGACATCCTAATTAGCCCGCAAATCTACCGTAACGACTATTCAGCAGATAACCGTTTTATCCCCAAACCATCTGCGGACCATGTAACATCTATTGTGCTTCTGATTATCTAATCCGAGGAAATGCTCCCATGCCACTCATCAAATAAGTCAGATCAGATAACGGTTCAAGGTACTTTTGTCTCCCATGTTATGAGTTACGATATGTCGAACTCAACAGCTAGGAACGGATCTAATTATCATAAGCCCATAAACGTCTAAAGGGGACCTAAGTACTATAGTAAAAACAAATGTTAACGTTATATGGCAATAATCGAATGCTAACTAAACAATGGTAATCCCGAAGATAAAGGATTGCACTCCCTGGAACAATATCCGGGATCTATCGTAATTTCATTCCCTACTTCGCGGATCAGACGATATTGCGTAGTAAATTTGCACAGCATTGAGGCTGAGCTGGATGAGAAGTTAAGCACTAACAGTTGATTTTATAGAGTTGCTCGCCCCTTGGGCGCAGATTCTATAAATAGAGTTGACTAACAGGTATCTATCATCCCACATCCTGGGGAGAGCTTCGAATATCTTCCGATCAGTTCATCCCGGAAGCCATTTCGAGCTACTGTACATACATAAGTAGTATACCTGGACCCTGGAGTGCTTCCCGGAAACTCGGGATACCTAGAACGTAAAAGAATAACCCGACCGATGAAAGCTTACCCTTGCACGGGCTAAAAAAAGTAGCGATGCAAATCCACATTGTGCAGAAGACAAGCTGAGCCCTTCCTAACCTTTCTTTTTACGTATTAGTGCCATAGTAACGATACCTCAAAAAGAACAAAGACGCGGTCTCGCCCAACCTGCTCTACGGGAGAATATAATACTCCGTGCTTCCCAAGCAATATATCCTTGTGACACTCCCATGAGAGACGCGCTGACCATCGAGACATCGGGTTGCTACTGTAGATAAAGAGCTCACGCGTGCCATGCATTACGCCGTACAAAAGGTAACAAGGAATATGCCTGCCGAGAGCCCTTGGTAGTTAGTATCCTGGAATTTGCTACTATCACCTCTCACCAAACTAGTCATTCGACAATTAGATCCTCATCTAGGTCAATTAGCTAATTGTCTATCTATATATACATGCTTGTTCCTTACATTCTTGCTTAGCATGAAGGCCATACTGTCGCTTAGCCTAGATCACGGCTCTAGATTTATTATCTTACTTCGAGTAACTACTCGTAAAGCTGCACTCTCTTAATCTTTTTCATGATACATTTGCCGATCTTGACTCATCGTTGGCTGTTGTAGACGCTGCCTAGGTAACGGCTGAAGTCGAAATAATGACTGCTGCAATGTTGGCACTTATAAGTAATCAATCAACACATTTCGTAATGTCGAGTGACGCGATGGGATCAAAGATTCATTGTGAACCTTGGATTCGACTCCTAACGAGCTATGATCTATCCATCTACCTACGCCACTATCAGCCGATGACCACATCCTTCATAGTCCAGACAAACATCGTCAGTTTTACCAGCCCTCTTCTGTCTCTTATGCTTAAATAACGAGCACAACTGGTTGCAGGGGGGGCCTCTGATCTTGGCAGACTGCCCGTCCAATCAATGCTGCACTCGGAACGCAGATAAGTGCCTCCGCAAGGTATCTAACTAGGAAGTCCCTGGAATAGGAAGCTGATGTCAGGGGTTCCTGGTTTTGAGGTCTCACATTATGTACACTGCACTCAATGCGCGTCCCGACAGTCTGGAACCGAGTGGCGACCACGACCCAAGTCAAGGCGAGCTCGACGCATAGCAAACCGCTCCAATGCACGTTGGTCGGGGTTAACTAGTTGATTCGTCTCATTCATCCGCCTACTGCTATGCTCATGCTCATGCAACATCGTGTGTTGTCTTGGATTCCCTTCTCAGATTTTGTGTTGCTTCCCCTAGAAGAGCAATGCCATATTAGGGAGTCTCTTTGAATAATCGGTCTACTTATACGGAAGACCGAATGCGCAACTAGTTTAGAGTAGAGTATGATACTTGTATGTATGGCAGTCACATTTGTCGAGCTTGTATGTTTCAGCGTCGTCACGGGTATAGCATGATATCCTGTAACCTAGCGGTGGTTCCATGTCGCGATCCCCAGGAT